ATAAAATAACCCCTATCCTTTTTACTAGTTGATTCAAAGAATATGTGGGTCTGTCTGATTTCTGAAAAATTTATCTCGTTGTTAAGCTCACAGTTAAAAAACAAATAGATTAACCTTTTTAACGACCCTAAATTGGAATGCATTTATGCTTGTAGAAACTTATCTTTAAGGATTTTTGAAGGGCCTCTTCCCCTTAATCTTTTATACCATTCGAATGACAGTCTGTATAATACCTTGATGTAGCTACCCTATATTTCCGACATCTGCGTATGTGTAATTGTGATTTCACTTGAATGAAATTCCAGATATTTCGCTTGACCATTCATTAAAAAATAAAAATAAATTCAAATATTGGTTATTAAATAATTTAAAGGCGATTAGGTGAAAAATCGGCTCTTAATCGACTCAAGAAACCTTGCAGTAGCTTCAGCTCCGTTTTCGGTGGCCTGGAGCATTAAACACGTAACGCGCTGAATGTAATAATAATCTGTGCGTTCGAGGTGGGCATGGGGACGGCGCCACTGGCAAACGGACCCTATAAAAGCGCCATTCCGACTTGACGATATTCAGTCGCATTCAAGCTTTTTAGCTGTGTTAATTTCTGTCTAGTGAGCAGTGATAAACCACATCAGACAACATGTGTGACGACGATGTTGCGGCTCTTGTCGTTGACAACGGTTCCGGGATGTGCAAAGCTGGTTTCGCCGGCGATGACGCACCCCGTGCCGTCTTCCCATCCATCGTGGGTCGCCCCAGGCATCAAGGTGTCATGGTCGGTATGGGTCAAAAGGACTCCTACGTAGGTGATGAAGCCCAAAGCAAAAGAGGTATCCTCACTTTGAAATATCCCATCGAACACGGTATCATCACCAACTGGGATGATATGGAAAAAATCTGGCATCACACCTTCTACAACGAACTCCGTGTGGCCCCAGAGGAACACCCAGTTCTGCTTACCGAAGCTCCCCTCAACCCCAAAGCTAACAGAGAAAAGATGACCCAAATCATGTTTGAAACCTTCAACACCCCCGCCATGTATGTAGCCATCCAGGCCGTACTTTCCCTGTACGCTTCCGGTCGTACCACCGGTATCGTCTTGGACTCCGGTGATGGTGTCACCCACACCGTCCCAATTTACGAAGGTTATGCTCTTCCCCACGCCATCCTCCGTTTGGACTTGGCTGGCCGTGACTTGACCGACTACCTCATGAAAATCTTGACCGAAAGGGGTTACTCATTCACCACCACCGCTGAAAGGGAAATTGTCCGTGACATCAAGGAGAAACTTTGCTATGTCGCCCTGGACTTCGAACAGGAAATGGCCACTGCCGCCGCCTCCACCTCCCTGGAAAAGAGCTACGAATTGCCTGATGGTCAGGTCATCACCATCGGTAACGAGAGATTCCGTTGCCCTGAAGCCCTCTTCCAGCCCTCATTCTTGGGTATGGAATCTTGCGGTATCCACGAAACCGTCTACAACTCCATCATGAAGTGCGACGTTGATATCCGTAAGGACTTGTACGCCAACACCGTCCTCTCTGGGGGTACCACCATGTACCCTGGCATTGCTGACCGTATGCAGAAGGAAATCACCGCCCTCGCTCCGTCCACCATCAAGATCAAGATCATTGCTCCCCCAGAAAGGAAATACTCCGTATGGATCGGTGGATCCATCTTGGCTTCCCTGTCCACCTTCCAACAGATGTGGATCTCCAAACAGGAATACGACGAATCCGGCCCTGGAATTGTCCACCGCAAGTGTTTCTAAGCTATTTAAATGTAATTTTAAACTATTCGACATGTTGTTCAAAACTGTATTACATCATCAGTTTCCAAATGCGACCGTGGTTGACTGCCAGACAGACATTTTTAACATCAGAATATTTAACATCTTTTGACTCTATATTTACTTATTTGTTATATTTACTTAATTGTAACGTTTTATTACGAGGCAGGTCAATAAAACCTATCTAGTAATACACCTGCCTTTTATTTCCTATTTGAGAAGACGACACCATCTAGATTGATGTTATTATTATGTTATATTATGTAATTTTTTAATAAATATTTTGGGTTAGTAATGACACCTGTTTTTGATAGCGCCCTTGTAAATAATATGCCGAAAAAATTCCCCGAGAGCGGTTCCAAAAATAGCATGAATCCAGCGAGGGAGACAAAGCGCACAGAACCCTAACCTATTTTAATGGGAACGTAAATATAGCACGAAACGGCGTGCAACAGTCACATATGACTTAATATGTACATGAGCGGAGTTCCATGCGGGAGATTGCCACCACGGTGGCGTCATTAAAAAATATTTTTAGACGGATGCTGGAAATAGCAGGGATGGGTTTATGAATCTTTGGCAACATTAGCGTTCGGTGATATTTACACTATTCGACTGGGACCGACTGGGATATATTTAGATCACAACACTTATAAGGCAACGGGATCCGAACGGCGCTAATCCCGAAAGATTTCGCTCTCTTTAGAATGCAAACAAGCCCAAAATAGCTTCAAATGTGCGTGTGATGTTTTTAGTTTCCTTCGCTTTGATGTGATTCTATTCGGTTTTCGAGGTATAAATTACACTGCTCACATGAATCGCACCTCGGCTCGTTGAATGAGATGCTTATTCACAAAAAGCTGCAGTATTCGACTAACAGTTTACCAAAAAATTTAATATTGCTAAGTGTTTTTGGAGAATTTTAATAACACACCCTGTTCTTATTGTAACCTATAAGCGGTAAATAGGTACTTGTATGATTCCTCAGGGTTGCGATCTCGGGCCACTAATGCCTTATGATTATTTTCTTACTTACTTGCCGACGACTTGAAGTTTTTTCGTAAGGACGAAAGTAAAGGTTAAAGAAGATTTTAATAAAACTTTGGAATGGCTTAACAGAGATAAGAGAAGATAAAAAATAAAAGAATACAAAAATATCTTGTGTATCATGTAAGATTCCGTTTTAACACGCGTGGGTGAAATGGGAGATCCTGGAGCAACATTTCACTGGCAATTATCGATAAAAAACAATGACAGGTTGTATGAAGAATGATGTTTACAATTTATACGTACATTTTACTTATATATTTACATCATTTCAATATATTTATTAAGTTTTTTATTGTTTAATTTTTATTTCTCGACTTTTCTCGGGATGCAATTTTATTCTGGTCTATCTCCGAATTGCACAACATTTTATCTAAACTTCTAGGATAATAAATTTTTATCAAATTCTTATCAGTTGTTGTAGGGTTGGGTTAGGATCATACATAATTTAGTTAAAAATTTATACAAGGTTTTTCACCCAACCCGTTCATTAAAAGCTAAATGAGATCTAGTTTAGAAACAACTTTCATTTTTTGTGCCATTTGTACTTCTTTTTTTAAAAAATTTCAATGTCTTGACATTTACGGTTTAACCGCCAGTTGCTTATTATAAAATGGAACACTCCGTATATTATTCGATTCTGAGATTCTGTGTGAAATTCGAAACATATCTAATGCCCTATACTTATGTCTAACCATTTTTAAAATATTTGACCTTGAAGAAAAAATGTGCCTCCAAATTAACCAACTGTGAAAATGCATATTTTTGTAGTTTAGTAAGTAGTAGTAAGTTAACATTTTTGTCATTTTTCTTGTCTACTTTAACACAGGGTGTCTAAAATTAAGCCGCACATTTTCAAAGTCGTTAAACTCATTTTTTTCAACTTGTAACTTTAAGTGTTATCAAATTAACCATATTCGAAATAATTAGGTTTTTTGTGGCTATGGAAAAATAATTATTGTGTTTTATTGTCAAACATGATAACTAATAATTAGTATAGTAATAATTGTTCTTCCATAGCCAAGTAATGGGGAAAATGTTTAGCCGAACAAATATCATGCGATCAAAAAACCTAATTATTTCGAATATGGTTCGGAATGGGTATAAGTAATCCTAATGCAGTTTACAGTCTTTGAAAATCTTGCTCAAAAGTAAACAACCCTTTTTAAACATTTTGCTAAATATGAGGATCAAATTTTCATCAATTACAAAAATATACATTTTCAAAGTTGGTTAATCTGGAGGCACAATTTTTTTTTCAAAGTTGCATATTACAAATATGGTTGGTTAGTCTCAAAACGTAATAATATAGGAGAGGTGTTCCATTTGAAATAAGCAAGTTCTTGGTTGAACCGGAAGAGACAGGACGTTGTAAATATTAATAATAATAAACTTTTATTGAACAGGTTAAGTGAAAAACCCTGTATATTACTTGAATAAAAAGGTGCAGAAAAAAATTCTGAGATATCTTTATATAGTTATAAGTTTTATATACGCAGAAAAACTGTAGGGTATGGCCTTCGCATAACAAAATCAGTGTTAATGCGAAGATGGACGCTATATTTCATCAATAATTTGCCTTTAGACAGTTAAATTGATGTTATAAATGCACAGCAATACACTTTTAAAAGTTCCTGTTTGCAGAACTCGAGAAAGTTTATTATTTTTTTTGCATTTTCAGTTGTTTTGTGCGCATGTTTTTCTAAGATAGGCTAATGGCAATCAGAATGCGTCTTATATTTTCTGCAGGTGACTCTGTCGATGGCCAAAATGTTATATATTTAGGAACGCAAAATTAAGTCATGTGATGAAGAAGCTTAATACTTCTACTTCTATTTATACTGATTATGAATCCAGTAATTTATAGAACCTTCGCTTTATATGACAATCAAAAAATATAGATTGACATGAAAATGAAAATAGTGTTTCCGATAAGTAAAGAAAAATTCAATACGCGTCGTATCCAAAATATAAAATTGTCAAATTTGTCAATCAGAGGAATAAACCCCACATCCCTCAAAAGAGTACTTAATTATATGAAAAAGTGAAATTTATAACTTTCTGAATCGTTTTTGGAATTAAGTCGCACGTACTGTGGGAAATTTAAGAAATCGTTTGTCAGCAGTTGTCAGCGATGCAAAATTGTAAAAATCCTTTTTTTTTTCAGACTGGTTTCCCGGATGGCCACAGCATCAACACTACAATAAACAGCCGAACGATGACGGGTTGAGCGAGCAGGATTGCGTAGAAGCTAGGAGAACCTACTCGGTACCGTCTTCTTCGATCGGTTTCACCCCCAGTTTCATGTGGAACGACAGGGATTGCTCCGCGTTAAATTATTTCCTATGCGAGAGGCTCCAGAGTGAAGGTAGAGGCAGGCGCGTATAAAAATTTCGACACTTGGACGATAAAATCGCTTATGGAGGATTTTACGTATTCTTAGGCTTCTAAATTTCGATTCTAAATAGCGTATTGTTTTATTTATTCTTTAAGGAAAGTTTGCACGTGGTCCAGCGCCCCCACTTGGTAAACAAACACAAAAAAACAACCACGTGCCATAATTCCGTTGGGACCGGTCGGGTTCGTGATCCTTTCAATAAAATATTCATCGCTCGACATGAGCTACCGCACGGACGCACGAGGTTATTTCTGGAACAAGGCTCCCTTTTTTAAAGAAGACTATTTTTATAATCAGCCAAAGTAGAAGCTGAAGGGAGGAATATTTGCCTAACCGTCCCGCAATGGACAACCGAAGGACTGTTTTTATTGAGCCGGTCCCAACTAATTCACAGGGGTAGTAAAATATTTTATAATGAATGTTTCACTACTTTTTATTGCTATACATAATGGCATATTTAGGTTTTACCTACGATGTTTCGTTTTCGAGAAGCCATCATTAAGTTATAGTTTTTAAATAAGTATCTGCATTTTTTTTAGTTTTAGCTTTCTTTAGTTAACCTAAAAGCAATGAACTTTTGCAGTTTTAGTAAATTATTTTAAAAAACCAGTGGTATTTCAAAAAATAAATATAATGCTTGAGTCGTTCTTGCGTTGAGGTTGTTCACCAATAGCAAAATTGTTTAAATTTTTAAATTTTATTCAAAGTTTCGACCACAACTAAAATACATAAAAATGTTACATAAATTAAATGTTTTATATAAAAATATTTCAATACCTTTGTGACAATTTTAATGAATGAGGAAATAAATAATAATAATACAATAATAAAAAAGGAATAAAAGTTAAAAATTTAGAGAATTTTGGTGTTATTGATCAACCTTAACCCATGAACAACTCAAGCCAATGTTTTTTAAGGTTGACGGATAAAAACAAACTGCTAAAAAATAAATTGAGGTGATATAAAAATGAGAAAGTTCAAATTTAACACCACGAGGTTGTAAAAGAGACAAAGTTTCTATGACAATCTCAAATTAGCTTTAAATAAAAATTACAGCAAAGCTATGTCTTGCTAAATTATTTTCAAAATTTGCATGCAAAGGAAACAAAAAATGCTCTGTAATGACATGATACTAATACGTTGGGATTCGTAATTTCAATATTTGATTGAATGATTTCTTTTTCAAAGACATTTGTACTAGATGTTATCGAAATGTTGATGACGTAGTGGACCACCTCGAATTATTTTCAAGACAATTTAAATAAATTTAACATAGTCTAGAAGTGATGAGTATGATGGGTTTCTTGTAAAGGGAAGCTTGTAGGTAAAATATAAATATACCATCTTCTAGAGTGTAAAAAAATAAATAAGAGCTTTCAGTCATTTTTGTTTTTCCAAAATTCAGCCTATTTCTAAATATTAAACAGTTAAATTTTTATGTCTATCCAGTATTTCCAAAACTAACGAAAAACGAAAGTTTGGTATCGTAACTTTAACCGTTCCCGATATACCAATACTACTTTAAATTAGTTTGGGTCCTATATACCGGGATGATCTTATCCCCTCGGGGCTAAACAAAAATTCGGAGGGTATAAGGAAACTACTACTACTACTTTAATATTTACTACTTAGCAAGGATTAAATTCATTAACTAAGGAGATTAAATTCACAATGGCTCTCCAAAACTTAAATAAAAAATGCTTTTTTAAATTTTACATTTGGTGAAAAAATGGATAGATCATTTTTAGTCCATAACTTCCATATTATACAGTGAAAATAAAAATATGAAATTTGCGATTCCCGTGGGTCGAATTTTAATATTGCGTTTTATTTAACAGAAGGTTGTTAAGTTTATTATTAAAATAAATAAGAACTAAAAGTTCAGATTTTCACGAATTTTTATATTATGACATGACAATTGTTTCGACAACACCGTGTCTTTATCAAATCACATCACATTTGATAAAGACACGGTGAATCGATTTTCATCAAGTAAAAGCCACCTCAGCTCAAGTTTATTATTTATTATTATTATGCTTTTCATCTCATTTCACTTATTGATGATGTTTATTCTGCAACGCAAAGTGATCTATAGATAATAGATTATATCTTTTTTATTTATTTTATGGTGATTTTGTTTCGTTGAAGGTTATAAAGTTTCAAAAAGCCTGATTAGACGAAATGTACTAAAGAATAACGGATTCCAAACCAAACTGTATAATGGCAAGTCAAAGTAAAGACGGTTGAAAGGATCGGTGCCAAAGTAAATCCCTGAGGACGATAGTATAAGAATGATTGATTCTTCTATTCCATAAACGTATCGGGTCCGTTTTTGCGATTCACTGATATTTTTCTGATAAAGGTAGATATTAAATCCGGACGGCTGCAATATTTGAAGTCGGAACGTGTTTCTGAGGCGAATTTATAACTTTTCATTTGCTATTCCCATCCCCTAATGGATAAATTTATATTAGTGGTTTGGCTTGAAATTTCGCAGACTCGAGAATTACGGAGTCGTAAAATGTTAAATGCGGTTTTTGCGATTGTTTTTAAAGTATTGAAAGTTCTTTCATCGTAACGTTGAACATTATTTTCCGTGTAAAATGAACTGTGATTAAGAGAGAGAATTTTTTAATCCATTATTGTCATCAGTAATTACTGGTTTGGATGGGAACCTTCTCTATTGTTTAAAACTCTCTGTTTTAGACATCTCCCTCTTTTAAAGGCCTTTGCTATTGTCACATATTCCCTACCAGGGTGTGAAAGAGAGAGATTTAAATGCCTAAAGATGGGTTTAAAATGAGAACGAAGTGTTAAAAGAGTGAGAGGGAAACCACTTTAATGTGTTTTTTATCTAGATACTTTGGCCACCATTTGGCCGACCGACTGCAACCACTCGGTAACACTGTCCAATCAGCAACCGAGGACTGCTATTTCGAGTCCCGGATTTCCGAGACATTACCCCGACAACTATGACTGTGATACGAATATATTAGCTCCGTCTGGTTATAGAATTATTCTAGATTTCGAAGAATTAGTGATAGAAAACGAACCGAGGTAAGTTACCTGGTTCTATAGTAATTAAAGTAAATGTCATTTAAGCATATCAATTCTGCTGGATAACGCATCATAACATTCAAAAATTTCGATTAAGCCCGTTCCCATTCCGCCACACACTAGAATAAATTTCAATAATCGTTGGCTGAAAGGTTTTAGGTATTTATTCAAAAATAAAAGATTAACTAATTTAGAATTCCTTAACGCCTGGAGAAGCAGTATTTGTAATACTTGTATCCTATTCCAATAGTGTGTAAAAAAAAATCAATTAAGTCAAGCTGCCCCCTCCAACTTTGACTACGAAGGTCGAAATTAAAATTAATAACCTTACCCGTAGAAGTATAATATTTCAATTTATACTAAAAAACAATTGGCGTGAAGTTTTCCATACTGGCATACTTTGTGTCGAAAATGAGCCCTAGTCTAGTACAAACGGAAACTTTTCCCTTTTGAGATACGGGGTGTTGAAATTCTGAGAAAAAACTTTCTTTTCATTGCTATTTTATTGATAATGTATACACTGCTTTTAAGCAGCAAAAGACGGCGTTCGCTTCAGATTTGTATGAAATATATTTCAATAAAAAATGGTAAAAATGTAAAAATTTGGATCAAATTTGGTGTCCAGATTTCTTTCCGAACACTTACCGTTCTCGAGTAACCTAAAATTTCAAATTATTTTTGTGAAGTCTTCATTAACAAAAAATATTTTAAAACATTTTGCATCAAAAAATGATTGCTCCCAATCCCGTGCGGTAAAATCCCGGAAATGTCCGAAGTGGCTCGGATACGTGGGAAACGAAACTGAAGTGGTAAAGTGACGCTTCCTGCAGGCTGGATCGGTGTGTAATTAGGCATTTTACAGACGGGAGTAGAAAAACTCTTTATCTCACTCGTTTATTAAGCAAATTACGTCAAATGCCGTTTACCGCACTTGTTGCATAATATACTATTTCCTTAGAATTTCAACACTTTGTTCTCTCGGGACATATGATTATACAGGAAAATTTTTGACATAGAACATACCATAAAAATTTGGTTATAACTTTTTTTTTAACTATATTGATAATTTAATTATAATAATTGTTTGGCAAATAATTTTCAATTGCTTTTTATTAAATGGTTAAATTCACTTTAACGGACCCCTTATAAAGAAAAAACAGAAATATAAATTTTTCTAATTTCGGATCCTTGAAAGTAAATAAAAAAAAACAATTTTTCCATTTACGAAAATTTTCCTTATTTCTAATTTATATTTCTTTAAAAAATCAAAACCTAATAATTTTTTACATTATATATAAACTTTTTTTTCAAGAAAATCTAAGAGAACGTTCAGATCTTCTTCTATCTATGGCCAAAATTCTTCGATTTTATTCGGTAGAGTGTCAACAGAGCAATATCAATTATAACTGACTTCGTAGATAGCACATTGGGAAGGTTCTTATTATGAAAATCATGTAGGTGATTGTCTTAAACACGAGCAACTAAAAATAGTTTGGCGAGATTCGTTGGATCGTATTACGCGGGAATACTCGCGAACAGGCACACCAATATAGGATTGAGAGAATTGTCGGTTTTTCGGTTGTTTTAATTATTGTTAATAATCAATTTGAATCAATTTTTATATTTTTTTTAATTTTAACAACCTTTGCGAAAATAATATATGCCGCTATCTTGCAAACACTACTATTCTGTGATTCATTCATTCAGTCAATTCCAATTCCTTAAAATTAATTATTACAAGAATAATCAAAAAACGAGGGCAATACAAAAATTTTCAGGTGCCGATAAAACTTAAAAAATTGTTGCGTTATCAGAAAAGGTTATTACGTGTTAAGAAAACTATTTACTTTAAATATCATTGCAGTTGCAGTTATGATTATTTAGAAATCTCGGAGAATTCCTCCAATGCGTCGTCCAATCAGCCTAAAATTCGAAGACTATGCGGTGACTGGAGTACGAAATTAAAGTTACTGCGTTACGTCAGTCAGGGGTCTAGAGTTCGACTTCGCTTCAGCTCTGATTACTCTCATCATTATGGTGGATATAAAGCACGGGTCTCTATGGAAAATGGTGAGAATATTATTTTCAGCGACACGTTTATAGATATATGCAAATATAAGAAAATGTACTTAAATATATTGCGTAAACAGAATATTGCGGCCCTAATGACACAAGTACATTTGAAAAATCAGTACAAAGAATTTACAATTTACAATTGCAAATATCTTTTAGCTGATTTTGATAATACTTTTCTTTCTCATTTGTCGGCATATTTGTATACAATTTGTGAATTTATAATAACTCATGAAATTTTTTAAGGATTTAAGAATTTTTTAGATTGCCCTGCATCTTTCTGAACTTTCAGAAGAAATTACTTTTGTATTAACTATTCACTAACTTTTAAAAGGACTTTTATTAAATTGGGCATGCATAGTTCAGCAAATTTCTAAAAATAACCCTATTTGTATTTAAATAAATCTGATTAATTGTGACGCATTATTAATAGGTGCATAGTGAATTAAACTAACTATGGTTTCCCTATGATTTTTAACACGAAACTTAAACACGTAACGAAAAAATTGGCCTATGTGTTACCCTTTGATAACGCATTTTCTCTGACGTCTTCAAGTTAATTTTTTGTCTGTTGTAGAATTTTACAAGTACACACCGTGTGCCAAATAAAACGATCCACTATACGATCGGGAAACCCATCGGAGATACGAAAAAAAAATTTCGTACAAAAGTTTCTTGAAGATTTTAAATATTATGATTTTGTTGATACAGGGTATCCCAAAATTGTCCCCACGTCATCAACTTTGTTAATTTAAATGGAAAACCTTGTATATTTCGACATTTTTGGAATCCTTGTTTAAAATAAAGGTCACCTTCTTAAGAAATTCCTATTCGAATTTTGCTTCGTTTAGGCAGAAATTGAGGTTATGCGCTTTTTTTTCATATTTTGATTACCTCATATAAAATTGTGTTGTGACGCTACTGATCCAGGTATTGGAACGAAAATTTAACCACAAACTAAGGTGATGATGCACTACTCAATTCACTTTGACAGTTTATAAAGGGTGTCCCAAATAGGTGGTGCAGTTTTGGCAAATTCGATTTTCAAATGAAACGCCCTATATTTTTATTCAGATATCAATTCTAGGACCAACAATAAGGTAAGTTTTTAATTTATTACATCTAAATTTTATTTACCCATTGAGATATTCGAGGTTTAAGATAACACCAGTATAAATTCTAGTTGAATTTAAAGGTCACATTAGGTCAGTTGTTGGCAATATTAGGTATTTTTTAAATAGCAAAGACATGATATATCTTTTAAAAATATAATACTCCAGATATACAAATAAAACCTATTGCTAACAATACATACGCGGAAATTTTGAAAAAAATCGCTCTAGCTTGATTGAAAATATCTAATAACAAACATAAATAATTAAAGTTTATAGGCTAATTAAACAAGATAATAAATGTGAATAAATAAATCTATAATTAAAAAAACAGAAACAAATAACTAAAAGAAAACTTAAATATGCTGATACTGTAATGTATTTTCAATATATTGTCCATCCTCTGCAATACACATTGTATAGCGCGTCACAATGCTGGAGACCGCATCACTATTATTGCAAGAATCTCTTCTCTATCTTGTCTAATTCTTTAACTGAAATTTTTTAAACCTCGAATATCTCAAAAAGTAAATAAAATTTAAATATAAGATAAATTACAAACTTACCTTATTTTCTGTCTTAGAATTGATATCTGATTGAAAATATAGTGTGTTCCATTTAAAACCACCTATTTGGGACACCCTTTATAAGCTGAGTCGCATCTGTCAAACTAGTGCATCATCTCCTTAGTCTGTGGTTAAATTTTCGTTGCAATACCTGGTTTAGTAGCGTCACAACACAATTTTATATGGGGCAATCAAAATATGAAAAAAAAAACACATAACCTCAATTCCTACCTCAACTACGCAAAATTTGAATAAGAATTACTTAAGAAAGTGACGTTTATTTTAACCAAGGATTCCAAAAATGTCGAAATATATATGGTGTTCCGTTTAAAATAACAAAGTTGATGTCAGAGGGGGACACTTGTGGGGCACCCTGTATCAACAAAATTATAATATATTAAATCTTCAGGAGAGTCCAAGAAACTTTTACACGAATTTTTTTTTCTCCTATGGGTTTCCAAATCTTATAGTGGATCGTTTTGTTTGGCACACGGTGTACGTGCATTTTAAAAAGTTAACTTGCCACCTGATATATTTAAATAAGAGGGTCAAATGAAAAGTCGGATTGACCCAATTTTTTGTAACCACCTGTATAAATAAAGGTGTCCAATGGCTGTAAAACGATCATATCGCATGCTGCCATGAATACCATTAAGTTAATTCCCAGACAATATTCCATTGTACGGTGTAGAAGGATCCCGCCAATATCGATACCCGACCTATAGTCCTATAGACCTATAGTTGCCTGGATTCAAGCTATTCATAAACCTACCCACCGGTTTGATAACAAAACACATAAACAAATTTGTGCTTCGTTTCAGCGATGCAATGCGGCGATGATCGCTTTCACTTGTTCAAGACCGCTTGTTACTTGGTAGTCAGTTATCCAGAGGTCACGTGGACGACGGCCCAGCAAATATGCCGCGGATTGAAAGCGAATTTAACATCGGTGCTGACATCCGAAGAAGGAAGATTTATTACGAGTAATATAAGAAGGAGTCCTGAATACAGAACGAGTGCCGTCTACTGGTTAGTATTTTGCTGGAAAGCGATACGTGTGCGATTAGGTTTTTGAGAGTTCGCGATTTATTCGGTGGAAGTGAATTGAGAGGCGACGGTGCCTCGAGTGGCGACGATTTATAGGGGAAATGAAATGTCGACCGTTAAATCGAGAATATAAAATATACAGTCAATATGCATATAGTTTGTTGCACGAGAGTCTATCAATTAGCTTACCTTTGATTTACTGATCTTTTTCCGATGAAAATAACAAAAATAATTTCTCATCCCCTTTTCTTATAGAACCGCTAAACTTTATAAGCTCGCAGTTACTGTCAAGAGTACCACAGTCATTTCTTCGATCAATAAGAAATTAATCCACTTTTACTTTTCCCTTCTTCTTCTTCTTTCTCTACTTATTCATTAATTGATGTTTGCGACCACATTTTCCGTAGCTTGTCTATCTCTAGCCATGCGGATCAATTTCTAAATGTCACGTATGCTAGTCCACTGCCTCGAGTCCAGCCCTCTACTACCTACCTTATTTCTCTGTCTTAATAAAGTTACGTTCCTAGGTATCTAAATTTTTCCATTATATGTTAAGTTGGGGTTTTTAAATGTATTGATCACTAACTTTGCCCTAAGATGTCTTAATTAGCCGGTTTAGGATTATTTTACACCTCAATAAGTGCAATATAAAGGCTGCAGGCATTGAAAATATTTATCATTACCTCGCAAGTTTCTCACGGTACTTAACACCCTTATTTGAAATAGAACACTCGGTATACGCCGCTTATGTTCGGATTGCCGAAAAAAATCATCAGATCCTTCAATAGCTGCTCACATAAATTGATTATTTTTTATTGATTTTTTATTTTTATTTATTTTTTATTGATTATTGATTATTGATTTTTTTTAACTTTTTCATTCATATTGTGATTTGATTTCCCTATAACGGTTTTCTTGTTACTTCATATTTTCTATCAAAAGCCCATCAAACCTCAAAGTTTTTGTAGTTAGCTTTTATTGATGTTACTGGCCATCCGGATCACATAATTTGTAGTTGAACATTGTTAAAATGTTATTAAAAATTGAAAATGTGCGGTTACAGAGCTGAAAAAGGAAGGACATCAAATAAGGTGATATGGACTTTCTGGTTTGATTGACTTTTTGTATGACATTAAGCGTCGACAATTAACAATGTGATCTATATCAATCGAGGAAACGTAAATATATCTACAAATGCAAAATCAAGAAATATCAATCTACTTGACACAGGGTTCCTCGTCCACGACTTGGAATAGCGTGGAACAAGCAATAACTCTTAACGTTAGTACGATGCCATTTGAAGCGTCACTCCGATTAATTGATCGAATCGCTTGCAACTACATAGTAAACCCAGTTCCATTAGCCTAATTTCGGAAACTCTCAGTCGCCTAGCCTCTAGTCTACGTTTACAGTCATCTGTTTGTCCTGGCCTAGGTTAGGAGGAAAAGCAGAGCCCACATCAGACTTTAAATGGATCGACGGGAATCCAATGGATTACTCCGGATGGCTTCCCGGACAAAGACCGACCGAGAATGACTTGACTGAAAATTCCGCAGAACCCCAATGTTTGGCCGTAAAATGGACCCCATCGTTGACGCCGATGATGACCAGCGGACTCTATTGGAAGTCACACAAGTAAGCCGCTAAAATGTTTACTTTTAGGTCGATTGCGTTTATCTTTATTTTTGTGCAGACAGTTTTTGCGATGCAATTAACACGCGAACTGCCATCTTGAAAACATTATTTTTTAATTTTACTATTAATGCGTAGTAATGTCTAGTTTTTTAAGGAAAAAAATGGTACAAACGTAATTATCAATTTTTCTTTAGTGTATTGTATTGTTACAAAGATTTACATGAAATTTTACAGAGATATATACAGGGTTGCATAGTGTGATTAAATTCAATACACTTAATTAGTACAATTAATTATATATGAAAGTTTATAAACATTTACGTTTGCCTGTCAAAATTGACATTGTTTTATAAAGAATATTTAACAATCTTGGTTATTTTTGAAAATATCGAAAAAATTTATTACAAGTTGTTTCTTTTTCTGTTTTCTACAAATTTGACGATTTTCTAAATATTAATATTATTAAATATATTTTAATATTTTGAAAGAAATAAAAATCAAACTTATCAAATAGACTAGACTACTCTGTTTTACTATATTTTTTTTTCCTTTAAATGTATTCACCCAGTCATATGTTTTCTTTAGTCGAACACCCTATATATTTTTACGTTTTGTGAGGGCTTCAGGAAATATTTTGTATTTGAATTTGAAGGCAAAAATAAAAAATAATTCAACATACCATACTCTACTCTACTATTTCTCTCCCAATCATCATTTCATACAGGGAGTTTTCCAAAATCTTGCCAAATTGAAGAATTGTAAGATAATCTTTCACCGATTTTCTAAATGGGACACCCTGTATCTGACTGCAGTATCATTTTAAGTTATTGCGCCTCTACCGCTTTTGTTGAAGTTTCCCTATACCTATACCTATTCCAGTTTTTCGTAATCTTTGTTTTTCTTTCATCATTTACAAAAATACGTTAATTTTTCGCTATCTAGTCTAAATGTTGCTATCACCCTGTATATACTGGACCCGGACCTTAGACCTTAGATACAAGTTTATTTGTATATTTAAAATCACCTATATCATAAATAATACAACTGATTGTACGTAATCATAAGCATTTTACTCCCTAATATGCCTAAAGACGTTTCTATTTTAATTTGTAGCGTGTTTGTTGTATTGAAAAAAGCAGTGGCGTATATTTTACTTTCAATGTGTCAAAAACTTAACATAACTGCTATATCTACGCCAATTTGAGGATTGTTGGGAAAGTTATAATTACTTTTGCTCTGCTTATTTAAAAATATACATAAAGATCGATAATTATTTTAATGAAACTTTAAAACGTATTTCGAAATGTGAACGTTTCTTGTTTATGGCATTAATTTATTGCCAACAATTTGGAGTGCCATTCGGTTTAACCCAATTTGAAACTCTAGACGAAAAAATACTCGTGAGCCCTTGTCCCATTTTGGAGTGCATAAGCACAAAGCGCTGCAATTAATTTCGTCTCTTTGCCGGGCTGTGCTGAACCGATGCTTCGAATAAACAAAATTGTCGCGAATTATCTAAACTGTTTTCATTGTTTGAGCGTTTCCAGACGACACTGGATTGCTGGTTATTCGGGTCATCATAGCATAGCAATAAATTTTGAACACTTTCTTAATTTCCTGTTTAAAGCACGGAAAAAACTTAAAAATATAAAGTTAAATGGGTTATCAACAAAATATTACAATACAAATTACATTTATTAAAGTTAAAAGCAAAATATTTTGGATTTCACTTTCTTTATTTCCATGATGTTTATAAAATACATTAAAATATAGATTGCTGGTATTATGTTCACAACTTTAAAAAAAAATACTATTAGAACAATTTATTTTTAAAAATTAAATTCGACGTGTTTTTTGCTTGATGCTTGAAGCTGAACATTAATTTTTAAATACATTACAAAAAAAAATCTTAAGCGTATTATTGTTCTTTAGCCAAGTATCACTATTTTGACTCAATGTCTTTTATAGAGAAACCGTTACAATTCTTATTTGCTTCTTGAATATTAAGGGTCTTTTTTGAATTATGGTTTAGAATTACAACCAAACGAAAACCGTAAGTTCAACGATTGTAGCCCTAGAAGCGGGGTACCAAATAAACATTTTCTATTACTTGCAAATAATCGAAAAGATGCCTAAAATCAAATTTATAGCTTCTGATCTCCAGTGTCGTCTCCTCCCACAAACAATTTTCCTATTCGGTAAAAAGTTTTCAAGAAAATATTTTTCGAATGTTTTCAGTATGATACTCTAATATTTTTTAATATATCGCGTCATAACGTCGAACACCCTGTATGATATGGGAAAACATTAAATGTAAAAGTTTTACATCTCGATACAGCCCGGACCGCCGGTTAAAGGAAACCGTCAATTGACTCAGTGTTTCAATTGCGGTCAATTTACATTAAAAGGGAAACTGAATTTTAGGTGTTTTGCGAATAACCTCTCTGAATAATTTCCAAAACATTTTTGGTGTATGAATTTTTTCGATCGTATTAACGGCTTGCCAGAAATTTATTGTTGGACTTTCGAACGGCCGTCCCGTAAGCCCAGTCGTTACCAATACCATAGACGCAATCGAATTTTTAAAAAGTAATGAAATTTCAATAAACCAAATTATTTTGCAGATTTCGATTTATGAGAAGTCAGATTTCAAATTATACATAATTTTCTTTAAGCTGATAATCAGCGTTATTTTGCCAAATGAAGTTTGCACAGAAATATAGGACAACTAAATTAGAATAAAAAATATTCACATTTTCACAGTTATTTATTACTTTATGACAGTTGTTTCGACAACACACATCAATGTAATTTTAACAACGGATCCGCATTTAAATCCCATTGGTCATTAAGTAGTATCTCATTTTATTAATCTCCATAGCTTCCAACAAATTTAGTTTCTTGCTTTTTGTTTCATTATGTAAATTATCAAAACTATCATCAAACTTGTGTATTTCTGGATTTAAATGAATGGCATAGTTAGAATTCGAACTTTTACTTTTATACGCTCTTTTATTTGCGTTTCTTAAATGTTCTACATGTTTGTCCGATATAAATTTTAGGACATGATCCACATTTCAACTTGTAGATTTTTGAGTTTTTCTTAATTTAGTTTTATTATTTTTTAAAATTTTTCCAATGGTGTTTTCGGTTTAAACAGCAATCTTAAGACCAAATTTAGCTAGATGTTTCGAAATTTTCTGGTAGGTTCTCCTATGTATTTTAAAGTTTTATAAATTTTGGGTTCGGTATTTAATTTAATTTAATTGTAAATACCGAACCCAAAATTTATAAAACAATAAAATACATAGGAGAACCTAGCCAGATTGCTTTTAAAACTGAAAAGACCATTGAAAAATTTTAATCGGACAGCCAGGTAGAATATTTAAGAAACGCATTCACGAACATAAAAGAGAGAATAAAAATAAAATTTCGGGTTCTAACTGTGCCATTCATTTAAATTCAGAAATACACACAATGACTTTCATATTTCAGACAATAAAAGAAAAAGTAAAAGACTAAATTTGTTGGAAGCTATGGAGATTAAAATGAGATATTGGAATCTACTACTTAATCCCAATTGGATTTAAACGCGTCTCCGTTGTTATATTTAAATTTTTAACCCTACACCCATAATTAAGGATCTATTACTACCTGATAATATATATATATATATATATATATATATATATATATATATATATATATATATATATATATATATATATATATATATATATATATATATATATATATATATATATATATATATATATATATATATATATATATATATATATATATATATATGATGACACTATATTCCGGGATATCATTCGTTCGCTTGTTGAACTCCGACTGGAATCCTGCAGACGTTTCGCCAAAATCTCACTTGGCATCTTCAATGCTCACGCTCCGAAAACACTTCGAACTCGAGCGCGAGCATTGAAGATGCCAAGTTTTTGGCGAAACGTCTGCAGGATTCCGGTCGGAGTTCAACAACCGAACGGGTGATATCCCGGAATATAGTGTCATCACATTTTTCCATATATATATATATATATATATATATATATATATATATATATATATATATATATATATATATATATATATATATATATATATATATATATATATATATATATATATATATATATATATATATATATATATATATATATATATATATATATATATATATATATATATATATATATATATATATATATATATATATATATATATATATATATATATATATATATATATATATATATATATATATATATATATGATGACACTATATTCCGGGATATCATCCGTTCGCTCGTTGAACTCCGACTGGAATCCTGCATCCGACTGGAATCCTGCAAATCTTGCATCCGACTGGAATCCTGCAGACGTTTCGCCAAAATCTCACTTGGCATCTTCAATGCTCGCGCTCCGAAAACACTTCGAACACTGGGGCCCAGTGTTCGAAGTGTTTTCGGAGCGCGAGCATTGAAGATGCCAAGTGAGATTTTGGCGAAACGTCTGCAGGATTCCAGTCGGATGCAAGATTTGCAGGATTCCAGTCGGATGCAGGATTCCAGTCGGAGTTCAACGAGCGAACGGATGATATCCCGGAATATAGTGTCATCACATTTTTCCATCCGTGAATCAATACGTGAGAATATATATATATATATATATATATATATATATATATATATATATATATATATATATATATATATATATATATATATATATATATATATATATATATATATATATATATATATATATATATATATATATATATATATATATTCTCACGTATTGATTCACGGATGGAAAAATGTGATGACACTATACTCCGGGATATCATCCGTTCGCTCGTTGAACTCCGACTGGAATCCTGCATCCGACTGGAATCCTGCAGACGTTTCGCCAAAATCTCACTTGGCATCTTCAATGCTCGCGCTCCGAAAACACTTCGAACACTGGCCCCACACCAGTGTTCGAAGTGTTTTCGGAGCGCGAGCATTGAAGATGCCAAGTGAGATTTTGGCGAAACGTCTGCAGGATTCCAGTCGGATGCAGGATTTGCAGGATTCCAGTCGGATGCAGGATTCCAGTCGGAGTTCAACGAGCGAACGGATGATATCCCGGAGTATAGTGTCATCATGTATATATATATATATATATATATATATATATATATATATATATATATATATATATATATATATATATATATATATATATATATATATCTATTTTAATTGTGTTAAATGGATTTTCATCAAGTAAAATTCACCTCAGTTCACAGGATATATAGGATTTCAATTGCATACTTTATTAGGCAAATTTGTTATTTCTTTGAATGTAGTAGACAATGTTTCAGTTTTATAACTTAAAGAACTTTGAACTATCATTGTTTTTATTTTACAAAGGTACACAAGGTTTCGGAGAGATATCGCTAGGACTAGACGACCAAATCAACCATGAATTGCTAAAAATGTTGTTAACATTTGCCATGAAAACGGCTTCTTTAAATTTGCGCCTTGTCCAATGAGGCTCCTTTTGGACAATGTAAACCATTGGACCCTGACCATATTTTGTTGCTTCCTCCAAACATGCTGTGCTATCTCAGATCTAAATAGTTCACCTTTCGTCGTATTTTTTTTGCGTTCTTGGAGTCGTACATCTAATATACGACTCACACCATCCACAGAGAAAATGCACTCGATCTCTTGATTCGATGTTTCATTTCTGCTTTTGGTCAAAGTACTTTTTAAAGTCGCTCTGACTTGACAACTGCTTTGATGCTATATTTGTTTGCTATTCGTATGATTCATGAAAATAAAGATGATACAAGTTCGAAGTTCTTTTAGTTTCAACATGTTGATTTCTGTAGGTGCACTCAGGTTGGCGGTTACATCTGCAAAAGGAAGCACATGCTGTCTGACGTCGAAGTCAACTTCAATAAGACTGTCAATAGCTCAGAGGGAACGCTCACGACCCCAAATCATCCAGAGAACTATTTTAATAATTTGGATTTTTTAGTTAGAATCGTCGGACCGGAACGAACGAGACTCGTTATAAGGTTGGTATTAGGGCCATGGTCCTAATTTACACCAAACGTTGGTTTCCTTAATCGCAGGTTTGATAAAATAGACATCGAATCGCAACTTGAGTGCCTATACGACTACGTCGAATTAAAGTCTTCCTCGAAGTTTAAAGAGCCGAACGATGCCGTAAAATATTGCGGCAGCCATGAAAGGCAAATGAGACGGTTCGATTTTGTCTCGGCGACGAACGAAGCTGAAGTTAGATTCCATTCGGATTATTCCGTAACGGGAAACGGGTAAGTTTTTGTGGAAAATGTGCATTTTCTTTATATGTAAATTTGAGGGCAGTGAATACGTGATCAAAGAGTAATTCTGGATCTTTGTCGCGGGAATTTGAAATCTGTGCCTTGGGAATGTCTTTCTAATGTCTTGCACATCCTTAAATTGTGTTGCGTTGCAGTGGGAATGTAACTTTTGATACTTGTAATTCCTAAGAATTCGTCTGGAATTTTTTGAATTTCCTCTGCAATTTGTTAGATTATACGAATTCTAATTATTGCACAGGCTGGGTCAAAAGTGATTGACGAAAAATAATGTAGGTTAGTGTTAAGGGTTTAAATATAATACTCTATTTTTATAAGGTATAGCCTGTATATTTTTGATCATATATATATATATATATATATATATATATATATATATATATATATATATATATATATATATATATATACAAATATACAAATACAAATATAACTTAAAATTACCTCCAAAAAATATAGCATACTTGATATTGTGCTCGAGTTTTTTAGAAAAAAATATGGATATGATTTTTTAAGTTCATCATCTTGCAAATCTACTTGGTGTCTTTAATTTTCGTGTTAACGTTGTAAAACTATTTTTAATGGCTCCCAAAAACACTATTTCTAACTAACATGACCTTATAGGATATAGGTATATCCTATATCATAAATCCATTTAAAGGTTAATAACTAATTAACTATTAGTTCTAAATATATTTCCCCCTAATAACTTTATTTTTTTGAAAGGAATGCGGTATGTATTTTTCTGGGATTGGGAATTATGTAAACTTTTTAAAAATATAAAATTATACAGGGTTATTCACGGTGAGTGTCCTATCAGACGAAATAACCACTATTATTACTTACGTAATATGAGCTACCTATGCGGTGTTGCCAGATATCAAGTTTCGTTTTTTAAATGGAATATCCTGTTAATTGTTACATTTTTGAATTCTGCGAAACATTCTGGAAGTTTTTTGGGTAACATGTACCCTACCTATCTTGAACATTTTCGGAGATGAAAAATACTTTTTAAGAAATTTGGCAACAAACAACCTCATATAAAATAATATTTTTTTTCGCGACCTGTCCAGCTAGACACCTGACTTTTTTAACTTTTCCCTATTAAGTTGCTTTATCATAATATAGTATCAGACTTAACTTAACTCATAAGATAAGCCCCAATTGTCTAAATATAAAAGTCCATGTTAAGTGGAAATTTTAAATGAACACCCACTGAGCCTTTAATTTGACATCTAAACCTACCAAACTATGGTATATCTATTTTTCACTTGTTCTCGAGTTAAACGCAAAAACCAAAATATTGCAATTAACTATAGTAACTTTTTTTGTAAACAAAATTGTCTTTGACATAAATAAACTTAATATTCCGTTACTAGCACATTCAAATGAATAATTGTAACTATAAAACTGGAAGGAAATACATATGACAACAAAAATTTAATATTCATAGAAACCGTTATACACAAAAATAATGCTAAAGACTAACAAACAGTTTGAAATTGTTTTTAATTAGATACAAGTAGATATTTTGCTTGAAATGTCCTCCATTTGCTCTAAGACATCCATGAATTGACTTCATAACATTAGAAACTGTGGTCCTTTGAATTTCGTGTGGATCAAGTTGTTGAAAAGCCTGTGACAAGGCGTTTCAAATCTTCTATTGTTCCAAATGGAGTTTTATCCACTCTTTCTTTAATAGTGCCCCAAAGGGGCATCATATCTGACTAACGTGGTGGCCAATTCCTTGAACCTAGACGCCTTATCCATTGGTTGTACAGGATTGTAAGTTCTTGACTTGCTCTATTTGTGCAATGAGCCGGAGCTCCATCAAGTTGGTACTCAATTCTCGTTGTACAATTCAAAAATCTATTTTATTATGCATCATAAAACAAAACAAGTTGAAACTTAATATATGTCGAAATGGCTTTCTCGTACAAATTTTGGTTTTTCTGATGACCAAAAGTGATTATTTCTTCTTTTAAAAATTCCCTCTAGATCTAACCAATATCATCTCACAAAAATTTACGCGTAATAGTTCATCACCAGGGAAAAGAGATTGTAGTGTAATTATTTTGTAATTATGCATATTACGTTTCTTCAGTATCCGTTGAATGGACGAATAAGATATGCCTAAATCATCTTTAGTACTCGGAATAGACGCATGTGAAAATATGCTAAAACGTTCGTTTCATTTTCTTCTGAGTTTGTAACAGGTTTTGGAAGTTCCCTTCTTCGTAGGATTCGAAAATTAGCTTCAATTCTTGTTGTCATAAATTGGTGGCAAATGCGGATATGGTTCATAAAATCTCCTACATCTTCCTGAAGCAATGCTTTCACGCTCAACTTAAATTTAAAACAAAGTCAAAATATCTGCGTTTGCATAATTATGTGCCATCTGCTTTCTCCAATAAATACAAATTTTAACTATGAAAACGCGACAAAATGTCAGTTTTTTTTTAACGGGTAACATAACGTAATTTTTAAATTATGCCAATTGGGCCTTGTCTTATGCACTCCCTGTACGCGATAAGTTAATTCTCATACTATAATATGATAAAGCAATTTAATAATGAACCGTAAACAAAAATTCAAGTTTTTAGCTGTACCGATTTGTTGCCAAATTTTTTAAGAAGTATTTTTTCTCTCCGAAAATGTTCAATGTATGGTACATGTTACATAAAAAAGTTCCAGAATGTTTCGTAGAATTTAAAAATGTAATAATATACAGTATATTCCATTAAAAAACGAATATACGTTACCAGTATATCTGGTAACACCGCATGACCAAAAATATTTTACAAATGTAGCTTACATTAGTAACCAACAGTTCTGATTTTTACTGTAAGCCATTCTCCATAAACGTCTAATAGGACACTCCTGTGAATAACCCTCTATAGATTTGTTAAAAAAAAAAACGTTAAAATTTTTCATTTTCAATCATTTGTATTTTTAATCTATTCAAAAGATCAAAGCATGTGCTAAAGACTTCAATATTCGATGGGTTGGATAATTTTGGTGGCTCTGGCACTGGTTTTTTACAGAATTTTTATGCTAAATAACGTACACAAGATACGATCCGCACCGCAACTTCGCAAAGCGATCTATTTAATGTTTCAAGGTCCTCAAAAATTTTTTTTCAATATTTCGTTCTAGAAAATGCAGTTCATATATTTTTAAAATGTCCATTTTTCGATTTTACGCAAAATTTGGGCTAAATAAGGGAGATATTGTACTTTATCTATATTATTAGAGATAAGTGAAATGCTGCTCAAAACTGACGGAAATGGGGATATTTTCAATTAATATAGTTAATTTTGAGCACTTTTGGGCAGTAAAACGCTCATAAGAAACACGCAACAGCCGTTACGGTTTCACAGTTAATAAACTTAAGAGATGCGGCGGGAGCAACATTATTTCCAGGTTTCCGCCTTTTTGTTCCAGTTTTTCTCTTAGCTGGCACGCGGTAGATGTATCCGCCTGCCCTTTCCAGACGTTAACGACACTCGAAGGAACGATCTCGAGTCCCAACTACCCGGATTTTTTACTCGCCCATCTCGATTGCACCTTCGTAATACGTTCGACGCCCGGAAAAAGGGTTTGGATCGAGTTCTCGGACATCGACCTCGATTCGGATACCGAAAGTGAAACGCCTAACAACGAAAATAAAGAAACGATCTTCGAATTGCAGCTGAGCAAGCGATCTGAAGCTTTCCGACCATTCGAAATGGAAGATTTGCTCACCGATGGTAATAAAATGGGATTTTATTTTTATTCGTTTTTTTTTATCGTCCACTTTACGACTGCTGAGACGAGATTCTATGCTAAAAGAGTGCTTAAATCGAATAACAACATAATACGACATTAAGAACGTATTTTAAAATGGAATAGTTTTTAATGACTGAATGAAAAACAAGTTTAATGTGATTTTTTTACGGTTTTGTCTGGATTATCCGAACTATCGTTCATTTTTTAGTATTTTCCTCAACGTTGACTATTGAAATTAAAAAAACAGTCAGTTCCAAGTTAATCTAAAATTCGCGGTGTCTTCAGCAACACTTAAAAACTTAAACACTATTTCTAAGTTTTGCATTATCATATTCCAGGTAGTTTTATATCCGTCGAAGAAACTTTAAAAATACGCCTACGGACTGGAGCTTTTCCAAAAGGGAGGGGCTTCCAAGCATTCTACAAAACAATCAGCAACAACGCAACCGAAGAAAAGATTATTCCCTTAAGGAACTCTTCCGCAGGTAAGCTTCATCATATTCAGTATAAAATATAATTTTATTTTGCGACAACAAAATTCAAAAATCGAAAATTTCTTTCATTAAATTTGAAGTCTGAATCTTTTAAACCTAAATCTTATCTTTTGAATTATATGAAATATTTACCCAACAATTATATCTCAAGTTTCAATCGAGTTTAGGTTAATTTTGGTCAAAATTAATAAGAAATACAAAAAATAAACTGTTTTTTTTGTTGTCATTTGCCGCACTACAGAAATAATTTTTGCTAATGAGATTAATTTTTTTTTTTAATGGAGACCAATTTGCATGTTAAGTTTAAAATCAAAATTCAAATTTTTGCTGCTAAATTGTATTAGTTTTATATCAATTTAAAACTTTTGGGCAATAAAAACTATAGGGGCATATATGTACAGAGGGTTCGGCTATATTTTGACACACACATAGAGACTTTGTTATGAATTATATCAAGTAATGGGAAATTCCAACGTTATAGGTTTCATTCCATGTAGTAAAGATATTCTGTCGAAGTAAATAACAATTTAAAAAAAAAAAACGACTTCAGGTTCGCTTAAACCTTGTTCAACTATTAGTCTTCTTCCATTTCCGTTTGGTACTTTACTACCAGTCGACCAATCTGTCAGAATTTGACGAGCATTAGATATTTTAGGTACAACTTAACCTTCATTAATCCACGTCTTGTCGAGATAAAAAATGTTCTGTTTTCGAATGGGAAATAATTATTCTCTTAACAAATAACTCTCAAATAAGGGGTCATTGCGGTTTTACTTTTACCAGGCCACATTTATATCATACAGTGTTAAAAGCATTCTATTTATTACTCAAGCTCCACAAAAATTTTGTCCAGAGCGGTTTAAAATTAAAAGAGTCGTCTTCGAGTCACATGGCTCAATCATAAGAGATTTTTGCTGGTCTTCCTGGAAATGTATTGGGAGATTCCTGACATTGGATTGACCTGCTGCCTTTCTTTCCCGCAATAATTTAAATGCTGTTGTCTTGTCAATTCCAATCATTCTACAACATCTACCGTTGATGTACTCATATTTTGCTAATATCGTTTTCACTGTTGAAGCTAAAGATTAGGAGCACATAATGAAAAATTTTATACACCACTATGAGTATAACCTATCTGAAATATTGCCCAATTTATATATGATTATCATATACATGTTGATTGTTATAATATTTTAATTTCAAAGCATAAGTTATAATATTACAATATATGTTTGACAATTTAATCTTAATAAAAAATCCAAAATTAAAACAAAAAAAATTTAATCACATCTCGATATTTGGTCTTGTGATTTTCTGTGTATTTGATATCAAGATAAACAATGTACTAACGCTAGAAATATCTCTCCTACAAAGTAATGCAGTAAAGTAAAATTTTGGTCTCTCTAAACTTAGGATCTGAAGATAATACTTAGTAGGAAAGAAATTCGCGTTACATATAAAATTTATGCAATATAGGACATGATTATCTCATCCACGTATTCAATGTATTAGCTTCCTTAATGACTAAACCGTCAATTTCTGAATGCTTGAGACGATTTTTCCAAATTATAGAAAAAGCTCATATAAAACATCTTTAATTGTAAGAAGAATCACCATAAGCAGCTACTGTGCTGTCCTCATACTCCACGTCTAAATTTTCTAATTCATTTATATACATACATACAAATCATACAGGCCCTAGCACGGTACCCTGTGGAATATCTTAACAAAGCTTTGATTTTATGTATTGAAATCCTCCGTTTTGTGACTCCGCACCAGACTTTAAACCAAAGCAGCATTAAATCCTGCAATACGCATTTCTCCATTAATTAATAATTTCCCATGCCACAAATTGGAAAACGATACTATGCAATTAATACCAGTGAAGTTTGTACAACGCCACACTAATATTTATCGCCAGGTGTTTTACTGCACCTAAATTATCCCGGTTACCCGCCACCCAACATTAATTTCCTGCAACGACTCGTTGCCCCCTTGGGCTACACGATTTCGCTGGAACTGCATCGAGTAAAGTTGAGCGAAGCGGATTGCAAGGATAGAAATGGAGTTATCGAAGTGTACGACAGTTATTCGGATACAAACGGAACACTGTGGAAATTGTGTTACGACACGGAAGACGAGATGTCGCTGATTTCCCCGCCGGCGATTTACCTTAAATCGTTCCTAAACACCCTCCAGCTGAGGCAGAAAAGCGGCGTCCTCGGGAACCCCTTAAACGGCTCCTTGAAAGTTTTTCAGGTAAAATGTTTTATTTGTAAGTGCGTTAAGAATTCTACTTCGTGGAGCTATGCTTAAATTGCATTTTGTAATTTTTGACTTTTATAAAAAGTATTCGTATTTTAGAAGGCAAATTCCTTTTTTAAAAATATTTTTCAAAAAATTGTAATCACTGGACTGAAAATGCAGAGTTTTCCCGATATACATTTTTTTTATTAATATCTAAACAAATATTTATCCGATTCTAATGAAATTTTTGCAATATTGTTTGGTGTATTAGGAGGGTAATTTAGCACAATAACTTTAATTATAACTTGAACGTTTTTTTGTTTGATTAAGCAATTAATAATGCAACTTCTAAAATGCTCTAAAAATAAAAGTATAATAATTTTAAAAATTTATAAAGACGTAACATTATTTTGAACTATGAACCTTTTAACCATTTCTAACACGTGGTAATAGCTTAAACAGAAACAAAAGAATCAATCTTTCCAAATTAATATTGATATCGATAATGTATTACTTACGAAGTATCCACAATTTACAATTTACCTAGTAAAAAAATAAGACCCATTTTATAATCGACTCCTAGCTCTGTCGAATTTTGGTTTTATTTGAAAAATCCGATCAATTGGTATTAAAAGGGGGCGCCCCTTAGGGCGTCCAAGCACTTAGGCCATCAGATGAGCCCGTTGTGCCCCAGACCGCGCTAGAGGGCGTCCAGAATGCCGCCCCTCCTATAGAAGGTCAGCAACTCCTTTAGCCCAATACCGTGCACTGAGTCCGGATCGATCAGGGCCGTTCCGAAGACTCCCAATCTTGCCCATGTCAAGGCAGGGCACTCGATGAGCAGATGATACGGAGACTCCTCTCCTTCCATGCACCACCTGCACTCCGGGTCGTCTCCAATGCCTAGCAAGCAAGGATGCCTCCTGAGAGTGCAATGTCCTGTGTAGGCCCTTGTTAGTGCTCTACACTCCCTTCTGGTCAGTCTAAACAGCTCCCTGGTCCGAGCGAGGGCGGACCCATCCATCATAAGCCTCGCCTGCTTCATTCCCGGAGCAACCCTCCAGCCCACCGCTGCCCGTTCTCTCACCCAGGCTTCGAGAGCTGGTCCCATATGCCTGTGCGAGGCGCCCTCCCAGGCTAAGGCGTCCGCTGCCTCATTGCCCCGGATCCCGGTGTGACCCGTGACCCAGACTTACGTGACTTTCCTTTGCACTCCTTTATCAACAAGGAACGCGCGCGCACTGCCTTCAGCGCCATAAGTGCAGCCCTACTATCAGAGCAGAAGAATACTCTCCTGCTTACGTGGTTGAGCCGAAGCACCTCTCTAGCCGCCATCAATATAGCGAAAATTTCCGCCTAAAACACGGTCAGTACTGACCCGGAGGGTCCGACAAGCTCGATCCCGTTGTCTCGCAGTACGCTGCAGCTCCGGCCAAATCTCACATTCTGGACCCGTCCGTGTACCAGACAAGTCCACCCCAGGAGCCAACTCTGCCCTCTCTCCACTCTTGTCAAACAAGGTCATCTCAGGGATCATGACGTCCCTTTAAAATGTCGTACGGGCCCCGATTGAAGGATCCCTCTCTTCAGAGCCCGCAGCTCGCTAGCCTGACAGCCGTCCTGGACCTCGTGGGTGCGGTCCTCATGGCGCCCGTTATGCAGGGGCAAGCCAATCTCTGCAGTTTATCAAGAACTAGCCTTGCCATAGTACCGTAGATCCACTGCATGATCCTTAGCCCCAGGCCCCAAGTGTTCCTTGATCTTATGTGTTCCTAGAAGGTCAACTTGGAGTCCAACCATACCCCTCCGTACGTTAATAAATATTTAGAAGAATCACATTAAGAATATATATATATATATATATATATATATATATATATATATATATATATATATATATATATAGACCATTTAGAGGTACTGTAGATGTACATAAAAAAAATACGATGTTCCATAATAGATTGAAATATTTTTTCATATGATTGGGGTATTTACCTGTCGGCAAAACGAATTATGATTTCAGGATGAGGCGTACAAGAAAAAGATCATTAATGCTGACTACAATAGAGTGGAGTCTTGTATGCCCAATCCATGTCAATATGGTGGAAGATGTGTAAATAGAAAATCCAGGAAAATTTGCCAGTGCGTCGGGCATTTCACGGGTAAAAATTTATTAAAACATTTGTTTCTTTTATTTAAGAACAGTACTAGAATGTAGATACATTCTCATGTTTTCCTACATTATTTTGTATAATACATTATATATTTGAAAATCTGCGAAACAAAGTATACAAGCGTTGAGACAGCTACACAGCTAACTGCACCTAATGCCCATTATTAACGTTTTCCAAGTTTTTTCTAATTGTGAAAATACTATAAACAAACGCATCTAATATTCAATAACTTCAATAAGTTGGGTTTGGCTTGCATTCTTACTTAAAGAAAGCTTCTAAAAAAATGATGGAAAAGAATTACAATATTTTAGGTCTTTTTTGTGCTTTGACGCAATGCGAACTGGAACCCTGCGTATTCGGAACTTGCCAACTGACGAACTCTAGCTATAAGTGCCACTGCAAGGCAGGCTATATCGGCCCTACGTGCGAACAGAAGCGAAAACCCTGTGAAGGGAACCCGTGCGAGAGTCGCGGTACCTGTATCGAAAAAGGAGGTGGATTTCAATGCCAGTGCCACGCCTGGTGGGAAGGTAAGTCAAAAAGGTGTAGTGCAGTTGATTTAAAAAAAATAATTTATTACCAACAAATAGTGTTTGGACTCGTCAATTGACCGTGGTCTCCTTAATTGAGTAGTCAAAAAAATGTTTTAAATAACATCTTGTAATTATAGTGTTACATTATTTAATAATAATATGCATTTCATAATAAATTACTACGTGTTTGAGACGTCCAATTTACCTATAACCCTCAGAACGACGCGACGGCGACGTAACGCACAATATTAATAAATAAATATAAATTTCATGGTATGTTCAAAATTATTTCCGTCAATTGACCAGTCAACTGACTGATCAATTGACACAAAAAAATTTGACCGGTCAATTCCACAACCCTACCAATAAATATTAACTAGATATTGAAATTTGGAATGTCGAACATGTCAAACTTGAACAGCCAAAACACAGTGGCGCTCCCGCTGTAACGAGAAATTACTAGGAAAGTAGTTCCAGTTTATTAGAAATTGACACGCTAAAAATTGAAAAATTTTATTTTACTATCAAGAATAGACAATTCTATTGATAAAGAAATCTATAACCTTACAGTATACTAAATTGCTTAATATAACACAGTAATATAGAACTAACAAGAGAAGCAATTTTCTTTTACAAATGCGAGCAGCCATCGCATTTAACCTATTTATCACCTTATTTTATAATACAATCCACAAATGTTCAATTGTATTAGATATTTGATGAAAATCCAATACAAGTATAGATCGTCCTATATATTTTTCAATATTTCTATTCCCACAAAAAATATTTGACAAAGTGATTGTTTTTGAAAATATTTAATAAAGATCTAGAAATATGTTTCTTATTCTACTTCATATTTCATGCTTTATCGGAGACACTACATTTATCATAAATTTTATTTTAGATTTAGGCTGATGAACTAACCAAAAAGGGAGTTTTATTTGTTTTTTGTTTCTATTGAATAATTATTTTTTTTTTTTTCAAAATAGTGATAAATAAGAAAGACATAGTACTTTGTCAGACTATTGTGCCACCTTGTATATTTTAAATACTTAAATAGCTGTTTCAAATATCAAACTAGGTGTTAGTGTAAGTATTTTTAAGAATAAAATGCGTGACAATGTAGTCGCACTTTTCTTGAGGATCCCGTTGCGAGAAAAGGATGCTTCACATACCGTACAAACCTCTAAGCGAACGCATGCTCCACGAACCGTTTTGGCTCGGTCTCATGACGGTGTTCGTTGTCATGGGGGTCATCGGACTAGTGTGGTGTGCGAAACGTCACTTCCCAGAGAAAATCGAGAAGCTGCTTGCCGAAGACGACAATAGAAACAGAAGTAAATATCGATTCGGAGTCGCATTGAGTTCATAACAGGCTGTCCCTTGCAGTTCACTCGCTGCGCAGTACGTCGGTGAGAGAACAGTTAGCGGCTGCGTCCAGCGCATCAGCAGTGACAGTCACACCCAGTCCCGGGCCAGGGTCGGCGTCGCGCTCGATCTTCGGACGTCTCGGTATTCGCAAGCCGTCCATCCTCAGCCTGACCAGTCCACACGCCAGCAGCGGCTACTCACCGGCCACAGCCCGTACTTTTAGTTTGGACGATTTACTAAAACCTTCCCCTAGACGTAAGGCTCGGTGCCTACGCTGTCGTAACCCTTGTACATTGACAAACAACATACTCACTTTGGTTCTATTGGTTCTCGTATGGAAGGTGCATTGAAAAATGTATTCACGAATGGGCTGAGAAAAATATTGAGCTGAGGCTAAATAAGCACTTTATTTTGATGCAATAGAGAATGTTAAAAATGCAGGCTACAAAACAGTTCATAAAAACACACATTTTGTTTTATCATAAATATTTTAAAAATATACTATTTACAAATCTATTGGATTCCTCCTACAGTGGTTGGTGATAAATCGATCTTACTGAATCCACAATATTTGTAAAAAGTATTACAGTAACTTGTGGAAATTTCTTTGAAAAATTAGTTTTTTCGTACACGATATTAAGAAAAACTTTTCACAACGTTTTATACTTGTAATGACAGGGCGACTTTCTCTAGGGGAGAGGTGGATTAATCAATGGAACTATCAAATCTACTTTTATGTAGCTTCATATATTTTCAGTTCACCTTCCAAGATTACACACTTCGTACGTAAAACACCTGTGGTCTGTACGTTTCTAAGCTATCTATCTTCTCTTTTTTGTAGATGAAATTTCCCTCTTTCCTCCTCACTTAATTGCGTGTGGCTGGTAGGTTGCACAGTACTCAATGTTTTATGTATATATTTATAGTTATCTGTTAGAGCTGTATTATAGAGCGCTTTACATAACGGTTTAAGCATTATTTTCCTTAAACGCATGTCGAACTAGAAACTCTTGACGGACCTACAAGTTCTTAACAATGAACTTTAGTTCCCTCAACGAGAATAGTTCTTTCCCAAATGATGCGTTTCGTACAGGAATATGCAAAACCAGCTATATATAATTGTCTAGTAATATTCAGTTATTTGTATGCATATATTTATTTCACTATCTATTTTCAACAACAAAAGTACTAAATATGTTTTAGTTTAGTTCCGTACCCTCTAATTACCCCAAACAACTTTTTTTTTCAATTTTATTATTAAATACTATTATTATTATTATTATTAAATATATTATTATTTATTATTGGATCTTAATTAAAATTAGTGGCGATACTCCCTGTACGAAAACGAATATAAAAAGAAATACTTAATTCATTTTTTTCAGTTTTGCGCCGTAAGAGCAGCAAAGTCAGATTGATTTATTAAATTAAGAAAATACGTTTGTTGTCCGCTTTACATTTAAATACACTTTATTTATTATTGCATCCTAATTTCGGTCAGAATAATTAAGCTTTTGAAGGTATATACAAGGTGTCCCAAATAAGTAGGCATTTCACAAACTAAGCAGTGGTGGTAAAATAATGCATATAATAATAAATAAATAAATAAAATAAATAATAAATAAAGGATAATTTAACTAAGAATGATTAACTCCAACCTTTATTTGGCCAATAAAAAAAAATTTTAATAAATAAATAAATAAAACACAGAACTGACCGATATATACAATAAAAATATAAATACGTGTAGAGATTGGCAAAACAAATATAACTGCCATAATCCAGCGGTTCGTAGAAGTATAAATATGCAGACGGTAGTAACGGAAAGAAAAAGAACATGAATAAGCCAAAAGTATGATTATTGAAATATTGTTGAATTAATGACATGACGTGGTTTAAAGTGATTTTGAAGCAATTCTGAAGACTAGGGCGCTATTAGAAATTACTATTGATAACGATAAGACAAACGCGCTTTTATCTTACGCCTAAATTTGCCACAGCATTATGAAAAATTGATATCATCAAATTTATGTAAATCCAAAACAAGACAGTACGAAAAAGGTCGTATAAATAAAGTTTTATCCGATGTTTAGGGATATTAAGAATATTTTCTAATCTAAATAAATAAATAAACAAATATAAATAATTTTTTGTACTCCCTTCTGCAAAATACCTAATTATAAACGGAAGTGTCGTTTTACTAAGTCAGTTTCGTCTCCCACTAATCTGAGCAATTTCGGATATTTCAAAAAAAGTATATTACGCAACACGTTTGGTTACTTTCGGTTAATTTGGTAATAGCATATTATGCAACAAGTGCGAAAAATGGCATTTGACTCACGAGTTTATTTGACACGAGCGGAGCGAGTGTTTAATATACGAGTGAGTGAAAAAGTTTACAGAATGTGTTGCATACTAAACTATTTCTACGAAAGTTAGTTTTTGGGTGCATTTTCCCAAAACAACACGAATACATTCACTGACATGACCGTCAGAATTGACAAACGTCAAATTCAAGACGTAGAAAATATTTTCGAAAACATCCGATCGCTCCCAAACCCGTGCGGTAAAATTCCGGAATTGTCCGAGGTAGCTCGGATTCGTGGGAAACGAAACTGAAGTGGTAATGTGTAATTAGGCATTTTACAGACGGGAGAAGAAAATTAGTATATTACGCAACAAGTGTGGTAAACGGCATTTGACTGACTTAAATAGTTTACCAAACGTGTTGCATACTTTCCTTTTTCTACGAACGTTAGTTTTTGCTTCAACAACGCGAATAAATTCGTTGACATGAACGTCAGAATTGACAAACGTCAAAATTCAAACGTAATATCCCGTGGGACAAGAAACTCACGTGGTAAAGGGACACTTCCCACACGCTAGATCGGTGTATAATTAGGTATTTTACAGAAGGGAATAGAAAAACTTTTTAAGTCATTTGCGACACTTGTTGCATAATATACTATCGTCTCGTAAAAGAAGTTAAATTATACAGGGAGCTTTCTAATTGAATGTAAATATCTTCTAAGTTGATTTTTGAAGAACCCCGCGTTTATTTTTATTACTTATGCTGTGTCTGAATATATTGATAGACATTATGCTACAGGCTTCTAATAAAATGTTACAATTTTGGAAATAGAAATTTTATAATACGTTTTGCTCAAATCTCGTAAAGAATCAATTACCATGAAATAACACCTAGATATAAGAGTTGATTGAAACTTGTTTTCGAGCGAAGAATACTTTTTTCTAATTGCAATTGTAAAACACACTACTGTTTGAGTGATTGGTCTACTATTTGGGTACGCCCGTATAACGCCTACAATGTCCAATGGTGATAGATTGTTTGCTACAGTTCAGTTTCTAACGGCCTCTAGGTACACCGTCTCCGAAAAAGAAGAGGAACAACTCAACGCCCACGAAGAAAAACGTCGCCGAGAAGAAACAAATCCTACAACAACTAATCTCGCCGGTAAACAAACAAACGAACAGAAAGGTGAACCTGGTCGAACTAATTCAAATGAGCGAGAGCAAAGGGACTCAAAACGGACCGGGCGCGAAGGTAAAGGAAACTAAGTTTAGCGAAAACGATGCCGCACTGACCGCCTTAAACGACCCTAAGTTAGAAAAGAAAGTGACCTTTGCACGTTTGCTAAACAAAGTTTCCGCAGAGATGAGTTCCGGTTCGGATATGGAAATGGGCATTATGCAAGCGAACAGGTTGGGATTTACCTTCGCCCGGCCATCCAGTACACCGCCCTCGCCCGGTGTTAACACCAGGAGTCCCAACAGTACGTCTAGCAATCAAGGTAGCGATTCGTTCACTAGCTCCGATCTAGCGATTCCGACCGCTCTTAGCTCGAGTATATCCGACTTGCTGATTAATAGGCGACAGAATAGTAAATCTTCAATGGGACGTCAAAAACCGGCTAGCGCCGACTCTATATTAGCGATGTTTAGGAATTTTTCAACCAGCTCCGCTGGCGCCAACCTTCCGTCGTCTCTAAAGTTAACACCTTCTACCACTCCAACGGCGTCTAGTCCGCACGATGACGTCGTTGGTGACGACGAATCTTCTTCTTCTTCGGTCCACACACCTATTTCGTTTTCGAGCGGTCCTCCAGAGAGTCCCATCTTGCATCATCCCGGTTATAGCCAGAGCACGATAGAAGTTCCGGTCTTAGATCCGCTCAGCGCTCACCGGACTTCTGGCAACAATCTGTTGCATCCGCCTACGATTCTATTGGAAATACCAAGCACAATCAATAAGTGCCTTTCGCCCATTAGGGAGTTACCTACCCCCTTACCTTCGCCAATGCCGTCACCAGCCCTTACGCCGGTCATGAGACGTAGCCCGTCGCCGATGTCTAAACGAGGCACCACCTCTTCCTCGCTGGACGATCCAGAAGCCGACGATAAGATCTCCATAGAAATACCCAACATCTCCATAAGCAACAGCGACGAAGACGATCACTACACCGATATCGCCATCGATCCGCAAGCTGAAGACGGTCTGATATTAGAAGAAGCTGCTGTTATGAAACACGGTGCCTTATACAAAACGAAGGTAGGTGAAGTTTGAAGTGTTCTTTGCTAATAGAGTTTTGGTCGTACGTTTCTTCGTAGGACAGTCTAACACTATCTTCGAATAGGTGAACCCTGCCAGTTTCCTCTGCTATCCAGGTTTTGATTGTCTTTCTTGCTCATTATTCGCCAGGATGTTGGTTAGTTTCCGTTACCTTCCAGTTCACTATGCTTTGGGATCCATATAATTGTTTCCTTATTGCGACACCCTGCCTCTTAACAATTTGATATAGTCTTAGCGGCGAACTGGGCTGTTTTTAACGCCTTCAGTGTCACCTGACTCTCCGAAATTAAGTTCATCTTTTTCCGCAAAAATTGGTTTATTTTCATTATTCTTACGAATAATCCAATAGGTATGTGCCAAGGCAGATTGGCACTTCCGTCCTTTGGTGCTCCCCAATGTCAACGGCAGGTTCACTGCAGCCTAGCAATTTTCACCTAACAGTCATTGCCGCCCCTTGCATCACCAGACTCTACGCGTATAGAAATAACAGTAAATACAGGTATAGCCTGTATATCTCATTAGGGCGCATCCTCCAGATTTTGCCACAAACCCTCTGGCATTTCTAGGGTTTAAGTTGTTAAATTGTCTTCTCTAAATGACAATTACGATTTAGTGTGTTATCTGGAATAACTCCCAGATCTGTCACCTCGGCTGAGAAGTTTATGCTTTCAGCCAGTAAGGAAAGGCGCACCAAATCCTCCAGTTTCCTCCCTCGGGTATTTCTACCGTTTTTCGGAGGTTTATGGTCAGGCTTTCCCTCGTGGGCGAAGCAGATGGCAGTTAGGACAGGATAGGATAGAAAGTACCTTCTATGTGTGCGCACAAATATTTGTGTTATTGTATATTTATTTAAGTATTCCTTTTTATTATTTTCTTTTCTTTCGCTACTAACTTGCAAACAATAAATAACTAAATTGTAGATTCGCCCCCCGCCGCTCGGTCAACTCTCCGATCCCCACACGCAATCGATTACGCCTCCGCCCCCACCGCCGCTGGTCATACCGACCTTGATCATCGAAACTCCATCCCCGACGAGAAAGTCGCCATCTTTGCTGTTTCCCGGCTCGCCGCCCCCGCAGCGCGCGTTTTCGACACACGAACCTGCCTTCCAATTTCCTTCCAAGGGTAATCGGAAATTTTTCAAGGACTTCGACAAACCCACCTCGCTTGATTTGCCCAACGCGCCGCCCCTAATCACCATCACGTGCAACATGAGCGAAGTGGACTCGGATGCGGAAAGCACGTCAGTCAAACCATCGACTCACCACCACGGAGTGCCTCAAGGAGGCATGACATACCTAAGCCCATTCTCGATGGGACCGCGGGGCGAACAGCACGCTTCCGAGTCAAATTTGAGTTCTTCTGGTTACAGCTCGATGGCAAGTCCCGGACCATCGAGGTGTGGCTCCAATAACCCCTTGTGTCCGTCGGAAATGGAAGACCAAGGACCTCCGGGATCGGGAAGTTGCCTTCGAAGACAGTCCCTGACGCCCGTATTAAAAACTTCCTCAAATACGACCCGCGCGGACCTTAAGCAAAGTACGGGGGAGCAAAGGAGAGGCAGATCAGATTCGGAAACGTTATCCGATGATCCTCTGATCGAGTCCAACGACGAGGGTATTGGCACGGATCACATAGATGAGAAAATCGACGAAGGTGAAGTGAAGAGTGCCAAAGAGCTCGAGGTCTTCATGACCGATGCCGAGACGAAAGGTGTTTTGGACCTACCGTTAATGTCGGCGTTAAATATGCCGCGAGTGGCCAAATGTGTAACCATAGAAGACCCGATGGATAGACTGCTACCGCCGGTGGTCTCTTCAAAGAATTCCCTACAGCTACCTTCCATAGTCGTTCAACTGGAGACACATGAGAGATGTGAGAAAATGTTAAGCCCGATGAGTTCGCGTAGCGAGAGTCCATTGAGTGACCGAACGACCAGATTTTCGCCTCTGTTTTACGGCAGAAATAAGGATCTGCTGCCGTTCACTGACTCGGACGGACTATACGATTTTCCGAGCTCGGATAAAGTGAACGTTTCGAATCCGGTGCAGCATAAGAAAGTGGCGAGAAAACGGGAAAAACGAACCCCGCGTTCGTGTAAGACTCCGAGTCCGACGAAACCGAACCCGGCATGGCACAATCATTTAGATGTTCCTAGCAAAGATTTCCAATATAAAGTTCCGCCTCCCAGAAAACTTAGTCCTAAGCGACGCTTGGTACGTACGCAGATAGTGAGCTCTTCGTCAAGCTCCGACAGCATTACTTCAACCAAAGAGTTTAGACGATCTTCGTCGAGCCCCAGTCCTGATACCATTAGGTGGTCTTCGCCCGTTGGTTGGTTGGATCAAAGGGGACATAAGTCTCTCGACATTTCCGTCGAAGAAAAGGTACGCTTGCTTTACCTTCTTCAGGCTTTCTTACGCAAGAATTGGAACAGTTCCAAGTAACAATTTTCAGAATTTGAACAAAGAAATATTCAAACATTAAAGTACGATACAATTAAATAACATCATTAATGTGTACTTCATACAAACATACAATAAATTGGCGTGAATAAAATGGTATGACGAGAATTGTTTGGTTATGATGCTAAGGTTTAACCATATAGCTACTAGACTTATAGAGGTCCTGCCTATGCTAATAGTGCAAGAACTCGTGAAGCAACTATGTAATAAAATTTTAAGATGGTTCGTTCAACATTCGCATGCGCGAGATTTACAATTTCGTTTTTAAACGATGGCAGCTCTAATTGTAAATTCTGACGTTCGGCCCGCAAGACCTTACGGTTTCCAACAACCAACATGGCAGGTCGTCAATGTTTGGTTGCTGCATTTTTACTGCAGTATTTATAGGTTTAACCTCTATTGAAAATATAAATAAAGTTGAAATCACGAAATGCGTCTCTAAATAACTTTGAGGTACTAAATATCTCCCAGAAAACATCTATCTGGAAAAAATGGTAGACAGAACGCAAGTCTAGTAATTGCAGAAAGTTTCGCCTTCCAAATATATAATAATGAAAAGTGCCTATGGACAATTGGTTAACAAACTGTAAGTATTGCAAAAGAAAATTAAAAACTAGTATAAAACAAGTTAATAAACAATTAGGCCTAAAGGTAAGAGAATTGAACAGAAATTAGTTTTAGAGAATTATTTAAATTAATATAATTAGTATATATTGGATTTAATTTGGCACTTCAAACAAACATCCTCATTTCTCGTATTTCTAGTATTTTGATGATGGTTATCTATTTAGCACTAACAAATACTATAAAAGAGATAATCACAAACACCAAAACTGAAAACAACAATGGCACAGACTGTTGAATTCTCTGTAACTAGCTCGGCGGTGTCAATTATATTCGGAATTCAGGGACTGATTTTGTGTTGTTATAACAATTAGTCATTTTTTTCAGAAAAATTACGGCAATGTGGTAACTCAACGGCAATTTCATAGCCATCTGGGGCGCATCACTTTTTACCGTAGTAGGGCCACTATATTCTCCTATAGCTATATGGGTTTGACCAAACCAATATAAAATTTAGTTTTTGGTTAGTAATGATTCTTCTTTTTTTGTGTATGCATATTACTCCTAAATAGCAGACACATCCAACGAAGCGCCCGTTGTAGGCAAATGAGCTTGTGGATATCCATTGAACTCTACAAGTGTCACACTTCTGGGTGTCATTTTGGAAACCAGATATGTAAAACTTCTGGAATCCCAGGATGGATTACATTTAGAACTAAGTATGGATTTCTCTTGGAACACACAAAGAAACCTTTTCAAATCCAAAAAGGGTCTTTTAAGCAATATTGGAAAAAGAAATATTCGAATATAAAAGTTTTTGAAGCATAGTAATAATAATTAATATATTTTTACTGGAACCATGTTAAGCTTTAGCCCAGGGATGTCAAACTCGCGGCCCGCGGGCCGCATGCGGCCCACTACGAACATTTTTGCGGCCCGGCCAATATATCCGCAAATAATAATAAATACGTGTGACTAGCGTCCGACGATAGCCGACGATAGCCGAATGTAGCCAAACACATGGTCTCAGTTCTCTGAACATAGTTTTGTACGATATACATGAATTAGTGCAGGTAATAGGAATAATTTTGTTTTAATATTAATTATAACTTAATTCATAGTACTCTCATTTATTTATACAGTTATTCCGTTTCTCTGGTAAGTTAATGTTAACATTAATATTTTATTAAAATGTTTTTTTTATACATTTTATTAAAATGTATTATTTTTTCTTAACAACAGCGTATTTATTCCAGCCCATTGTATTCAGTATGTCTGTATTAAAACCAAGTGGTAGTAAAATTAAACGAAAAATCATTGACGAACATAGGATATTCCAAGTAAAATGTGAATTAGAATACATTTGCTGTGAAATAAAAGATAAAATAATCTGCTTGATATGTAAAAATACTATTAATGTACCAAAGTTATATAATATTAAACATCATTACGAACAACACCAGTCAAAATATAACAATTATGAAGGATTAATGAGAGAAGAAAAGTTGAAAGAACTCAAATTACGACTGAAAAAGCAACAGTTGATGTTTAGTAAAGTATTGCAAGAAAGTGAAGCGGCGGTATATGCAAGTTACGTCGTTTCCGAGTTGATGGCTAAACACTCGAAGCCTTTTACTGACGGCGATTTCATCAAGGAATGCCTAATAAAAGCTGGAGAAATTGTTTGTCCTGGAAATGTGAAGGCTTTTCAATCAATTTCATTGTCTCGAAATACAGTTGCGGAAAGAATTACTGATTTAGCCGCCAATTTAAGTGATCAAATTAAAGCAAAAGCATCTAATTTCGAAAGTTTCTCCATTGCCTGTGACGAGAGCACGGACATTAGTGGCAAAGCTCAATTAGTAGTGTTTCTTCGTTCTTGTAACAAGAATTTTAACATTTTTGAGGAATTACTGGAATTAATACCGATGCCTGGTACTACCACAGGACAAGATATATTTACTTGTGTTTTTGAACTTCTGCAGAAATACGAGCTACCTTTGGCAAAATTAAATTCTGTCGCTACAGACGGCGCTTCATCAATGACTGGGAAAAACAAGGGCTTCGTCGCATTACTAAGACAAAAAATTAGTGAAATTCACGGTTCAAAGATTCATCATACGCATTGTATTATACATCAAGAAGTTCTATGCACGAAGGTAATAAACATGGAGAATGTTTTGTCATATATAAAAAAAGTTATAAATTTTATAATATCTCGAGGCTTAAATCAGCGTCAATTCACTGCTTTCTTAAGCGACTTAGATAGTGAATTTTCGGGTTTGTCCTACTATACCGAGGTAAGTTGGTTATCTTGCTCCAAGATTCTCAAACAATTCTGGGATTTGAAAGAAGAAATATGTCAATATTTAAAAATAAAAAATCAAGACGTAAGTTTACTTTCCGATCCAATATGGATACAAGATTTATCTTTCTTTGTTGATATAACTAAACACTTAACCGATTTAAATTTATCATTAAAATGGAAAGATCATATTATTACGAAAATGTTTGACATAATTAAAGCATTCAAATGTAAATTAGTTCTTTGGGAAAAACAACTCAACAATGAAGATTTGACACACTTCCCGAGGATATATATATATATATATATATATATATATATATATATATATATATATATATATATATCCTCGGGAAGTGTGTCAAATCTTCATTTTTGAGTTGTTTTTCTCAAAGAACTAATTTACATTTGAATGCTTTAATTATGTCAAACATTTTCGTAATAATATGATCTTTCCATTTTAACGATAAATTTAAATCGGTTAAGTGTTTAGTTATATCAACTAAGAAAGATAAATCTTGTATCCATATTGGATCGGAAAGTAAACTTACGTCTTGATTTTTTATTTTTAAAAATTGACATATTTCTTCTTTCAAATCCCAGAATTGTTTGAGAATCTTGGAGCAAGATAACCAACTTACCTCGGTATAGTAGGACAAACCCGAAAATTCACTATCTAAGTCGCTTAAGAAAGCAGTGAATTGACGCTGATTTAAGCCTCGAGATATTATAAAATTTATAACTTTTTTTATATATGACAAAACATTCTCCATGTTTATTACCTTCGTGCATAGAACTTCTTGATGTATAATACAATGCGTATGATGAATGTTTGAACCGTGAATTTCACTAATTTTTTGTCTTAGTAATGCGACGAAGCCCTTGTTTTTCCCGGTCATTGATGGAGCGCCGTCTGTAGCGACAGAATTTAATTTTGCCAAAGGTAGCTCGTATTTCTGCAGAAGTTCAAAAACACAAGTAAATATATCTTGTCCTGTGGTAGTACCAGGCATCGGTATTAATTCCAGTAATTCCTCAAAAATGTTAAAATTCTTGTTACAAGAACGAAGAAACACTACTAATTGAGCTTTGCCACTAATGTCCGTGCTCTCGTCACAGGCAATGGAGAAACTTTCGAAATTAGATGCTTTTGCTTTAATTTGATCACTTAAATTGGCGGCTAAATCAGTAATTCTTTCCGCAACTGTATTTCGAGACAATGAAATTGATTGAAAAGCCTTCACATTTCCAGGACAAACAATTTCTCCAGCTTTTATTAGGCATTCCTTGATGAAATCGCCGTCAGTAAAAGGCTTCGAGTGTTTAGCCATCAACTCGGAAACGACGTAACTTGCATATACCGCCGCTTCACTTTCTTGCAATACTTTACTAAACATCAACTGTTGCTTTTTCAGTCGTAATTTGAGTTCTTTCAACTTTTCTTCTCTCATTAATCCTTCATAATTGTTATATTTTGACTGGTGTTGTTCGTAATGATGTTTAATATTATATAACTTTGGTACATTAATAGTATTTTTACATATCAAGCAGATTATTTTATCTTTTATTTCACAGCAAATGTATTCTAATTCACATTTTACTTGGAATATCCTATGTTCGTCAATGATTTTTCGTTTAATTTTACTACCACTTGGTTTTAATACAGACATACTGAATACAATGGGCTGGAATAAATACGCTGTTGTTAAGAAAAAATAATACATTTTAATAAAATGTATAAAAAAAACATTTTAATAAAATATTAATGTTAACATTAACTTACCAGAGAAACGGAATAACTGTATAAATAAATGAGAGTACTATGAATTAAGTTATAATTAATATTAAAACAAAATTATTCCTATTACCTGCACTAATTCATGTATATCGTACAAAACTATGTTCAGAGAACTGAGACCATGTGTTTGGCTACATTCGGCTATCGTCGGCTATCGTCGGACGCTAGTCACACGTATTTATTATTATTTGCGGATATATTGGCCGGGCCGCAAAAATGTTCGTAGTGGGCCGCATGCGGCCCGCGGGCCGCGAGTTTGACATCCCTGGGCTAAAGCTTAACATGGTTCCAGTAAAAATAAATTAATTATTATTACTATGCTTCAAAAACTTTTATATTCGAATATTTCTTTTTCCAATATTGCTTAAAAGACCCTTTTTGGATTTGAAAAGGTTTCTTTGTGTGTTCCAAGAGAAATCCATACTTAGTTCTAAATGTAATCCATCCTGGGATTCCAGAAGTTTTACATATCTGGTTTCCAAAATGACACCCAGAAGTGTGACACTTGTAGAGTTCAATGGATATCCACAAGCTCATTTGCCTACAACGGGCGCTTCGTTGGATGTGTCTGCTATTTAGGAGTAATATGCATACACAAAAAAAGAAGAATCATTACTAACCAAAAACTAAATTTTATATTGGTTTGGTCAAACCCATATAGCTATAGGAGAATATAGTGGCCCTACTACGGTAAAAAGTGATGCGCCCCAGATGGCTATGAAATTGCCGTTGAGTTACCACACATATATATATATATATATATATATATATATATATATATATATATATATATATATATATATATATATATATATATATATATATATATATATATATATATATATATATATATATATATATGATGGCACTATATTCCGGGATATCATCCGTTCGCTCGTTTCGAAAACACTTCGAACACTGGGAGGTTATCGGCGGTGCGTGCGGTATTTATACTCTGCGCCGGAGATGGTAACGGTGCTGCTTGTGCGTGGGGGGAGGTGGCTCCGCCCCCTGAATTGCCGCGTTGTTAATTTCGTCCGATCGTAGTTGCGATGACCCCGTTGGCTGCTGTGCATCGCTCTGCTGTTTGATTATCGTTCTCCACGTGTTGGATAAATGCAGAGCGTCGTCTCTCGTATTGAGGTGTCCGGACTTTTCTATTTCGATGGCCTCTCGTATAATCCTAGTCCTAAAATCAGGAATATTAGCTATTTGTTTGCAAGTGCCGAAATCAATTTTATGGCCTGTCTGATGTTGGTGCTGAAACAAAGCAGATGTTGTTTGTTTGTTTCTTATGGCTAAACGATGTTCCTCGAGCCTGGCTGAAATCCTTCTGTTGGTCTGTCCCACATACGTCAGGCTGCACGATCCGCATGCTACACTGTATACTCCTTGGTTTTCTAGAGTATTTTTTTGTTTTGGGTTTCTTAGTATTGCTCCGATGGTATGGTCAGGTTTGTATGCCGTTGATATGTTGTGTTTCCGTAATATTCGGCCGATTTTGTCAGTAACCCCCTTGATGTATGGCAGGACAGCGATCGATCTTCGTTGGGTCTCGTCCTGCACTCTCTGCTGCGGCTGTTGTTATTAACTGATTGCCTTGCTGATGGTGCGCCTTTGGTATCCGTTTTGTCGAAGACAGGTAATAATTTTCTTCAGTTCTTTATCTCTGTTCCTCTCGTTTGTGAGCCTGAAGGAGCGAGCAATTAATGTATTTGCCACTGCCTGTATCTGTGATGGGTGGTGATGAGATTTAGCGTTCAGATATCTATTAGTGTGTGTTGGTTTTCTATAGACAGTGTGTTCCAAGTGTCCATCTTCGGTCCTTGTGATGTGCACATCTAAAAAGGGCAGACTGTTATCCTCTGATATATATATATATATATATATATATATATATATATATATATATATATATATATATATATATATATATATATATATATATATATATATATATATATATATATATATATATATATATATATATATATATATATATATATATATATATATATATATATATATATATATATATATATATATATATATATGATGACACTATACTCCGGGATATCATCCGTTCGCTCGTTGAACTCCGACTGGAATCCTGCATCCGACTGGAATCCTGCAAATCCTGCATCCGACTGGAATCCTGCAAATCCTGCATCCGACTGGAATCCTGCAGACGTTTCGCCAAAATCTCACTTGGCATCTTCAATGCTCGCGCTCCGAAAACACTTCGAACACTGTGTGTGTGTGAGTGTTCGAAGTGTTTTCGTTTTCTCACACACACACAGTGTTCGAAGTGTTTTCGGAGCGCGAGCATTGAAGATGCCAAGTGAGATTTTGGCGAAACGTCTGCAGGATTCCAGTCGGATGCAGGATTTGCAGAATTCCAGTCGGATGCAGGATTCCAGTCGGAGTTCAACGAGCGAACGGATGATATCCCGGAGTATAGTGTCATCATATATATATATATATATATATATATATATATATATATATATATATATATATATATTATATATATATATATATATATATATATATATATATATATATATATATATATATATATATATATATATATATATATATATATATATATATATATATAAATATAAATCTCACTTGGCATCTTCAATGCTCGCGCTCCGAAAACACTTCGAACACTGTGTGTGTGTGAGTGTTCGAAGTGTTTTCGTTTTCTCACACACACACAGTGTTCGAAGTGTTTTCGGAGCGCGAGCATTGAAGATGCCAAGTGAGATTTTGGCGAAACGTCTGCAGGATTCCAGTCGGATGCAGGATTTGCAGAATTCCAGTCGGATGCAGGATTCCAGTCGGAGTTCAACGAGCGAACGGATGATATCCCGGAGTATAGTGTCATCATATATATATATATATATATATATATATATATATATATATATATATATATATATATAGTATATATATATATATATATATATATATATATATATATATATATATATATATATATATATATATATATATATATATATATATATATATATATATATATATATATATATATATATATATATATATATATATATATATATATATATATTATAATTATTACAATGTATACAAAATAAACGTTTCTATGAATAATGATTTTTTTGCGGCCCTTCTAACGTTAAACCTTGTTTGTTTGGCCCAAGTGTACTTACGAGTTTGACATCCCTGCTTTAACCCAAGCATATGAACTTTTGTTTTTGGTTAGTAACGAGTCTTCTTATCCTGCGCATGCATATTAATTCTAGGCGGTGACGTTGCTGTGACTGATGTCATGTGCTCTATGAGTATGATATCCCGACCATGACTAGGCAAATTGGTGTTTTTATTTCAGATTGTTATGGTTGCGTTTTAACGTTTTTTAAGTTTTTGAGGTTATATTTTACCACTTGAATTAAAATTGATCCACTGCCATTAGAGAAATTTAGTGTTTTTTTCAGATTGTTATAAAATTGATCCAAAAAGTTAATACCAAATTGTTTTCAAAGCCCACGCATTTTTTCCTTCGATCCTCATTTTGTTTATCACTAAAATTTCCTTGGTTCCTTAGAACCATTAATAAAAAATTATTACGGGCTAAGTATGTTGTTATGGTTTGTTATGTCAAGATGCCCAAACAAGTAAAAACATGTTACCTAAGATTTTACCTAAAGCGATTTTACCGTCAGCGCTATATGAAAATGCATCTTACGATCTGTTTGAATAACATTGCCTTTTCAGGACTTTTCGACTTGTAGCTCACCCATGCTATCCAAATCATTAGACTTAGTGAAATGCCCACCTAAGCAACCCAAAATCAGCAGGCTGCGGGCGATCAGTAACCAAATAAGGTGATAATTTTACAACTGGCGTGTAGATTAAAAATAGTACGATTGATGATGAATTTACAGGTTTTTAAAAAGACTGGAACAGAGTCTGAAAAGGCGGACGTTGGTCAGTCCGAGTTCGGACACCTTCGACAGCGAAGACGAATCCCCCATGGTGACGTCGCCATTGTTGCAGCCATCCAAACGTTCTAAAATAGAGATTAAGAAGAGTAGCAGCATTAGCAGATTGCAAGGTAGCGGCGGAGTCTCATCTGGACCAGGGAAGACCAGATATAGGAAGTGGGACTCGCTACTGACGGAAGAAAAGCAACCCTGGACTAAAGAAGTGATATCCAAGAGTGGACGCCAATCTGAGTAGCGGACTGTGGAAAGTGAAACTTGGTCGGTTTTCGTTGAAACTGTATTGAAAATGCATCATTAGTTCTTACGAGATATATTAAAATCTCTGTGGATATGTCTAAGTGACCACTTAAATAAATCGTTGAAAAATTCAACTCCCGCGTCCAAATGAATTCCCGAATTCAAAATTTTGTGAGGCAATCAAAATATCTTATCAGTAGTAACCCTAGGTCGGTTCTGGGCCACTTTTGATGGGAAAATTTGAATTGCCATGAATATTCGGGTCAGCGCAACAAAAACAATTACCAACAGTTTCAATTGCAAGTCGATCAAGGGAACAAACTTTATATAAGTAATTTTTTAATCCTGTTTTTAATGATCCTGTTGTTAAAATTGGCGCTGTTAAGTTTACTTATAAAAATATATGTTTTTTAAATATAGCCTATAAATTAAAAGCCATGACGTTTTTAACTCATTGCCGGGTATATATATATATATATATATATATATATATATATATATATATATATATATATATATATACAGGCAAATGGGAGAGTGTAGCCGTTTAAAAATATAGATTAAATTAATTACACATTGTAAGCCATCACAATCTCTTTTTAAGTCACTCAAATCGTTCTGCCAATCGAGGATTATTTAGCACCATGACTTATTCTTTCGCGATTTCCGATATCGAGTTGTTGGGTTACAAATGATTCCATTTGCCAGCATGAGCCCAGCATCATTGTGGCGAATGTACTGTTAATTTTTACCAAGTGCCGTTTTTATGTGTTCGGGATGTTTTGGTTGTCGGTTTGGTGTCTCTAGCGAAAATAAAATTATAAATGCTACTGGTTTGTAGCGTTTGTCCGAGTTTACACAACTTGTATATAGTCAGTATTGTAAATAGGACCCAATGCTGCGTCGAGCGGCTCGGATAAGGCTTGTAAATGAGACTGATTTTCTACTATCGACCGTAGTTGTTAGCCAATCTTACAGTGCAACTTACGTAGTGTTTTAAAATACGCCAGTCAGCAATAAGCAACTGTAAATTAGAAAAATGGAATTGAATCGGCGCTAAACAATCAGCATTTGCGCGTCTAAACCACCCCGTATGTTGCGTTAGGGCACATTTCTAGTAGTTTCTTTACACACTTGCACTTCACCATCGTATAAGCTCACGCGCAATCTCATTTGAGATTATTCTTTCCGTATTTATTCGTATAAAGGGGATCTAACTGCCTACTTGATTAGAATTTAAATGGCTACGCAATGGCAATTTTTGTTCGGTTGTTTGGCATATAGAGTTCTAAAAAGGAGATCAATCGATAACGTGTCACTATATATACCATATGACGTACAGGCTATTGCGAACATAGTCCTACTTATTAGTTTTTATCTGTACAGCATAATGGCCCTTGTTCGAAGAGAGTTTTGCAGTACTCGATGAGAATTGAAGACTATTTTTTCAGCATTGCGTTGTCTGTTCTTCTTTCTAGGGTCCCTAGTTTATGGTACCCAACCAACATTTTTAAATTAATTTACAACATTTACAAGCTAAAAGTAACCAAACATATTGGCATCCCCCCCTGTTTATTGGAACCGTACAGCACGAAATAAACATGTCTGTGTCGAAATAAATAATACATAAATATCCTGCCAAGTTTTAATGTCATATACGGGTATCACCTAATTACTGATACCGCTGTGATCGTCTGAAGATTGTTGAAGGATTAGTTCTGGGATCGCATCTTTCAGCATAAGAAGGCGAAAACCGAATTAATCTGTTTCGCCATTTTCGGATTCCTTAACTTCTAGAGCAATATTATATAGAGGGAGCAAGATGTATGTGGCACAAATAAACGTAATATTTTATTCACTAAACAAAATCTGCACTAAACGTTTTCCATGTAAATTAATATATCGTTCCGTTGTTTGGTCGATTTTAATCACGTTCTTTTTAAGAAAACTGGCATTTTATAAGTGGCCATGTTCTAAAGGCTCAGTTCCCAGTCTCCATCATAATTGTTTCCGGGAAAATATGCCTTGGAGATATGTCAATTTTCTTGAATTGGCGACATTAAATTACAGTGTTCAGTTTTCTCGACAATAATGTCGGGTTATATTGTTATCTATTCCGCTGAGAAAGAATTCGAATTTAATTTCAGGTGCTGTGTGAATTTTATGTTGTGTTGCCGTTGTATTGTGAGAAATCTGAAAATATAGCTTTGTTTGACTTACGTTTTGGATTTGATTGTAAAACTACCCGGACGTATCCAGCCAGTTCACGCTGAATTAATAAAATGTCTATAATTAGTATATTATACAAGTGGGGTAAACTGCATTTGAGTTACGAGTTCTTGGGTACATTTTTGCAAAAAATGAATTTTTCTACTCCCTTCTGTAAAATACACTGAGATAGGTTTTTTTTGTCACACCAGTGAATGGTTTCGTGTCTGGAGTCTACTTTAAAAGGTGGAACAATGACAAATTAGAGAGCATAAACCACATTTAGGTGTTGATCGTTTGTGAGCCCTTTTCTTAAGTGGGGACGGGACGCACAAAGTCTTGCCTTTAGGATCGATAACAATAGTGGAAAATTTTTAAGGTTTGATTTTAAGGGCAGATTATTGCAGTTTTGTTGCTTGCCATTTGGTTTATCTACTAGCTCGTATGTGTTCACAAAAATTAATAAATAATTATACTCTGTAACAAAAAACTTAAGAGTAGAGGATTATGTTTCAGCTGTATATTTAGATGACATTCTTTGTTTTGGGGCATCATATAAAAGTTGTTTATATAACGTACATGCAACGGTATCCAGATTTACTTATTTAAGTTTCCTTATAAATTATAAACATAGTTTCCTGATTCCGCAAACAACCTGTACCTTTTTAGGATTTGTAATAGACTCTATAAAATTTGCGTTTACGTTACTGTCAGAAAAAGCAAGTCAGTTAATGTCTATGTTAAGATGGTTTTCTGGTAGAGGATGTTGTAGAATTAGAGAGTTTGCGCGGTTAGTTAGGACATTGGATGGATATATAGTAAACATCTAGAAAGAGAGATTGTAGCTCTCATTCTTAATGATGGTGATTATGATTATCATATGGTTATTATCATATGGTCATCATATGGACTTTAAAGGAAGATTTCCTTTGGAAAATATTTCACTTACAGAATACATCTACCCAAATCAAGAAATTTCAGTTTAAGTTAGACATTTTCCCGGAAGCGCCTTTATCCGACGAAAGAAGAAAGTCGGTTCTATGTAAATTAACTAAAGCTGATGGCAGCGTTCATTGCTGTAAAGTCCTTTGCAAAACACTTAGAAAATTGCGAATTCTTAATTAGATCAGATAATTCGACAGCAATATTATATATAAATAGAATGGGGGTATTCAGTTTTCTCGTTAAAATGGATTAACTAGGTCAAATTGGCAATGATGTGAACTTCCAACATATGGTTATTAGCATCATACATCCAGGGATAATTCGATTTCAGATAAACAATCTAGAAATAGAGAAATAAATACACAATGGGAATTAGCAGATTAGGCTTTCACGAAAATAGTTAAAAAATTTGGTGAACCCCAGATTGATTGTTTTGCATCAAAAGTGAACAAAAATTGCAAAGAGTTTTGAAGAAAATAATAATGGAAAAACGGAGGGAATCTTAGTTGTACCTTTGTGGACTGCGCAATCTTGGTTGGTATCCTAGATTTCTTTCTCTGTTTTTAGATGATCCTGTTATTTTTAAACCTGATGTAGGATTACTTCTTTCTCCTTGCAGAACAGTATACCATCTTTTGGTAGCCAAACTTACGTTGATAGCAGGACGTGTATCAGGGAAGCGTATTCCTTAAGGAATCTTCCAGTGTCACCTTATATTTTGTTAGCGTCTATCTCTAACGCCATACTTAAGCAATATGATTCAGCGCTAAAACAGTGGTGGTTTTTTTGGTTGACTAGAGTATGTCCTTTTCAATTTGCTATTAATGATTTGTTAAATTTTTTCACTCATAAATTTAATGGGGATGCTTCTTATGGAACTTTGAACACCATAAGGATGGCGATTTCTTTAATTTCGTATAAAGCAAAATTTTTTTGATGGATTTTTAAGACAAAACCTTTAAGGCGCAAATATGAGAAAATATGGGATGTGTCACTTGTTTTAAATTTCATCAAGACATTTTCCAATTGAGTCTTTGTCGTTACAGAATGTGACTGAGAAGGTGTTGATTTTGTTGACTTTCGTGACTGCACATAGAGCATAGACGTTAACCATTATAGATATTGATAATAGTTTAAAAAAAAACATCTGAGATCAAAAATAGAATACCTGATATTAGTAAGGCATCGGGATCTGGGAAATTTCAACCTAGTATTACCGTTTTTCGAAGAAAAAGCAGAACTGTGTGTAACAAGTACTCTTTTACAATATTTGGAAAGGAGCAAGCTTTTAAGGGGTAATGTGAAAAGCTTGTTTGTTTCTTTTAAGAAACCTCTACGGCGGTGGGGACACGGACTAGTAGTAGGTGAATTAAGTTTATAGTTGCTTGTGGCAGATACTTCACATTTTACAGCCTGTAGTGTAAAACATGCTGCCACTTCAAAAGCTTTTTGAAGGGCATATCACCAGATAGTATTCGGTCTACGTCCACGTCAGTTTTGTGCAAAATTTTATAACAAACTGATTTCGAAAGGAAAAGAAAAACATAAAGAATAGAAACCTGGATAAAGGATTGTTATTTAATTTATTAAGCGTTGAACTTTAATCTTATGTTAAGTATTAGAGGCTGTCAGGCTATCGTTATATTATTTATGTTATCATTGTCCAGAAATCAGATTATATTTTGGAATAGTTTCATAAATTGCTTGTTGTGGGCAATGTTTTAGGTCGAATAAAAATGCTTTTTGCTTTAAACATCTACGTTATGTGTAATCTTAAAGAACGAGGATGAAATATAATTAAATGATCAAACGAACTTAGCTAAGTGAAGTTCGATCATAATTATATGAAGCCTCGTTCAAAAGATTACATCCTGCCCTTAAAGGAACCCTTATCGAACAGCATATCGATAGCGGTCGCCGGTGAAGAGGGACACGTCTCCAGCCAGTTCATGAATGTGCTCTTAAAATGTATCCAAAAACTATTGATCGTAGGAAAGGTATAGTTTGCAACACGTTAATAAACGGTTTCAGTCCCTCGTTTATTAAGCACTCGCTAGTTGTAAGTTTAGATTAAAATAACCCCTTCGTATTTTTTTCAAAATGGAAAATATTAAAAAAACTATTGAGTTTAGCCATGGCCTAATCATATAAACAATATCTATGGATAAAACTAACGGTAGATTTCAAATATGAAGAAATATATATGGGGTTCCACAAGAGAAAAATTGACTTACTCTTTCACTGCTTCAATTTTAGGTTACGCGTCTCATGCCAGTGTGTAACTGTGTGTATTTTTTTTTTCATCGCCAACGGTTTCCAAGTCATAAACTGCTGACGCACTATTAGGACACCCTGTATATAGAAGACTTACCTATGATAATAATGTAATGTGCTTTGACATAACGGATGTTCAATATATACATGCGCGCATTTTAAACCAATAAGACCTTGCGACGTTCAGCAACCAACCATGACCGCTGACAATTCGTCACGAGGGGTAAACTGCAGGGGAATTCTGGTGTACGCTATGAAGGAATTCCCCGAATACTTCCAAATGACTTATGATGTACAACCTCGCCTTGATGACAAGTAAGCTAGAAGTTCAACTGCAATTTGTCTTCGTCTTTGGTGACACTAAAATATCAGACGAAGCCGCCTGAAGGGAATTAGAAATTGCATCAATTCGATAGGCTAAAATAAATCCATTGCGAATAATTCGGACAAAATATATTTTTACACGCCGCAGAAAAAAAATATGTGCTCAAAATGATCGAAATACCGTTCGTCCGTTGAGCCGCTGTAACTTGCGATACGTGTAACTAAGCCGTTGACCGTCCTCGTCATTAATGCTAGTAAGTTTCTTCAACTACAAGCAGAACCGAAATATTGAATCCTAACGAGTCTATGTATGGTGCTTCACCTGTGAAGAACGAATCTGTAAGATTTTGGGGAATACAAACCAACTGACGACTTCGTTGCATTCTGGTGTCGTCAACGACCCGTCATAATAAAGGAATTTCTGGTGTTGCTGCGGTATGAGTTTTGCGAGGGACAGGTTTTTGATCTCAGTTGACATTCCTGCTTTCTGAACTTGTGCTGCAGCCTTCGCTATTAACTCCAAAGCGCGTATGTAGTGATCCTTCGAGACCTGCGAAATTAAGTAAACTCTATAGATGTTGTCGTAAATGTAGTCACGTTAAGTTTCGCTAAAGACCAAATGTAAGTGATGAACCAGTAGAATGAAAATATTTTTTTCTACTCCCGTCTGTAAAATACCTAATTACCCACCGATCTAGCGTGCGGGAAGCGTCATTTTACCACGTCAGTTTTGTTTCCCATGAATCCGAGCCACTTCGGACATTTCCGGGATTTTACCGCACGGATTTGGGAGCAATCGGATGTTTTCGGAGATATTTCCCATGCTTTGAATTCGTGTTGTTTTGCGAAAATGTACCCAAAAACTAAACTTTTCATCGTAGAAAAAGGACAGTACGCAACACGTTTCGTAGACTTTTTAAGTCACTCGTTTGTGAAATACTCGCTCCGCTGCGCTCGTGTTGCAAGCTCCGCTAGTGCCAAATAAACTCGTCACGTCACGTTCTGATAATTTATAAGGCATTCAGAATATTACAAAATAACGTTTAGTTTAATAAGCATGTGTCCAAAAAAGACTCTTTCATGAGATACCCAGTGTAAAAGTCCAAAAATGGTTTTTTTTATATTTCTCCAGCGGCTTAAGACACCTCAAACGAAATTTAAATCATAAATATACCTTTCATTGGGTCAGAAATTATTTCTTACAAAATTCAAGCTCAAAAATATTAACAGCAATAGAATTATGAAAAATGTTGAAGGCAAAATAGGTACCCCCACCTCCTTTACTGATGCTCCTGTCTAAGATTTTAGAATTTTCGCAGCAGTGACTTTTATGGCTCTGTCATAAATATTTATGGTCAAAATTTCATTAAGAAATCTTAAACCGTTTCACAAAAATAAAAAAATATATTTTTTGGAACCCCACAATGACGTATTATTTTTGATTTTCTATTTCCCCTACCAATTTGCTGAATGTTATTTGACACAACCTGAATACAAAAGTGTAGGGTGTTATTGAACTTGAAAGTCAAGAAAAATTTTTGGTATAAATGGCTTGTCGCTTAGCTGGATCGCCAAGTGTTCGCCATTAATTCAATCATCTTTGATAATATTCAACTATTCCATTATTAGCCACCGAATTGAGACAGACTTTTAACGGTTTTAACAATTCATCAATTTCAAAAAGAACACGAAGACATGTTCTTTTAAGGATCAGCTTCAAATTGTTCTACACATTGCACATTTTCAATATCTAATCTAAACCAATAATTCATTAGTAATTTTCTCTGTCGGTCACTCTGAATGGAATAAACTTACATCTTTTGTAAATATATATAAATATGAATAAATATAAAAATAATAGTTATGTTAGATTTGGTTACTTGAAAACAAAGGAACTCGCATAAATGTAAAATGGACTTACGTCGAACAGTACGCCAACTACGGCAACACTGTTGGGATGCTGAATAGCATCTTCCAAGCTTGGATATACGGCGTCGAAAAAGACAAAATGGGCTTCCAAAGGGTATCTAAAAACGAGTGATGATAAACCCGCAATTGGCGATGCAAAAAAAATTACCTCCGATTATCTAAAGTGTGTTCCGACTGCCAATGAAAATGCAGGTCGCTAAATCGAAACGTTGACGCTAGGCCACCGCCTTCAAGGGTTAGCGAGCTATTCGGCATTGTCACACGCGCTACAAGCCAAAACATCTGCCTCACAAATTTTATGCCGCGATTAAAACCCACCTGTGTGGCCATTGTTTGTAACGCGGGCATCACAATTTACGCCAAGATTCCTGAATTCTAAAGGAAGCGTTGGTCTTTGGACGCTCCGCCTCTCCTTTAGAGCTATTGGAGACTGACTTTTCCCCCTCTGACAGGCGCCTTCCCACTTATCTGACAAACCATATAGCTATACTTGGACCAGGAATATAGTGCTTTTAAAATCGAACCCGTGATTAACTTCGCCTACTGTTTATTACTCCAAAACCCCAGCCCTTTATGGAATACGCCGAACAGACCCTTACCCGCAACCATTCCAGAACCGTCCTAGGAATTTATCTACCTACACTAACAAGCGGAATATAAGTATGTTTTCAATTTTTTTCGTCGAGCAATTCTTGAAACGTGTACATAAAAAAATTAGTACAAAGTAAGAATTTATCACGTTCTATTTCATTACATTTCTACATAGCATCATTAGTAATATACAAAATATTAAATATAATAATAATAAAGTATCAGTCACTTAATGAATCGTCACTATCGCTACTGTCGTTGCCTAGTTCAGTAATCAATTTCGTCCCTAATTGTACTCGATAAATATTTTCTTCTTTTATTACAAATAGACCAACTTTGTATTGATATTTTAGCTACCTCTTGCCGAATTACGTTTATTGTACTATCACTAAATGTTGGTGGAGTGTTATTTCTTCTTATATGTATTTTGTAGTCTTTATTAATATGTCTTATTTTTAATAATTTCAGAAGTTGCTTTTTCGTGTAGCTCTCTTCAGAATATAATTCATTTTCGTACAGAATTTTTTTAATTTCTTCTTTATTTGGAATTTTTCTAATTTGGGCTGGATGATACTAGGCATTATCCAACACAATAACAGTATTCGGCGATAGTTGTGGCAACAGATTTTCAAAAAAGTCCTCAAATATTTCGGCGGTCATGTTGTCATGGTAATCTACACTTGAATCTTTGACATTTTTGGTAGTCAAAAACAAGGCATCTTCCACCCAACCATTTTTGAACCCAGTATGAAGAATTATTATGTGTTTTCCATGTGAAGGTGGTACGTCTGGTACACTGTTACTGTTTTAACAACATTATTTTTTTACTGTATCGTGAGTATCGAACCACGTTTTGACTAAATACGCTATTGACCTATTTTGCTCTCAACATTTTTTCAATTGCATTTAAATAATCCACCCCCAACTGCGAAATTCTTTAAGATTCCATTAGCACTTGACGTTTATTAATTGTTTGGCACTGAAAATCCATTTTATTCAAAAAAGTACATCAGTAAATCTGTCAGTACTTTTTTATGCAGTTCTTCTTGGTTTAAAACACTATTCACTTTTTAAGCGTCGTAGATTATACTCCTAATTAGATTTGTGTGTTGCTCTTCTTCTTCATCTTCCCTCACTTTCCTCTTGACTATCCCATTTGCAACTATTTTTCTTAAAATTGACTTTGGAACTTTGGTCATGTCACTTGTTTTCATTGCTGTCCCTACTTCCCTTTCTGAATATCTTAAAAAATTGTAAACATTCAAAACAATTTGTTTAGCATCCGGATTTGTTTCTTTTTATTTGCTGAGGTAGTTGTCTACTAAATTGTCATTAGGTTCCACAACCACCTCAAATTTTGCGTTATTTTCCATGTCTTCTTCTAACAGGTAAACATCTGCTTTATTCTACGGTCTCCACATTTTAAAGTGTTAAAAAACAGGAACCTTCAAAAAATGTTCAATTGTCTTATATAATCTATAGTCTTAAAACAGACTGTTGTTGTTTACAAATCGAAGAATTATGTAGAAGATACAAAAATACAAGATGAGGAATGTTGTTAATGGACAGGTACACAAGATATGGTCTGTTCATAGATATAAGAAAGTCACCAATTGCTTTTGAATGGGATTATCCAAGGGTGGTCATTAACATACAATGCAACAAGATTATTACCTAAAGTTTCGGAATTTACATTCAGGTAAAATTGTGGTCCGTAATAGAAAATAATTTTATACCTGCCTGTGTTTAATATTCTTTGGTTTGGTATACTACTTAGTTTAAGTTTATTAGTAATCATTCTTATTTCGTGTGTAATACAGCGTGTGTTAAATCGTGTGCGAATTATGCAAAATATGTGCGAGTCTAGTGTATCTCAGGAGATGCTCCCGCCCAAATGTAGAAAACACTATTCTATTGAGACTAAGGAAGTTATAAACAATGTTTATTTGACTCTCATTGAACGTGGTGCCGGCAAGCATCTTTAGAAGAAACGACCACATTGACGAAAATTCCAACATCAACTGTATGGAAAATTGTGAATAATCGCATTTCAGCGAGGAAAAAAAGAAGCGACGCTGACATTTTCTCGAGTGTAGATGAAAGTGATCAAGATATAATACGGCGTAAAATTTACCAGTTATAAGAGGAACAAAGCGTTCCTACATTAGATATCTTAATTAGGGGGCTTGAAAAAGATGAAAACAGTGTTAAGTGTGGCAGAACTACCTTATGAAAGTGTATTTAACACATGGGTTTTAGATTTTAAAAAATTGACAAAAGGCAAGTTTTAATGAAATCTATTTAGAATTCGGAAATGGCGACTGAAATATCTAGAAAAAAATACGATTTACAGAGAACAACAAAGGCCTTGGATGAAACCTGGTTCGACACTTATAGTAAAAAGCAATTAATTGAGGTTCTACAAAGCTTGAACCAACAAAAAGAATACGTCTGTGATAATTATGCAAAAAATCTAGGTGTTAAGGCCTTACCACTGTATATTTAATCCCATTGAACATGTTTGGCACCAACTGAAATCTGCCATTCGTCGTAACAATGTTTTTCCCCGTATTAACTCCAATGTCCTCAAACTTATAGAAACCGAAGTTTTAAACATCCCCCCACAAAGTTGGGCAAATTCTGTTAAACATATAGAAAAATCGGAACAATCGTATATCCATATTGCAAATAATATAGAACAAATAATAATTAGAACAGGCGATGATAGCGATAGTGATACTGATATATTATGTGAATAATTTTAAGTAATTTAAGTACATAATAAAAGTAATTTCTAATTTTATTTTATATTTAAACACAAATACATAAATAAATAAATGAATGTTGTTTAGTATCTTTCCTAACAAAACCCCAAATAATTAAATTCTAAACAAAGTACGGACCTGTTCGGCCATATTTCATTCTTACAGCTTGCCTTGGTCTTTCCTTAATTCAAATCAGTTAGTCACTTTCTTATATCTATGAACAGACTTTACTTACCCTTACCCATTGAACTATCTAGTGAAGACAGCCTCGCAGGATAGAAGCTCGAGAATCAGGTACATAAATACCTACTTACTGGAAGGATCACAGTCAAATACCTCCGTAATTTGCATTTGCATTTGCAAATTGCAATATTGCAATTTAGATCAAACTCTTAAGAACGGTACATGTCACCTGATGTTAAAATAAACACTTCTACTTATTCGAAAATTCCCCACAGTATCAATGTTCAATCAAATTTAAAACGGCGCATTTACATTGCAAATAAAAATTTCAAGTTTCTACAAATATTCGTTACGGTCCATCTCAGGCAAGAGCTACTTAATGCCGAATAAAGATCTGCTGGGATAGCTTTTACCACGGTCCTGCGAAGGTCTGCGGTTAAGCTACTGTAAAATACTTCAAACGTCAAAGCAATAAATGCACTATATTTTTGGTCGTATTATACTAGAAATAAAGAGGCCCTGCCGATGCTGATAATAGAGGTACTTTTGAAGCAACTATGACAAAAAGTCTGGGAAGCTCTATTCAACATGAGCATGTGCGCGATTTAAAATCTCGTGTTTAACCAATGACCCTGAGGCATTCAATAACATGACCGCTTTTACCACAGTATTTCCTCAAAATATGTCCAGATCCCACTAATTCTTTAGGCAAAAATAAATAAATTAAAAATACTGTTGGATTTATTCAATTGAAATAAAATGAAAACATATCCAATTTTTTAATGACTTATTCTATCACAGGTAAAAAAGATAACCTTCGCATATTTTATTATTGCTTACCCTGTTCGTTGTATGACCAATCGGCTGTTAAGGCATCTAAAAATTAATTCACCATGTTTTATAAAATTCAAAACATTTTATAAAATTCAAAACGGTGTTGTCGAAACAATTGTCATGTCATAATATATAATTTCGTGAAAATCTGAACTTTTAGTTCTTATTTATTTTGATGAATGGATTTTCATCAGTATATCAAATTATTATTTTATTTGGTATTCAGAGCAAAAAACTTGTACAATTTTAGAATTTGCACTTAAAACGTATTCTTGTATATTATGGTACGGAATCAGTTTGTGAAGTAGTTAGATAATTGAAGAATAAAGCGATGATGATTAAAACGAACACGACTTACTAGTAAACTGATGTAAGACGAGCGATAAAAACACAACTCGAATACTGACGGGCTTGGACATTCTTTGAACAAATACTAATAGTTCCGGTAGTATTTTCAGTAATTTATACTAAAAATTGAATGACTTAACAAGTGTAGGTTAAACCAATTTAGCGAGATACCGTAAATTGCGGAATATCGCAGTGATCGGGGAAAACTGTTTTATTTTGAGGAAAACTTTTTATCTTAACTGCTACGCCTAACATTTTTGCCGTATGTTATCGTAGCCGTGCAACAGTTTAGTTTTAAGTTGTGCCAGCAAAATAGGTACCTATACATTGGCAAATATATTGCACGGACTGAACAAAAAAAGTAAATAAAATGTGCCTTTCACCTAAATATTTTATTTCAAAGTTGGAATTTTTAATCTCTATTCAATTTAACTAATAGCTGATAATTTACATAGGCTGCCAATAAGCCTTTACCGTAAAACATACCAGGTGTCACCCCAACCCACTGGTGATGGGAAGGAGGCACTTTGAAATGTTCAGATTCTTTGTGGCAAAAACGTCAGGTTTAGTCCGACATGTTATTTGGCATTGTCGATAGATGTCGCTCTAACCGCAAAAAATCTATTCGTCCTGTTTGTCAAGAAATCCACTGATCAATGTTATGAATAGTAGCTTATGGTTGAGGTTATTGAATAATTTTGTAATCAATATTTAAATATTTTTGTTTATTGATCAATTGTGAAATTTTCCACATATTCCATCATTTTGATATTATTGGACACCTGGCCACTACACAGCTACTAAATATACATAGGCTTCGCCTATTCTGATACTACAGGTAGAATTCGCTTTCAACCAATAAGACCTTCCATTTCAAATGTCGTTTTAAACCAATTAGACCTTGAGGCGATCAACATGGCGGCTGACAGTTTCCGCAATTTACTAGAGATATGGAGTGCCTGCTGATAATACAGGAACTATAAAAATTTTGTTGAGAAGGTCTATTCAATATGCGCAAGATTTAAAATTTTTGTTTTTAACCAATGACCCTGCGGCATTCAACAACCAACGCGGCACTTTTACGGCAGTATTTTCTCAAAATATGTCCAGATTCTATTAAATCTTCAGGCAAAAGGGAGTTAAACCCGTGTATATCGTTGTTAAGCGCAAACTGCAGGCATATGCGGAGGAACGTTCCCTTCTCTACGAAAATATTATTCCCGTCCGAGGAGCATCAATTTTTACGGTATTAAGGCCACTATATTTTCTAATAGCCATATGACTGCACCAGTTAATAAATTTCGTTATACCTTATCGTTCGCAAATTAAAATTCGTAGATATCGATCCATTTGTTGTTAAACAATAATTGTAAAATAATTAAATTAGTTGGTAATGGTTACTAGGTATTGTTTCCGTTTACGAGGAACGTTTAATTTTGTCGCTAGTTTTTCTTGATAGCTTATCCAAGGGCATTGTTCGGGTTGCTTAAACTCGACCATGTAAAACTTATCGGACCTTAAATATTTTTCGTTCAAAATTACAAAATCAATATTATTCACTCTAATCGCGACCTATTAATTTATATAATATCTCGAATTATGTGAATTATTCATATTTGCGCGCTCCAGATTATCGTTTTGACTGACCCCAGATAGCACACAATAAATAAATAAATAAATAAATATATATATATATATATATATATATATATATATATATATATATATATATATATATATATATATATATATATATATATATATATATATATATATATATATATATATATATGCGTGTGTGTGTTCCAAGTGTTTTCGGAACGCGAGCATTGAAGATGCCAATTGAGCGAATCAATACGTGAAAATATATATATATATATATATATATATATATATATATATATATATATATATATAATTCTACGGGCTCCCAAAGATCCATAAGGACGGGGTTCCCCTGCGTCTAATCGTAAGCGCTTTTAACTCACCATTATGCAAGCTGGAAAAATATCTGGCCAGTGCACTTCAGCCTATAGTGGAAAAGGCAGATTCCTATGTTAAAAACTCAGAACATTTCACTCAGATTTTAGGTTCTCTCAGGATGGACAAGGACGACATTATGGCAAGTTTCGATGTCAAATCCCTCTACCCGAGTATTCCAGTAGAAGAGGCACTCTTGCTTATAGAAGAAAACGAAGATCTTCCGCCATACATAATGGATCTGTCAAGACATTGCCTGAAAAACGCTTACTTTATTAAAATCATCTTGTTTTTATTATTTTTAGACACGAACGAGACAAGAAACGCTATTTTAATAAAAATACCACAGAAAATACGGATTCATCTAAGTGAAAAAAATACAAAAAATACAAAAAAATAATATATTTGCTTATAACATCCCATTTGACAACACCGTTGGGCTGCAACTAATGACGCAAATACTCGCGGTCGTGCCGTGCCGGACTCGCTCGAGTCTTGTCGGCCTCTCCTCTGTCTCGTCGTCCGCCATCTTTTCAGCCTTGTTTTTGTTGGCCGCATAAAGTATACGACGACTTGCGTCTATTTTGAGTATTTTGTGTGCTGTGCTTACTGCTTTCAGTGCATTCATTTCATTTTTTTTGTCATATTATTATTACTGAAGAACTAATAACTCATGTTTTGTCGTAATATATAATATAAGGTTTGATAAATTCTAAGCTGAACGAACCATTATAGTGTAGTCTACCAACATCATGCCTTGTTTTTTTTATTTAATAGGTCAATGAGATACCAAGATCAGGCGGCGGCGACAGTTATGGGTTATGTAAAACAAGCTCCGATTCAGCTGATTTCAAATGAACTTGCAATGAAATTTAATTGGTTGGGCATGAAGAAAAAGGAGAAATTTTTAAAATTAAAATTAAGTAAATAGGTATTATGTTTTTTAAAAATAAATGGGACGTAAATGTAATATAAATAAAGTATAAAAAATATTATGGTGATTGCTTAGTTGATACTTTTTTTGAGGAGTGATTGCTGGACCGAGTTAAGATAAAGCTGACTTTTTTGTAACCTATATACGTTTTAGTTTACGTATCTCTTTTGATTCTAGACTTCTTTTCCTATCTTTTTGCTTAGTTTTTGAAAACGAAACACTTTCTATTAATGTTTTTTGAGCAGTTAAATTAAACTAATTTTTTATTAACGAAGCAATGTCAGAGAAAATACTCCAGAACAAAATTGTATTCTTAGTTATATAGTAAAGTATAGTTAGTATATTTTTTCCTTGAAATAAATGCAAGAATCACTTCGCAAAAACAAAGTATTAATTTTAGGAATCACCATTCATAAAGTATAACTTTCACTTTAAAATGGTTGTTGAATTAATTCACTATTTTTTTCTATTTTTCAAATTTTTTAGTTGACAAAAAATATTGCGTGAACATATGCCTTTACTGTCAAACTGAAAAGTCATATTTGTTCTAGTTTTTTTTTTTTGCGCGCGATAGTAGTAATGAGGTTTGTATTTAATGAAATGAAATACATTGTATGTATGTATGTATACCTACATCATCGTGGAGATTTGCATCTAAGATCACTTTCATGAGAGTTCTATCAGCGTAATCAAGCCTTTACTTTAAAGGCGGATGTAGGGATTTTTTAAATATATAAGATGCCAGTCTCGTTCTTTTTATTTTTATTATAAAGTACAGATATATAAAAGCTCTTTCTCAAAACTGAAATAATTTCAGATGCGGATAAGAAGGCATATAAATCACAAACATCAAAAGAATGTGAGAAATCACAAGCTGCTTGGCAGAGAAAAGCTACTTTCATCAAAGAATGATAGAAAACCTGTCAAATATTAGTTAATTAATCTTTTAGAATTTAGTTTAAGATATAGTGTCTTACTCTATTTTTAAGATACTTTATATTTTTGCTATATTATGTATATTATGTAGAAAAAACTCAGATGTGTATAAAATGTGCTTTATTAATGGTATCAATCGGCAGTCCTTCACTTTTACCATCAAAAGCAAAATTAAAGATCAAATAATGATTGGAAAAAACTTGTGCATTTCAAATATCGCCTACTATTTCAGTGATGACTTCACCAACCATAGCCAATAGGTAATTCCATCACACGAGAGTACCAAATACTGGGATAGAATTTTTGTAGTCGTACAACCAATTGGATTATATGGACCTTTACAGTATTTCTCATAGGCTCTTAGAAATAACCTAATAAGTAAGGTCTACTGGTATATCTATATAATATCCTAATATCCTCACAGTCGGATAAACTAAAGACGTACCAACTAGTATAACTGGAAATCCTTAGAATGTCTTAACAAACGTCCTACGGACATACGTATCTGATATACTGTGGACGTTCCAATTAGTAACATCGTATATCCTTGACACGTCTTAAGAATATCCCTTAGCTGAAACAGTATATCAGTAGGATATACGCTATGTCCCGTCAGATATCCCGAGGACGTTTTACGGACTTGTGCTATTTGGGACTGAAGAGCGAGCGCAAATATAGAAGACAGCACCCACTAGAGACAGAGATAAAACATTTGGGCGATCTTCCCGAGAAGCGGCGCCTGGTGATCTGACCCCTGCCTACGTACACCCAAGTTTCTGGAACATAGAGGAGCCAAGCCAGGGCCAATTTTTTTAGGAAACACTGAGTGGAAAAAGTCTGTCTGTCACTATATATTTTTCTAAACAGCACCATAACTAATAAAATTTGAGGCAACACGAGTAACTTCTGCGCAAGCACCGAAACACTGCAAACACGTCTCGTAGAACCAGGAAGATAAAATACATTTAAATTAATTAATCAAGAAATCTCGTATAGGTACCACGGAATATGGCGGCGAAAAACATTTCCATTTTTAACATTAACATTTAACATTTTTTGGTTCAGAGAAACAAATTACAGAAGATACAGGCAAAATCCGAAGCTAGAGGGAAAGGAAACAAAAACACGTTTATTAGTAATTGGAGAAACTAAAATCAACCAGTATATTTCGCTAAAATAAGTACAAAAATAAAATAAACTCTAGTAACCATAAAAAAGATAATACTGTCAAATTAATCGCATTTCGAAGCACATTTTTTAGAAACAATTGATTTTTGACGTTGATTCTAAAAGTATTGAGCTTTAGAATGAGCTTCAATATCTTTTTGCTGAGCCTCGAGACAATTAAATTAAGCGAATATACAACATTTCTTGCAGACTTTTTGATATTTTATGATTGATTATCGATTATTATGACGCATTAAGACAAACGAAAAATTAACAATTCCAAACAATTTAAATAATACTCAGAATTTGACTAGTACCAAGAGGAATTTTGCGAATACAAAAATATAATGTAATTTCCCTTTCTCTCTTTTTCCCAATTTCTATGACAAACCACAACACAAAAAGCATAATTTTATTCAGCGCACTGTGCCTTTTCCTAATCTCTGAGAACCAAAAAAATTTCTAAATATTAACGACAAAATCCTGATGTCAATTTTATAGAGTTGATCCGTTGAACCAAAAATTAAAGGAAATATAAAAACTATTCCTGTCCTAGATATTTCTGATTTCGATCGCTGGTGTAACATGGTAAACAATTCCATGACTTACTGATCCTTCAGCGTCGTTCCAGAAATACGTAAAACTTTCAAACACCAAAAACATTTATTAGATATAATAAAAATTATGTTACGCAAAGCCCTGTTGTCAAAACTTTACGTTTAATAATGAAAATTTCGAGTTTAACAAAACAGGAATTCGTTTTGGAGTGAAAAGTAACAGTTCCTAAATCCCACAAAATCATTTTTGTTTTACCTATTAATACCTGTTTTACCTGCTAGTTAGTGGTGACAATGTGTTGATTGACATTTGCCTATTAATAAAATAACGGTAACAACAAGGCTTTATAATAGACTATGTATGTATCTACAACAATTTATATAACTCGAGTAAGGATAATAATTAGTTTTCCTCGTCGGAACTGAGGAGCATCGTTTTTTCAGTGTAGTTCTGAATAATGGATGAAACTTTTGAGCTTAAACTCATGGGTGGTTTCGACGGATTATCTAGACTATTGTATGAATGCGGTACTGTGCCACCACTGGGGCTCATCGGATCGTCTGGGTCGTACTGTGACAGCCGGATGCCTCTGCCATTTTTGCCACCTGCAAAATGTTATTCTTGACAAATTTTTACGACTGATGTGCAAATAATATTTATTAAAAAATAACCATTAGCCAGAATTTAAAAAAAGTCTAAGCAGCGATAAGAACTTTTCACTCTTCAATAGATTAGAATAAAATAGCATACCCAAATGAGACTAGAAAAGACTAATATATGTTAATGTACAACTTTTCAATGTTTCAAATTTTCGCTTAGTTTTAAATGCTTCTTTTCAAATAAGTTAATCACTATTAAAATTTTAAAGAAAGAAGACATTTTAAACAATTATAAAAAACATAAATATTAGCATATGTTAAGTTAATTCTTTTTATTTTTTGGTTTTGTTTTTGAAAGATTCAGTTTTTTATATTTTTTATTAAATATTTAAAAAATATTATATCTATTAAATAACAATTACTTATATATTTTTAACATTCATAATCATAACCTACATTGAACTACTTTAACGGAAGAAAAATTCGACTGAACAAACCAGTCGTGAAATAATTACCGAAAAGTCGTCAACAGACTGTCAACATGGAGCTGAAATATATAGGATTCTTCAAAACTTTTGCAAAAATTAAAGGGATCTTGAGATCATCATAAAATTTTGGGAGCAGTAATTTTTAAATGCATGTAAAGCTCAGATAATTTCTTTTTGTTTGATATCTCCACCCTTTTTTATTTGAAACTTTGCTATAAAAAGTTGAACTCAAGGGTTTAAGGATAAGCACTAAAATATTAAGGAATTTTTCACATATTTTGAAGTTTTTTATTATGTGAGGTTAAATGTATGTAGATATTTGGAAGATTCGTTAATAGAAAAACAATAGGCAGTATGATTCATGGATTCATTCATACTGGAAATCTTAAAACCACGAAGACTATTACAAAAAAATAGCACATACCTATGTATACACCAAGCCATTTATTAAATAAACCGAGGTACATAAAGAACTAACCTAACAATCTATATCTAACACTAACTCAAAAGTACAAATTGTATATATACACATATAAAACATTAAATAAATAAAATACCTAGAACAGACTAATTATTGCATCGAAAAATAACTAAGAAAACATATACAAAACCTGCTTAAAGTAAATACTATCGGGCAATTCATAGCATGCAGCTAGTAATGTTTGAAATAAATGCAAGCGAGAAACACTCTGTATAAGTTAAGGGGATTATTTCTCTCTGATGTAGCAAATTGCGCGGAGTGTTATTTACATAAAATTATTTTGCATGTGAATAAGACATCCTGCGTGTTAGAATACATGTTATATACAATTATATCCTAACAGTTAAATGGCCCGCATATAAGCCAAATTGTGTAGAGAAAAGGCACGTCAATAATAAAGTGGCACTCAAATATTATTAAGGGAAAGAAATTCGCAACAAACAGTTCACATTTAATTTTGCTTAAAAATAAAGTCAATGCTAACCCGCTGTAACAGCTTGCAAGAATATCTAAGTTTAATAACACTAATTTTCTTTTCATTAAGGCAACATTTCTCCAAAGTTTTGAATTTACTAAAATAATTATACATTTAAACTTTAACCAAAATTTTTTTTAACTCAAAATTAACTGCGAACCACGAACTTTTGTTGGTATGAATTTCTCGAGGTTCGAACATTTGGCAAGTAAAATGGTTATACAAGTAAATGTTGCCGAGTTCCAACATAGTCAGATACAGACTATTTCCTTCTCATTAATGTCTAAAAAAACAACATATTACTTCTGGACGATTCAAACAAAATCAGGAAGAATAAAAAATAATACAATCAAAATACACATTATTGTAATGTCCTCTGCAACCCCACCAATAGGGATGAAACGTGACATACAGCTAAGCTAATAAAGGAGGACTTGCCATGCATGCATGCCGTAGCTGCATCACAGCCTCTCGTAAGGTTGGTGTGAAATAACATCTGCAAAAAGCACATCTTACATGCAACAAATATATTTTATACAAAATATAATTATCAAAATCTATTCGCTCCAACCCTAAGAAATGAACCTACCAAATCAATCAACAATATGCCAACTTACCCGAACTATACTGAGTGTATTGCTGATACTGCGGATGGAAATTGTGAATGGCATCTGTCATTATATCCTTGGGATTCATTGTTTCCTGGAATCGAAATGGAAATAGTGTGATGAATATGCCTTTAAAGGCAAACCAACTAAATATATATGTAATATATTCTTATCATGAAACCATACCTTAAGGCTACTTGAGATACTCTGCATGGTAACAGATCTGCCCCTCGAATCTGTTACACAACCCTGAGAGTACACCCTGTGAGGAAACGCATATCTCAGGGCGATGGCAGCGCAAAACATCTCAATGCAAATTAGAAAATTCTGGTACCCTGCGGACACCGTACCAGCCGAGGTGGGAATGCCGCTACTGTCAATGATGGGTGAAATGACCTCCGCCTTTTCTAAGATGGCAAGACCAACACCTGCCCAATCAAACCAGCATTAGTAGCGGAAAGTAAATGAAATAGACTGATAAACTCACCTTGCCAAAAAGACAAGAAAATCACAGATTTTACAGTACAAAATTTGAGTACTGGTTCGAATGGGGTCAAGAGATCACGCGTGGCAAAATAAAATAAAAAAAGTCCATAAAGAGCAAGGGAAATTGAAATGTTATAGATGATTGTAGTGTAGAGATATCCTCCATCAGGTCTGCAAGCAAAATATACTGCTTCTGATTCCCACACAAAAATTACCACTTACCTCCAATCGCCATCGTGGTAGTGTCCGAATATTTGCAAAAATATAATTACAAAAGCCATGAGAGGCTTCACCAGACAAAATTGGAGGGTCGCTTGTTTGCAAAACCGTAGAAAACCAATGGTATAGGTTTTCCCGCTAAGACAGCATGTACCAAACAGGCAACTGGACCTTATTGGTTTGCCCCTTATTTCAGACATGATATTGCCCTCCCCTCCCAAATATTCATAACATAGCGACAAGAAATTGTATATCACAAACGCTGAAAACATAAAACATAAATAAATATAGACATGGACAGAAGGTATTTATTTACTTACCCTCATAACAATCTCTTATAGTAAAGAAATAGACATAGTAACTTCCAGAATTGAAGAAGAGTAAACTAATCCAGGAGTATATCGCATAAATTGGTACTATAAATAAGATCCTGACAATCCATCTTTGTTCGGCAGGGTTTGTGTACCATCGAAGGTGATGGTAAATCTGAAAAAGAATGAGCAATTCTTATACATAGATATAAGTTGAAGCTAGAAGCTATTCACAAAACTTCTGGATTCCTCCTGGGTCAGTTGTTGTTGAGTCAAACTTGCTAACGTTTTTCCAATCACCCTGTTGGCTTCTTCATGTTTAACTGAAACAGTTTCAGCAGAAGAAGGAAGCAGAATGATTGCCAAAACGTTAGCAAGTTTGTATCAACAATAAATGACACAGGATGAATAAAGAAATTTCTTAAATAGTATTACAGTAGCCTGTGGATGTTTCTTCTTAACTTAAATTAAGTAACTAAATGTTTAATAAATAAATAAGAAACAGATGATCATTTCCTATTTACTTCAATATAATTAATTACATCACATGTGGTAGGATTAATTAAAAATGAGCAGGCTGCAGATAAACCACCAGAATGAGAATTACTTAAAAAAAAGTTTCAAATAGACATCCTGAGGAAACAAAGTTTAAAGACGCCGAAACGCATTTGAAAACTTTAAAGGCCTTGGTTTTTTGTGGGCTTGTGTGGGTGTCTAAAAAAAAATATTAGGAATGCAAATATAATTCACGGCTCTCAAATATTGGGATGTGTATTGGTTTTTTCTTTAGATCAAATCAAATTAACTCACCTGGGTGCATGTAATAAAAAGTGCGGCAAATACAAAAATGCCTGCTATGCCCCGTGCCAACTTAGTTTGCAAAAATATCAACTCGGAGGGTTGCGCCACCACCGTATCTTCGATATGTGCCGAAATTGTAGTTGAAGCATTGGCCAAAAGCGCTGCTGCTACTGCAGCTAAAGTATGGCTGGTACTACCATTAAGGCCAGTTGTTGCCATAGCACTGAAAACTAAGATAAATTTACTGAAAACATTTTTTGTGTCTACAAATGTTTTTCAGTATCTGCTGGTAATAAAATAAGAATATGAAGTTGTAGTTAATCGTTAGACCAATTTACAAAACTAAACCTATACTGGGTATTTTATAGTTTTTATTAGATTCATTGATGAGATCATCCTCTCTCTATGAAGGATTCTGTAATGGAAATCAGACATTGATATTCTAAAATCAATTAGCCATACAAGGAACATAAATATTTCAAAAAATCTATAAAGCAATTTCATCATTTGATGACATTATCATTGCAGACTCAAAACAAGATTTCAAATACTTAACATTTTGACATATGTTTTCTCACCTGTACCAATATTTTTACGAATGTATCCGGAAACTTCACACGCTATTTAACAATAGAAACACTACACCCTGTTCAATTGTACGAAAATTTTGGAAAAACCACAAATCACGCGCATTTTTTGCATACATTACCTCTTTTTAAAAAAATGACATGAAACAACTTTGCAAACAAAAATCCGCCATGTTTTCAGCAAAGTAAATTCGTATTTTCTGGGCATGCGCGGAAACCCCCATAATTCTTTTCGATCACGGACGAAATTACGAGCAAAACACTAAAAAAGTGAGTTTTGTTAGTTAAACTGTTTTACCCGGTTAAAATCTATTATCATGGTCACAGTTGTGAACAAGGGAATAAATGCAGCTTAAGAATTTCATGTGTTAAACAAATATCAATAATATTAAAGTACTTGTTTTTTGTCGATCGACGAATAATTTTCTAAATAGCTCTCGCAATAAAATTAAAAATTTTGAGCAGTCGTGTCCCAAACCATACTTTAGTTACCAAATGATTCTCAATTTATTATAAAAACGGCTGATCTATTTAGAAATTAAAATTTAAATGTGAAGTGAAGTTCGATTTTAATTTATTCAAATTATCTTTTCCATACTAGATCATTATATAGTGCCCATTTTCTCATTAAAGAATCATATGTCAACCTAACCGGCCAATTTTATTTGATTTGGTCAAATATCGCATAAATAATTAACTAAAATGTGGTCTGTGAAATTGTGTTGGCATATGACTAAAAAGTACTCGGAAATGGGCGAATGATCCTAGCAGACTTGCCCAACCACGATTATAAAACAAACTTAATTAAAGTATTTGGCTAGATCTGTGGTCGTGCCCAAGTGTATTATTAGTGAAAGGCATCATTAAATTGAATTAGATCTGTGGTTTCAAAATGATAACCGTCGCTTCCTAATAGCAAAATGTTCTAAATTATGGTTGTTCTTTTCTGAATTAAGATGTCGAGTTCGTCAAAAAAGAAACCTACTGTGCCTATTCAAAACATAAAAGTGGTGGTGCGAGTAAGGTAAGTTAATACAAATTAAAGTAACAAGTAATATGCCTAATAAGTCAGGAACAAAGTGAACTTTGGTTTGAGTGAATATGTTAATTAAATTAAAGAGCAAGGAGTTATACCAAGAAGAATGAAGCTGTGGAATGCAATCAGAGAGAAAAACCTATGTAAAGCCTATAGCTGTGAAGAGAGTCACAATAGATCTTTTGGGTCGCTGTAAGGAACTAGTCAACTGCTAACTTGCCCAAATCTAAATCCGGGTAGACACTATGCATTTTCTACATGTGTTTCTGCATGTATTTTTAGCAGATAAAAATTGCTGTTAAAATGCATGTATTTTTAACTGGCAAATTTCTCATGGTAGATACGATGTAATTTTTTTTGAGGAAAATGGGTTTGTTTTTAAAAGTTCTTAAAATTGTTAAATTTATTGAAAATGTACTCTGTGAATAGTACTCTGTAAATCAATTATATTATTAATACTATTATTATTATTATTATAAATTTCGTAATCAATTGTTAGTGACGGGTCCACTGTTCAAAAAAAGCAGCATACAGGTGATATAGGGCTCCAAATAATCCAAGCTATCATCCAATGGAAATTTTATATAGATTTATCATACACCCTTTATTCCTTTATAATCCTTTTTTTTTTCATCTTGTACTTGCTTCAAAATATTTTTAAGAGAGTATTTTGTTATTGTTTTTGTTAATAAACAAATATCTATCTATCATATAATGTAATAATCAAGAAATATTTGTTCAGACCTATCACCAGAGATGAGAATGGAAAAAAGATAAAGTCTGTGGTTTACTGCGCGTCATCAAAGGAAATACAAGTCAGGGAAAGGAAGTACCAGTTTGATAAAGTTTTTCCACCTGAAAGCTCTCAAATGGATATCTACTTGTATGCAGTTTCTCCAATGATATCTGACGTCATTGCGGGGTATAACTGTACAGTTTTCGCGTACGGACCGACAGGTACTGGTAAAACTCATACAATGATTGGTGGAGATCCTTCTTCAAGTGTCAACTGGAAAGATGTAAGGTTTATACAATTGCCTACTACTGCAACGGCGAACCTATTTTGAAACGTGGGCCAAATTTTGTTCATATTTTTTTGTTAGCTCCTGCCCATTTGAAGTTTAATATTTTTTTGAGCATTTTTAAAACTAAAAGCTTCTTTAAAATTCAACTAGCTTTACGGGTAAAAATGAGCTTAGTTTGACGATTTAACAATTTTTGTTGGGGTTAAAAATCCTGTGAATATAGGCGTTCCGCAATATTCACATATATTCATGTCCATCTGCCCAGTGAAATTAAGGAACTTTCAATAAGAATATTAAATGCTCCAAAATATTTTTTTTAACTTTGGCAGAGTATTTCACCTATAAATTTCAGAATGTATCGGATTTCATTAGTATAGTAGGATTAAGTGTAAACATTGTGATTAAAGTTTTTATTTTAATATACCTTCATACATTTAATCATTGTAATTTGCAAAATGGGACTATTATTGAAGAACCTGTATTATCTAAGGCACTCCTGTCACTATTGAATTGACGTATCTAAGTACCGTGCGTTCAATTTATGATGATAACATTTTAAATGACTGAACTTTTTAGTTTTTAGAGATATCAAGGTGAACAAAAAATGAAAAGTTGGGTTAGTAGCCAAGTTTTTTTGCAAGTGACGTATAAAACAAAACACTATCAATTTTATGACATAAGTCTATATCATATTTTAAAATGAAACACCCTGTATATTATATAAGTGTTATAATATCTTGACTGCAACAACAATAATTATTTACAAATTAAATTAGAACAAAAACATTAAAAATTACAAGACACCCTAGAGTAAAAAATTCTTTAACTATTCTAAATACTGATGTGTGACCACCTTTCTCATACACTCTAATTGTATGATGTCAAGCATTTAGTAACGTTTCCAGATTGTGTTCGACTTTGACATTGTTCTGCAAAACTGAGTGGATTGATCTCCGAGAAATACCTGCCACTTCATATACTCTAATAGAGGAAACTGGATGTGCTTCATAGAATCCTAATATGTTTGCCTTATTTTCTTCATTTGAAACATTATGATTCCGGCTTTACTTTTTAGCATTTAAAACGTTTCCGTTTACTGTAAAATTCTTTGCCATCCTTGGAAATATCTGTTTTGATGGTGCTCGGTGCTCTGGATAAAATCTAATATACAGACGACGAGCTGCGGTTGCACTTTTATTATTCAGAAAGTATACTTGAAGCATATCACTCCTTTCACGGTTGCCTAGATTCGCGAAAAACCATTTTAACAGTAATGACTTGGACAATAATTCAACTATCAACGTTGTTTCCTAATACATATGTCAAACATAAACATATTTTTTTTTGTTTATATAAAAACTTCATATTTTTGCCAATTTGTCAAAAACGAGTGGACTAAAATATAAAGGATGTTACATCATTTTAATCGGAATAAGATATTCTATTAAACACATATATAATATAGAGAGTGTTCCATTTCAAAAACATGATGTAGGCTTATATGTCAGAAAATTGATAGTGTTTTGTTTTGTACGTCACTTGGAAAAAACTTGCTGCTAATTCTTTTTTTTTTACCTTGATATCTCTAAAAACTAACAAGTTACAGCCAATTAAAATGTTATCAAAATAAATTAAACACACGGAACATAAAGTGTATTAACATGAATAAATAAAAATCTACGTTACGTCGTTTGTATAAACGGTATTAATTGATTCAATGAGCAAGATGCAGCGAAAATTACATACAATATTCAGGGTGGTTCAATATGGCAGAATAGACTTTCATGATGAATTAGGCCTAGGAACTTTCTGAAACTTACATAAGCGGGGCAATCAATCGATCTAATACATATATTTTCAGCCATGAGACATTTAATATTACATCGTTAATATAATTAATCCATGCTCTTATAAATTAGAAAATCTAAATATGTATACCAGAGCTAACAAAAAAATTATTGCCTAAGAATCGCACACAAGAAAGAGTCGCACGGATCATGGGTTCGCCATCGCCGCCTTAGTCTATTAGTGACAAAGTTTTCGGTCGCAGGACGAGCTTGCAGGATGTATTCCAAGGGCGGCGGGTAATATTTTTGATACAATTGCTTCAATGGATATAGCGAACTATAGCATTCACATATCATTTTTGGAACTTTATAACGAGGAAGTAAGGGACTTGCTTAATGAAGACGATCAGTCCCCATCTTTAAGGTATTAAAATTATTATCACCAATCGACCCATTTCTACTAATTTGAAATATGTTTTTAGCATATTTAATGACAACAAAGGATCTGTCTACATTCCAGGTTTAAAGGAGGTCACCGTTTTCAACAGTAATGAAATTTATTCATTGATTCAGCAGGGTACCAACAAAAGGCGCACAGCTTGCACGTTATCAAACAACCACAGTTCAAGGTCACATACCGTTTTCACCATAACAGTTCACACGAGAGAATGTGGTGTCGACAATGAAGAACTATTAAAAACAGGTAAAATTAATCTCGTGGACCTCGCTGGTAGTGAAAATATTACCAAATCCGGCGCGAAAGAACAGAGGGCCGTTGAATCCGCCAATATCAACAAGTCATTGCTTACGTTGGGTAGGGTCATACAAATTTTGGCTGAAAGAAAAAACAAACACATTCCCTATAGGGATTCGAAACTGACTCGTATTTTACAAGACAGTTTAGGTGGACACACCAAGACCTGCATCATCGCTACGGTGTCACCATTAGCGACTGCTTACGAGGAAACTACAAGTACCTTAGAATACGCGTGTCGCGCGAGGGATATCAAAAATACTCCTTTGATAAATGCAAAGGTGACAAAGGCTGAGTTGATCGAAGAGATGGCTAACGAAATTGATAAACTTAAGCGCGATTTGGATGCAGCGCGCTCTGGCGAAGGGTTTTACGTCGACAAAGACAATTGGGAGAAAATGCAGCTGGAACGTCAAGGTGTCGTCGACCTTATAAGTTTGAAAAATAACGTGATTGATGACATGAAAAGGAAACTTTCTGAACTGAAAACCTTACGAGAAATGAAATTGAAGGAGTTCGATCAGATTACTAAGGAGTGCCGCAAAGAGGAGGGGATTATTAACAAAGCGACGAGATTACTGCAAGAAAAAACTCAGACCATTAAGCAGGAAGAGTATGTTTCTAGTTATTATGAGAGCGTTGCGTCTGAGACTACTACCAACGCGAGCAAACTACTGGAAACCACTCACAACTTGTCCAGCAGTCAGGCTGTTTTGCACAGGAAACTGGAAATGCAATATATGAATAACCATAGAAATGAGCAAATGGTGAAAGAAAAAACCAAACACTTAATCTCCAATCTCAACGCCTTTAAAGAAGCTGAAGAGTTATTAGGTTCTCTTCCAGGGATTTCCGTAAATGTATCGAAAGAACTGCAGAATTTGCAAGAGACCATGGAGAACAGGAAGTTACAACAGGATAGAATTGTTTCGCTTCAACAATATTTCGACGAACAGTATGGACTCGCCGAAAAATTGGTAAAGGAATCTCATGCTGTTGTGTCAACAGGTGAAAATGTTATCCAACGGTGTCTCGATTGCGCACGAACTAAAAGAAACAAATCCAGTAAAATATTTCAGCATGTAAGTTGATTTAAAAAAAAAAACTTCTTATAATAATAACATGTTTTTGGGCGACGAGCCGTTTTTTTTTTTTAAATACGAGCAGTCTTTTTTAAACATGCAGTTCGGCTTTCGTAAAAAAGGTTTAAAATTTATTTTTTTTCCCATAAGGTAGCTAGGTCAGGTCAAAATATGCAAAAAATCACGGTGCCCTGTAAGGATTAGTTTACTGGTGGTATTATGCAAACTATATTGGATATGTATGGACACGCTTTCATGAAATACTTATTAATCAAACATTTTTTTTAAATGTATATTTTGGTGCACTACTGCCCCACCGTGTGCTTTTAGCCACTCAACTGATCAAAGAGAATCTATCTAAAATATGAAGTCCTAAAAAACCTAATTAATAACAACATTTTATTTTAGTTGAAGGAACATGAACAGGAATCGTTGAAGCGTTCTGAAGGTATTTCGGACCTGCTCGATTCTATAAAATTGTTTTTGATGCGAGAAAAGGAACGATTCGAAATTTTGAATGGCCTGAAAACTTCTTACGGAAACATCGGTCTCCAAAGCAGCGAGCGCGTAATTTCTTTGGACACCTACAATTTAATCGCGAAGCAGAATTCGTTGGCTAACGATATTTCAAAGAGGAATACATCAGAGATTAACACGAACCTGGTAGAGGTAGGTTTCTGATTTGACTCCGTGTGTATACTGAAAATGTTTCTACTTTAGTTACTGAAGAGTGCTACTTCATTAGAAACTGATATCAGCAAAGCGAAAACTGTGGAGAACCTTAACGCGAGTGTTACCGAATTAGAACAAAAGTTACTTGCTATGAGAGGTTTAGGGAACCAAATTGTTGAGGTAAAATTTTGTTTTTCATTTTCATATTTGTATTACATTTGACAGAAGAAAAGACAAGCAATTAGAAGTTAATTCAATTTTAGTAAATTATTTATTTCCCAAAATTTGTATACCTTATTCAAGAATAAAGTCTATCCGACATCCTGGGTACCCAAAGTGTGTCAGGGTAAAATTTTGCTTTACTGTTTAGGGAAATTTGACAGAAAATAACGCATTTAAAGTTGAGCTGGTATACTATGGTTTCTATAGAATTTTTTGTGCCAAAAATCATTATAGGGCTTTAAGATTTGATAAAGGACCCTCTGCTACAAATTTTTACACCAATAAGTTAACATTTGGATTTACAGATTCCCACACTTCGTTATGATTTAAGTATATGACACATTTTTTTGAAAGATGTCGAATATTTAAATACTCTGTCTATTAAAATTAGAATCTAAAATCAACTCCAAGACTTCATCAGGCGTATACTTTAGGGTGTTGTCTTTTTCGGTTCTAATAGTAATTTTTGCATTTTGATGTGCAGTAATACCTCCAGCTTGAACTATTAACAACGATTCTTGGAATTTTTGGTAGGATAATTGTACCTTATTTCTTCTTGCCTCAGCCCATCTTTTGTCAAAGCTATGTCACAAATTCGTTATTTGTTCGATTCATTTATTTATTTCATCTTTAAGCTACAGTTCTAACATGTCTTTGTTCTTAAAAGGAGCATGGCTGGAAAGATATTTCTAACGTGTAGCATGTGCAGCAGTAGTAGCACAAAAATAAGAAATGGACGAACATTATCATAAGAAAAACATCTCCGCCAGACCCAAATCTGTTTTAATAAATTACTTAAACATCAAATTTAATAGTTCAGAAAATTATAGTAACAAATGTTCGTATAAATTAATTTCAAAGCAGTCACAATGAAATAGCAACATTATAGCCAGTTAAAAGCTTAGGTTAACGTTAATAACACATTTTACTGAAAAACCACTTTGAAATTAAGGCGATAACAACACAAGCATAAAGTTGAACGAGTTTCGGCGACAATTTTAGTCTACCAAGACAAACCCAAACACAACTAGTTGATTACTTGCCTGTTCCAGACTGAGGGCGGGCGCTAACATATATCCATATCAATGTTATTATATTTTGGAATATGTACTATTAAATTATATATCTAAAAAGGCCAAAAAATTTGATTATAGAAATTATGGTATCATACAAAAATGAGTTCAATTTTATTTTATGCCTGGCGTTACTCAGTTATAAAACCGGCAAAGAGGTATTAATAAAAAAAGTATTCTTCTTTGACAGCCTTTATGTTACCTTTTTACTCGTGAATTTGATTCGCAAATGACTACCATTAAGTAACACCTTGTAATAGTTATATATTTTTTAGAATACCCACGACTTACAAAATCACGTAAAGTGCTACAGCAATACTGTGGGCTCCACAATTAAGTCAATATTAGAAAGCAATGAAACACAGGCCATCCTTCAAAATCACGTCGAGAAAGTCAGTAACATTTTAAACAACTGCTATCTCCTGGTACATACCGAAATTTTGGATAACATTATTCCTACCAAAAGGACCGGCGACACGCCCAAGCAGTGTCCACTCAACTTTCCTAAAAGGATAAGCGACGGAAGACCGCCCAAGGAAGCTCTTATTAAAAAATTCGAAGAAGAGGAATTGCAAGAGGCAAGTTCAAAATTTCCCAAATTTGCTTAAATAATCATAATTTTTTCAGGATATTGAGAAGTTGATGTCCAGTTTTGATAGCCCCGCAGATTGTTCAGGGAATTTGGACATGAATTGAATATTTTAAAAAGCGTCTTATTTGTTAATTTTTGTAGAATGTGATATATTTTATGTATAACAGACAACTGCCACATCAGACTAACCTTAAGTTAAATAAAGCACTTGTCAACTTGTTTTTATCCCATTAATATCGCCCCAAGCTGGAAAACCAAACATGTACATCAAGTTAAATGGAAAATATTACAAAACTAAACTAAATCATAGGTATAAAATGTTTACAATATAAAAAGAAGTAAAAAGGGGAAAACTAAAACTAACATTAACAAAATTAAAGCTAAAGGGGTGCCGACTAGGCAGATTCCTCAATTTTTTTTTAACAGTGATGGAAAACATGCCAGATAGGATTGCAATTGGAGCAAATTTTGTGGATGAGACTCTGAAGGCGCTTGAAGCAATAAACGCTTGAGAAGAAATGGACTGTCAATCGTAGAGTTGACGAGTTTTATAGAGAAACGATAGTAACTGTAAGCAACTCTAGGAACCTACTGAGTTAGGCTCAAGTTCCCGTTGAGTGCAAATGACCATTTCCTCCAATCATAACATAATTAAGAAATTGCCTCTGGACAGACGCAAAGGATTGATTGATAGAAAAACCTTAGTTTAAAGGTCGATATATATTTAAAAAATATTTACAGCTTTGCAAATCAAAACCCAACAATCGACACTGACCACCAACTGATAAATACTAAGGATAAACTTGAACCTCTTACCAAATACAACTCCAAGATCTCTTGTTGCAGGAAGTATGTTCAAGGTGGAGCCGTTTATGGAGTAATTGAATTGAAGTGTATGCAATAACAGGAAATAAATCAGCAGTGAGTCAGCTAGGGAAAATAATGAAATATTTAATAATGGAGGTTCATTTTGAATGACTACTTTTTCACACCAGATAAGATCAGCTAAAAAGTATCCATGAATATGTTTAGAAAGAAACCTGTTGCGCAACATATCTATAACGATAAGAAAGGCAAAATTTAGTTTTCGCATAATAAAAGAGTTTAAAAATAACAGTCAGAAATTTGAGCGAGATAGCGACCGATGATATCTATTTTGAGTGAGCGTGAACATCTTTTTAAGGGCATTTCATGAAAGTGTAATTGTGTTACATATATGAAGGTGGGGAAATTTTAACTCTGATAGCCAGCACTGCGTTATCAAAGAAATATAAGTGCTCCTCGATTTAACCAGTAAATTATAAAAAAAAAAGTTAAAATATTTAATAATGTCTGTTTCATAATGCAAGTTACAAGTGGATAGGGATAAACTCAATTGAGTTGCTTCAAAAAGTTTCGGAATAAGTTAAGGAAGGATATTTTAAGATTGGTTTATTTATTTATTTGTTGGAACAAGATAATAGCCAATTGTATGTAACAACCATTGTTTTTCCGAAGAGGCTCGGACCTGTGGGATACTAAAATGACACTTTCCGCACACTAGATCGGTGCATAATTAGGTATTTTACAGGAGGGAGCAGAAAAATGCATTATGTAACATTAATAAAAAATATGTTTATTTTATGGAAATCAGTTTTTGGTCCTTCTGAAGCAAAAATCTTTTTTAATATTGCTTAGTTCAGCATCGAAGGATGATGCGTCAATGCTCTTTTGCAAATGGTTTTAATTATTCCCCGCTTGGTTGCTCCAGAATAGTCGGCCTCAAAATTTAAGTACTGTCCGGTGTGTGCATCTACAGAAACACTTATACGAGTAACAGATGGATGTAACGAATTAAGGTAATTGACAAAGGCCTATTCATTGGTTCCATTTCAGACAATGAACATATCCTCAACATAGAGATACCATATCCTGCAATAATGTATTCAGTTGTACGGCTAATCTTTTAAGAAGTTTCGATACACTAGTCCGAGATTAATACAAAAACGCAACTATGACGATACAACTGCACTAGCACACCAACACCTCCCTCCAGGAAGTGTGTTCTGGGGGGGTTTAAACATCAACTTCTCAGTAACCACTTATATGACAAACCTGGTGGTAAGTGGAAATATGACTATCGGTGATGATAAAATAGAACTTGTGGATAAATAAATAAATATAAAATGACTTGCAGTATTTGGATCTATTAATAGCTTAAATCATGGGCATCCAATATAACTTTTGTTAACTTGGTATATTTCTTGTTAAAGAAATCATTGTTGAGTTGAGTATCACGTGTTTTATTTAGCTAATTGAATAAGATAAGAAAAACAGAATTTAAATCTTGTGATTATGAACAATTTGTGAATAAACAAATTTTATGTAGCTAATACAAATATGGATTAAAATAAATCTTACCGTTTGACTGGTCGGATTCGAAAAACTAACCAAAAAAATTGGCGTAAATGTTTCGTGCTGGATCATGCATAAAAATAAGCTGGCACTAATTTTATGTTGCGAAAATTTATTTTCCAAATAACTCACAAAAAAAAAAACGGTTTCATAAAATCTAGGATGTCGCGTCACACCATATGATAAAATTAAAAAAGTCGCAAATGGTCATGATGATCCCAAATGTGTTCTACTGCGGTTGTCAGCCCTGCGGAAAAAAGAAAAAAAAATTTAACTTCCAAATGTTTTCACTGCCTTAGACATTAAAAACAAATAGATGTATGAAACGTACTAATCCGTTATGGAAATAGGCCTGTTTCAAATCTTTTCCGCCAAGCCATTATCTGTCATAGCCGAGAATGAAGTGATTATAATATTTGGAACAAAATTCGCTTTCTCAAAGAGTAGTACTTAACGGCCGGTCATTCATTGTATTTCAAACAATGTGCATTATTCTCCAGAGCCATAACACCTTCGTCATAACCTTTTCGATTCCTGGTTTTTGCAGTGATGTGTCAAATTTTGTGGATATCTTTACTGCTACCAAAATCTTTCAGCGAACGTCGCAACGAAGGAATTCTGAGTTAAATCAAAGCACAGTGAGTTTCGTTTTTTAAAAATCATCTTTACTTTACATGAGAGTGATTGTCTTCACTGTCTTGCGCTGTACGAGAGCTTATATGTACTGTATATGGACTCGTACGTTTTGCCAAAGAAAATCACGCTGATTTTTACTATTATCCCTTTTTATTAAACTTTATATATTTTTCTAGTTAATCCCTGCTATCAATGTGATAACCTTTTCTGCTACAAGTAGCACCTCCTGGGAACTCTTTTGTTACTCAAATTTGTTGTACCTAGGCGTGACTTCGGTGAAATGATAATCACTTGGTGCTATTTTTTTCAATTGGATGCGGCTTAGAGTCTAGCAGTAGCGTCTAGTTAATGTCTTCATATGGATAAACTCATCCAGTCATTCACTTTTTCGTCGATCCCCAATGACAGTTAGAATACCTCGCCCTCTTCTGCGTCGATATTTCCGTCCGTTGTGGCGATATCTTCGGTCCCAGGTCCCAAATCGCCAATTAACGATCCTCAAGCATTGAAAATTCACGTTTATACAGCCAACACGCTGTTGTTTATACTTCTTTTGTTCTAATCAACATAAATGAATGACAGAACGTAACTCGCAGCAGGTGGTAGAAATGAATAGGAACTTGATCAAAAGAACGCCAAGTCTCCTCGTACCATCTTTTTAAGTTTTGTGTTATTCTCCGGATATATCGAGTTGACCACTCAAGGCAAATAATTTCCAATAAATCAAACTTTAGCAACAACCTATTGGCAATTTCTTTAGAGACGACCAAAATTCCAGTTGGAAGTTTCTTCAACAATCCTTGTTTTTTTTTGTAGTAATGTTTCATTTTTCCATTACCAACGTTCTTCAACGGCTGGAGCCATATTTTTGATTAGCGAAAGACAACTGCACTGAGCACTGAATCAGCTTCTATTACATCTCAAAGTATAATTCCGGTGATACTAGCATCCTGATTCCAGACGTATTTATCCTAGGATGAAAATATATCCAAAACGGGTCTTCCGAATATTGAGGAATTATTGATTCCTTTCCGTTTAATTAATTGCAATGCGACAGGATAATTTGTAATATCGACTTCACATTGCGCTAATAACTAAAAACTTTGCTTACTTAAACTACTACTAAACTTAGATCTTGAAATTTCCTCTTCCTTTCAAAAAATATGAAAGCAGCTGTAAGAGCAAAACTCGAATGGGATTTTCTCATTAAATTCCGCATTACTTCTGATATGCTCATTGGCAATATTACCGCTTGGCAGTGGTTGACAGACAAGTCATACAACGGTTACCGGATTTTGTGTTTTCTTTATCCAAGAGTAATCCGGAAATCTAGTTGCAGTTGCACATCATTTAGACCCCAGCAGCCCCATTGTGCCCCGTATTAGATAGAATGCTCAGAGCCTGTAGTAACTCTAGTGATTCTAACATTGGCGATGACAACTTCAAGAATTTTATCTGACTCCCATATGGATTGGATACAAGATTTGCCCACGCGTCTGTCCGCAAAAGGTGGGATCATTGACTTTTCCTTTCTCTAGTATGTTTTCCTATTTTATACTTGAGGGTTAAACATTGAAGTCCTGTTTCCAGAATAATCAATGATGACAGCTCCAAGATTTTTAACTCTGATTCCTATATGGGCTGGATCGATTCCCTCAGTATGGTTTCACGCCTAAACGAGGGTGTGTTTTACTGACTCTTCTTGCTGTTTCTATATTCTGGATGTACGGGTGCTACTTAGAAACAACTTAGATTGGTATTTGTTGATAAGCAATGACCCATTAGAATAGTAATCGCAATCTGTAGCCTTTTTCTGAAAATCTTTAGGTATTGTTCTTTCATTTGGATTGCTCAATAGTTTCCTCGCTAAGCAGTTTCGTTTCTAGAATTCCAACTAAGGCATTGAACATTGAACTAGCATTAGAATGTCACTATCCCCTTGATGTGGTCGCCCTTTTCTCAATCACACATCTATCAGCAAATTTGAATTACGAGTGAAACACTAATCCTATGGTCGAATCCTTGACCTATCTGTTTCTGCAATATATGTTTCATCTTTTATCCTAGATGTTAAAACAAGTCTTGTTTCAAGAATGATTTAACAAATAATTTTTAAAATCCTGGCGACTCTGTAACAGCCTTGTTAAAGCTCTTTTTTTCACTACAACCATTCCACAGCACTCCAGTTTTCTACTGTAGTATAACTGACCAGTGTGGACGAATATCTTCAGTTCCTTTTTCAGCTTCAAATTTACTACATGATGGTCTGATGAATCCCTAGACGTCCTTGTGTTAAAATTAAACAAACCGTAGAGAAGCGCATGAAATTTCTTCCTTGTCGTTCTAGGCAATCTATAGCTAGAATATTTACTACCAAACATTCAAAACCTATTCATTGAAAATAACCTTGTTCAATGTCCACTGATTATTGAAATAAATAACTTATATGTCCAGAAACCTTTAAAATAATATATTTGATTAAAGATAGTTGCTACAAATTTTGAACTTTATTTCATCTTTCTTATGTCATAGCCCAAGAACGAAAACATTTTAATTTACTGTATATACTGCAACAAACCCCACCAAACTAAACAAACCCAAATCCAAATTGAAACAATGTTCCAAATATCAAAATCTCTGCTACAAGGTTTGTTTTACTGCTTACTTTTTCGTAATACTTACGTACACAATATGTGATTTGGTTGACATAATTATGTCACCTTTGTTAATCACCAATGATGATATTCGCTGACTGCAGTTTTGAAGGATCAAGCTTATCCTTGTGTAAAACCTTCAGTTTTTTGCCCTCAATCAGTACTGCAACTCCATCTTGATCCAAATAATCGCGTCCAATAATGAAAGGAAACTCCTGATGTTTGTCAGGAACAATTAAAACAGAAGTCAGCTTTTCTGTACCGTCCACTTTAAGAATAACTCGCGCCTCTCCAATTACGTTTATGATCCCACCCCCATATCCAGTGAGGACGTTTGATGAAGGGGAAATCGCCAAACATAGCTTCTTTGCAACACCTTTTTGCACAGTCACAACAGCACATCCAGTATCCACTTGACCTTGCAGTTTCAATCCATTCACTTCACAAATTATTAAATAACCACAATTTTTAGAATCTTTTTGATTTAAAAGACCGACAAACGCACATTTGGCAGCAATATGTCCCTTCTTCTTACATTTGTAGCATATGGGCGCGTGTCTGCAATCAACGGTAAAGTGACCAAATTTTTTGCATGTTGCACACCTGCCGCCCTCGTTCTTAAAACTGGGCTGCCCTCGATTGTCTTCTTCCTTGCGAAAATCTCTCAAACTTCCCTCATAAGTCTCAACTTCCCTATTTGAAGGGCCAACTTTATCATTATTATGGAATCTAAGCAACAATTCAGCAAATAAACTTTCAGGTGTCAAGAAGTTGTAGGCCTGCATATCTTGTTTCATGAATGGGTTCGGCAAACCATCAATCAAGCAAGAAACTGCATTTTCTCCAGTAATTTTACATGCTTCGCACAAATACATTTTACTGAAAAAATACTGGGTTATGGTTTCCTCCGAAAACTTTTCCCTCTGAACCAACATCCTCAACGTTTGAGCAAAGTCCACGTTATCTGGAAACGTTTTTGTAATGAGTAGTTTCAATTCGGGCCAAGTAAAATCATATGTAGATACAGTCTTAAACCATGCCTTCATAATACCTGTCATTTTATTTTGCACATATTTAATGCATAATTTTTCGTTATAATTACGATCAAGGCATTCTTGGTGCAAATTGTTTAGCCACATTGAAGTTGTAAATTTTGTATTGCTTGGAATCAGCTCTGGTATACCATTCTCATTCCTTGATGTTCCAGAATCCATCAAGCTTGGGTTATTTGAGGTCACATTTCCTTGCACAAGTTTTTCCACTAGCTTCTCAAGTCGGTCAATTCTATCAACATTCTCATTTTTCTCAGTTGGTTGCAATAAAGCATTGGGACTGGTCCGGACAGGACTTGGGCGACCTCGATTTGGGCTTCTCCTAGGACGATGTCGAATAGGACTTCGTCGAGGACTTCTACCACGACGATTCGGGATTCCACTAGGCCCTGAACCTTGTACATCATGCAAAAGTGAAACCGGCCCATTGAAGTTCGAATGAAAATTAATAGGTTGACCATCTAAATAAGACTCCTCCATATCCACACCCGGAATTTCTTCTTTAAAAGGGCGAAAATTATCTTGAAAATGGGGATGTTCACGATTACGATCTCGTAAATGCTTTCCACTCTGGTGCTTATCCTTCCTATCTATATCTCTCTGCCTTTCCCTGGATCGATCCCTAGGTCGAGGCATTTTCTCTCGGGAACGGCTTCTTGGACGCTGTCTTTCCGGTGGCCTCTGGTGACTCCATTTTGGGAGAATGCTAAGGTCATCTAAACCGGGAGGAATAGGCATGGCGATCGGGCTAACCGAACGATGGCGGGATCTTCGTCTAGGAGACCCAAACCGTCTACCGCCTCGCATTGGCGAAATTCTTCTCATAACTGTTCGCGGAATGATACGCAGCTTCGAAAACCTTTAAATAGTAAAAAAACTTACTAATTTTAATTTGATGTACTTGGAATCCACACAAAAGATGTCTTTTGCTTTGCGGCAACACCAAAGAGAAAATGCAATGGCGATTGTTTTACAATTAGCTCTTAGTTCGTTGGGCCAGCCTGTTAAGGACATTCGCCCATTCATTACAGTATCACGTCAATATTTATATCTCAAGATCATAGTCGTCAGCGTAACGCCACTAACCAAGTTTATATCCCTGTCACGTTCATGGACTATCCTTTTAAAAATCTTGTTATTTCAAAGCTATTGACCTTCCTATAATTTATTTTATGCAAAATTTTAGTTATTTTAAAGTTAGTCGTAGCAATCCCCGACTTATAACTTAACATTCGGTTAAGTGGAACTATCAGTTTTGAATTTTATCTTGTGGTCTGTGTTGTTTTCTATTTATGATCTGTAACGCAAAAATTGTAGTTAATTTTTTTGATTATAATTTATGTTATATTATTTTTTTATCCATGTTTGGAAGTACTTGATATAACAAGGTCATTTTTCTTTTAAAGAAAGTATGTTTTATATATCCAACTCTTTTATTTGCAAGTCGAACAGGTTTTCTAAAGGTATACTTAATTTTGCAATTTTGAAAGTTTATTTTTATTGTTAAACAATAAAAATTTAATTACATTTTTTAGCGATTTTGCACAACATTAGAGCAATGTCTTCTGATGTTCCTAGATTTCAAACTTTGTCAATCACAATTCCAAGAGAATTTGTGTATCATGTGCAACTCAATAGACCAGAACGTCTTAATGCACTTAACAGAACAATGTGGTCGTAAGTATTGTATTCAATTAGTTAGAAAGTTTCGTTACAAAATAGAAACTTCCTTTTTTTTGGACTATAGTGATATCGAAAAATGCTTCCACAACTTGAGTAGTGATGAGAATTGCAGAGCTATTGTATTAAGTGGCAATGGAAAGCATTTCACAGCAGGGATGGATTTGCAAGATACAGCTGAGGTATTCCCTCAAATTAATGAATTGGGAGATGTCTCCAAGAAAGCGAAACATTTTTATCAAATCTTAACTGATTGTCAGAGGTCAATGTCTTCTCTGGAACTTTGCCGCAAACCAGTTCTTGCTGCCATTCATGCAGCCTGTGTTGGTGCAGGTGTCGATATGATTACTGCTGCTGATATGCGATATTGCACCAAGGATGCCTGGTTTCAAGTAAAGGAGGTATGTAGTAAGGATCAGGCGATATATACATTTGTTGTCGTCTTGTTGCTGTTACATTTTATTTTGTAATTTAGAGAGAATAAGAACCCAATCCTTATGTCATCCTTTCCTATTCAAATGATTTTTAGGTAGACATAGGAATGGCAGCAGATGTAGGCACATTGCAGAGGTTGCCGAAAGTTGTTGGATCAGATAGTTTAGCTAGAGAACTTTGTTTTACAGCTAGAAAGATGCCTGCCTCTGAAGCACTGAGTTGTGGACTTATATCCAGGGTATTCGATACAAAAGATGAGTGAGTAAAGTAATTTGTATCAGTCCATCAAGACAGAGTTTTACATTTTTTTGTTATTGTTATGATTTATTTGGTAATCTTGCAGTTTACCTATATTGTAGATGGTAAAATTTTAACTGTGATTCCATGTGATAATTAAATATTTGCCAACAAGGAATAAAAAATTGTTATAAAATTCTATGGTTACTCCACTAACAATTCTGTTTTCTGTGACCCCCATCTATTGTATACTAAACTTTATAACATTATTCCTTCATTTATACTTCACAAGATTTACACTAAAATTTGGGCCAACCTGGACAATATGCTGATATATGAAATTATGATGCAAAAATTATTTTTATATAAATTCTAGTTTTAAACATATATGGAGTGTTTATGGGAAAACCAGTTTTATACTCAATATTATATTCTGTCAACGCTATTAGGTGTTTGTCTAAGGCAGTGCAGAGCCTCGCCTTTTCTCAGCATTTTGTTTTTTATTCACGTCTTTATCTCACTTATTAAATAAAATATGTTTATTACAAAAAAAAAACTGAAAGAAAATCATAAAAATCAACCAAATTAAATCCACTATGCTCTACTCCTGGATCAAGCCTTTAATTTTTGATTAATCGATATTAGTACATATTTATTTAGCTGATAATATTCATTTACCCCTTTGATCAGTCCAAGATACCATTGAAATAATTTTGTACCATTCTTGCATAATGTGGTCTGAGATTGTAAAACTCGTCTTGTATTGTGGCAAAACTTGAAATTAAATTCCGTACTTATACGTACGTATGTACGTACGAATAAATATACAGGATGCTGAGAAATGACTCAAATACACGAATTCAAATTTGCACAGAATCTGATAAACATTGTGTCTAAATCACTTCAGATTTTGGGCTTTATTAAGTGGTGTATAGTGGACTTTCAGAGTATTCCATCTCTCAGATTACTGTTCTGCTCCCTCTTGCGTCCACACGTGGATTATTGCTCCTGTGTGTGGTAACCTTCATATAATGTCCACATACAGGCCATTAGAAAGGTCTTTTCTGAATAGATCAGCCGCACTAGCAAATCGCGTTTTGGACCAACTTGACTGTTTCCAGAGTGCAATAATATTTAAAGAACTAAAAGACTGTCAGTAAAACTATTCCAAACTTGTCCATTGAATATTTGTCTTGGTTCGTTGTCCATCTGTTTCATTCTGTTTTATTTTATTTTGTTTTTTACTATTTTGTTTTGTGTGAATCTTATTTTAATTTACATTGGGCGCTTGACCCGTTGATAAATAAATAATTTAAAAATATATATATTTTCAAATCGAATCAGCAGTTCACCAGAAAATTAACTTTGAAATTGACCCAAATTTTACTGGTTTCAGTAACTAGGAAATTTTTTTAGTATGTTGGAAAAAGTTTTAAAAATAGCAGAGGATATAGCAAAGAAAAGTCCAGTGGCAATCCAGGGAACAAAACTTAGTTTAGTTTATTCCAGAGATCATACTGTGCAAGAGGGCTTGGAGCATATTGTAAGTTTCAAACTCCAATTTGACTGCATCTATTTAGTGGAGAGCATCGATCTGAAACAGAACATAACATTACGTCAATTTTTAGGCTCTATGGAACCAAATGATGTTGCAGAGTGAAGACCTGACAAAAGCGGTGATGGGTCAAATGTCCAAAGATTCAAACATAAGTTTTTCCAAATTGTAAAACAAAGGTCTTATGTGTATATAATATTATGTTGGTGGTATTTGTTTTGTTTATTAAAAAGAAAAGTAAATAGTACCTTTTTCAATTTATGAAAAAACCTTCCGGCAATCTTAAATATTCGGACATCCTACGAGGAGGGGGAAGAGGTGGGGGTTTTTCAGATTCTACTCGCCTTGCTAATGCAAATATGTTGTCTTCACCTAAAGGTTCATGCTGTGCAAAATTGGGGGAGACATGCGGTTATATTAGGTGAAAAATACGGTTATAATGATCACAAACCATCAGTTGATTTATGTAATATTCATATGGGACGGTCTGTGTGTGTGGGTCAATTGCTATTTCCAGCATTTCGTCAAGCTCATCTTGATTGAACGGTTCTCCATCTTGAGTCATTAGTGTAGAGATATAGTCTTTAGTTAAAAAGCCTTTGCCCTCAAAATCCAATGTTTTAAATGCCTCAAGAAGCTCTTCAGGACTGGCAGGTTCATACCTATTAACTTTTAGCTTAGTATACAGGGAAAGTAATAGTAGAATTATTAGTGTATGACCTTATAACCTAACTAAAAGATCAAAGTCAATACAATAAATAATACTCCTAAATTTGTAAGGGAAACGGAATTATTTTCTCAAATTTAACTTTCAATAAATTTGTATTTTTGTTGAAACAAGAAATGCAAATATTGGGAAAAATATAAGGTGGCCCTTTTTCTTTATTGAACTTTCTTCTTTTAATGCAGTACGTTTGGGAGCCCTGCATATGACAGTATATGTAACTTTACTTATGTTCGGTGATGAGTTGGGAAACATATGGTAAAAATTTCGAAAGATGGACGCTTCCTGGACTACGTTGATCTTCAACGGCCATGACTATCTCTTGGACTTCAGCTTCAGTTGGGCAACAGCCCAGACCACGGACTATGGTACCCACTTCCCGGACATCTATTATTTTGTTGCCCGCATGGTCGAAGACTTCGAACGCGTCAGCGATTGTCCTTTCCAAATCATTATTTATGGGCACTAAAAATTTATTTAAGTATGGAACGAGATCTTATGTGCTGTGTGTATTCTCCCTACATTATCAAATCTTCACTTCTACGGAAAATTATATATTATAAAATTATATATTTTATAAGCATGTACTATGCTGTTGCCAACTTTCCTCTAGGTTTGATAATGTCGATAATTATCTGGGTAAAAAAGTGAGAAAAATAATGAATAAGCTTATGTACGTATATTTCATTTTTATAAATGTCCCCAACAAACTCATTTCTTCCTTATTTCTAATTCAAGTTTTACATTCAACTACGTGCATACCATCAATCATCAAAACTGTTTACAATTTTATAAAAAGTTTAATTGATTTGTGTGATTTATTCCATTAGTATATCTTACCTGGTATGTCATCATCTTGGTCCATTTTAGCACCAAATGTCTATTTTTATGAGCAGACTGTTACAAACAAAGCGTACTCTTTATTTACATCATCAGAAACCTCATTAAACATTACTTAAAATATTTTGCTAAAGTATCGTGGAAAGTTTTTTATCTTTTAAGGTAGGTACATACAGATAGTTATTTTCGTTTCCGTGGAGATAGCAGAAGAGCTTTATAGTCTCTGCAACAAGAACTGCAACTTAAAGATACCAACTATGATTATCATGCACAGAATGGACTGTGGGAATATCGGCTGTTTTTGTAACCAGATATCTCTGAATATTTTTTATCGCATATAGTTACTAGAAATATAAGTTAAGAAAGACTACTGGCCCATGAGTAATCATTTGAAATGTCGTTTTCAACTATTAAACTTGTTATTTCAAACCAACCAATAACACCTAGCGCCGTAGAAGAACCAACATGGCCGCTGACAGTTTGTCAAACGACAGGTTTTAGTTTAAATTTTATACTGCACTATTTTCTCAAAATCGACGTAGGTATATGAAAATTGCTGCTTAAAAAGGAAATGGCGCAAAGTGTATGTTAGTGTACAAAATTTAGATGTAATCGCGGAAAATCATTGCTTTATATTCGGAAATATGAGCCGCATCATTTTTTACCTTCCCTGGATGACTGCATTATCTATTATATGGTTTTTCCCATAAGCTATTAAATAATATAGTGGCCCACTGCGGTAAAGTCATGCGCATCAAGCGGCTATGATATTTTCGTAAAGAAGGGACTTAATTTGCACCGTGTCTCTACATTTCACCCACTTAATATCACGTTGCACAGTTTTCCTTCTTAACAGCGATATTCACACAATAAACTTTTTTTTAACTGTAGATTTACTGCGATCTGAACATATTTTGCTTGTTGAATCCCGTAAGATCATTGGTTAAAAATGAAATTTTAAATCTCGCGCATGCGCATGTTGAATATATCTCGAATTTTTTTTCATAGTTTCTTTATAAGTTCCTGTATTTTCAGTACATTCAGGGCCTCTATATCTCTAGTAGCTATACGGTTTCGTCATTAGTTGGAACTTTTTGACAAAGTCAATCTTTCAAAATAAATGAAATACATTGTATCAGAGAAATCTTGATACTAATTGATGAAGTGTAGAATAACTTAATATTCTAGTTGATATCCTAGAATAGCTGGAGTACTTTCGTTATTGAAACATATTTTAGCCACGTAATTTTATTTATGCCTCATAGGTCAATAAACTATATAAAAACACAATGTCCAAACCTATTTGCAATTAAGGAAAACATGCAATGACGGAACAAAAAGTTTTTACAAATTTTTACATTGTTCACGAAGTATTAGACTTTCTGAGAAAAGGCGACATAGTAATTCCTAGAGGATTTGGTCATATGTTTTTAGATCTTTTCAATCCATCTGTTAATCGACAATGATATAACGGATATCACGACTTTTCAAGGTTACGCTTACGAATATGTAAAACAATTTTTTTTTCATAAACTTTAACATTTACGTAAAGGGAAATGACATGAATCGTGTATTCCATTAGAAAAAATAACGGTTTGCTAACTTTATGTAAGACGGAACAAATCATGATTTTGTAAACACCCTATACACCACAAAGTTATTGCTGTACTGGGAACTATTATCCAGGATACTGGAAAGTTGCAGCCAAAATTTCAGTTTTCTAAATTTTCATGCTGCATGTTTAAAAAATCAAGGTTGTTGCTTTTTTTCGATACAGTTAATAACCCTGCAACAATGGAAAAATTTTAGGTCAATTTTCGGCAAATTGCTATGCCCCGTTTTCCCAAAACGTCCAATAAGTAAAAAAAATGGAAGTGCGAAATATTATTTTAAAGTCGCAAAATAAAACTTAGTTTTTCCATTATAGAAATTTTAGTAAAAGTTTTTGGATAAAACGATGTACTTTATTCGGTTAATATTGTATAAGCACACGTGATAGTCCCGATATCACAAATACGACTGTCATCAAATTTAAACGACATTATGTAACTCTTGTCCTTTGCTGCAATTAATGTACCGGATATGATCCGAAAACGCAAGGCGTGAAAACGGTTCTGGAACATAACCTCAATTCTCGCTGCAATCCTCGTAGAGCTTATAAAAATCGTTTTCACGTAAAAGCGTTTGGTGTCCAAGTAAAACCTGATTCGGACGAAAGCCAAATTATTTTGACTTTTGTAAAGGAGGATATTAGAATAGTCCTGGTTTAAACTAACGGCGAGGGTGATTTTGTTTGCAAAAAACTTCCGATGGACTTCCCTGAAGTGATGGATCAGTTGGCTGCTGGCGCCGCAAAAATGACACGTATATGGACACTTACGTTGCTCGCACGCGCATGCGCGTTCGTGGGAGAGCACTTCGGGAAATTTTAGCAACTCGGTACATCCATCGAATCGGTTAACGCATGGAAACAGGTACTTTCTTGAAATGTATGCGCACAACGAAATGGGAATGATGTGCTGCTCGTATTTGCTAAGATTGTCCGTTAAAATGAACAGAGGTGCATTTTTATCTTGATCCTTTGCGCTTACGTGGCATCTTCCGCATGTATATTCTCCAAGAGGTGCTACGAGGATCGGTATGACGTTTAAATACCGCCAACATTTTCGACAGCACAGGTTTTCTAGGATGTCGTCGGGTACCATATTTCGTTGGACATCCATAGTGCGCTTTAATAAGCGGACTACCGAACAGCTGATACAAATACGTAGCGATAACTGACCTATTAGGCCCCTGTTGTTGTTTCCTTGGTTAGGCCTAAAGATTTCAGTAACGAGACAATACAAGTTATTGACTGGGTCGGTTATCGGCGTTGTCATTGTAAATAAACACATATGATTTGGTTGCAGCGGTATAAATAATATTTCGCAGAAAGGCATTAAGAGTTTTTAATGTATGTCGCAATTTTAGCGTTTCAGTACAGGTACTGATTTAAATGTATGATACCACATAGTTACTAGGTATATACCGGGTGTTTACACATTAATTCTATGCCACAAAGACGATAGATGGTGTTGCAACCGTAAAAAAGACGACTTATCGTATCCGACTTCAGTCTTTTAACATAACATATTTTTTCTAGTCCATACTCTAAAATTCCGAATTTGTAATATTGTATAAATCAGTGTCTCAAGAAGTTTATAAATTTGTCTGAAGAAGTTTATAAACGTGGTGCATACTACTTATAGTTTTTTTTGGTACATTTTTGCAAAACGAGTGAAGCGTGACCATCGGCAGAACTGTCCCCCATCGGTGCTTTAAATCCACCGAAAACAATCGGTGCCTAAAGTAGCTGAAACGCTCGATTGGCTCGTGATCCATACTTTTTGAACACCTAGTAGGGCTTCTACTGTAACTGTGCAGAATAGTATCAAATTTCATTTTCTCAATTCTTAACAGTGAAGTTGAGCATATCTGAAATCATTACGTGGCAGCTAACACACAACAAACACAAAGAACTTAAAGCAGCCAAAGCCATATTTCGCTGCCGCTAAAATATTTTTAAAATGCCGACACGTTGCATGGGTGTCAATGATTATTTCAAAGAAACACTCTATATATCATTGTCACGAATCCTCGTTAAAGAATAAACCTTAAAAAGGGGTCAAACTAAGTTTCTGAGGCTGCCGAGTCAATCACTTACTGAAATGAATGTCTATTTTAAACCTTGAAAAGCAATTACGGCAACCATTTTATCTTTTATATTTAACAGCGTGACATCCCGGACTCAATTCGCTCAAGTGGGAAATTCAATTTGTTTCTGAACAAGTCGCTTTCTTATTTTTAACAGAACAGGACGGTCTGCTGTGCTGCCTAGCGCACGCACTTGCACGCAGTGGTGAATTGAATTTCAGGTTCTTAAAGGATCTTTCGCGATGTCACTCAGACATAATTGATGTTTGATGTCGTCTTCGTTTTGACTTATTGAGAGATACATCACAATTAAGCCTTGTAAGCCGTTCCGTAAACTATATACCGGATGTTTCGGTAAGGGCAACGAGATACGGTATTAAGCAAACGGATATTTTCCGCAGTAAAGTTTTACGATTTGAGTCAGAGACTATCATCAGTGAAATGATCGTGTGCTTACCACCAGATGGCTTACAAAAAGAAAACAAAAAAATAAATATTCCGATATGACTTTTTTACGTCATTAGATAGTCGAGTAAAGATCCAACAATTCAATGAAAACTGCGTCTGCTGTGAAGCCGGCAATTCGATGATCACCGTTTCATAAACCGTTCTGTCAGCACGACCAAACAAATAGTGGGAGCCTTATATCGGGAACCGATAAAAAGGGTATTACAGAGAAACGGGACGACGACCTGACAGACGGTGATATGCCAGCTTGCCAAACAAACAAACAAAAAGTGGAATAACATTTCCACTGTACCTGTGGTTAGAAATGTCTTCTTCTCAACGTGGCGCGATGAATGTTGGCGATAATTTTTGCAAACTCGTTTCGATTCTTTGCGGCTTTTAAGAGTGCATGAGTATCGGGCTAGTCCAGCCTCGAATGTTGCTAGAAGTTAATTTTTCTTCCTATATCTCTTTTTCCTTCCATCTTGTGCTCCATAATCAGCATTTAGGATAACATGCGATATTTAAAATCGTTACTTATCTTCATTACTTTTTTTAAATAGTTTCCTATTGCGCCAAATTTACCTGTAGCTAATAATATTGCTATACTCCGACCAGAAATATAGTGCTTTTGCAACCGGCCCCGTGATTAACTTTGCCTACTGTTTATTATTCAATAACCGCAGCCCCTTATAGAACACCCTGTCGAGCAGACCCTTATCCGTAACCATCCCAGGACCGTCCTGGGGAATTCATCTACCTACACTAACAAGCGAGATACCAGTTCTATTGCATTACATTTCTACATTGTATCATTATTAATATACAAAATATTAAATATAATAATAATAAAGTATCAGTCACTTGAAAAATCGTCACTATCGCTACTGTCCGCACCTAGTTCCATGATCGACTGCGCCACTAATCGTTCTCGATAAATATTTTCATCATTTATTACTCGTTTTTCACAGTTAGACCAGCTTTGTACTTAGCTACTTCTTGCCGAATTACGTTTATGGTACTATCACTAAATTTTCGTGCAGTGTTATTTCTTCTTCTATGCGCTTTCAACTCAGACCAAATCATCTCAATCGGGTTAAATATACAATGATACGAATCGTTCTGTAGTCTTTATTAAAATGTTTTATTTTTAATAATTCCAGAAGTTGTTTTTTCATGTAGCTCTCTTTAAAATATAAATCATTTTCGTACAGAAATTCTTTAATTTCTTCCTTATTTGAAGAAGTATTTGGAATTTTTCTAATTTCGAATAATATGAGACATTAACCAAGATAATAACAGTATTTGGCGAGAGCTGTAACAACAGATTTTCGAAAAAGTCCTCAAATATTTCGGCGGTCATGTTGTCACGGTAATCTACACTTGAATCTTTGACATTTTTGGCAGTAAAAAACAAGGCATCTTCCACCCAACCATTTTTGGACCCAGCATTAAGAATTATTATGCGTTTTCCATGTAAAGCTGGCAATTCTAGCACACTTGTTACTGTTATCACACCATCCTTTTTTTACTGTGTCGTGAGTATCGAGCCACGTTCTGTTTAAATACACTATTGGCAGGAGATTCCATTAGCATTTGACGTTTATTAATTGTTGGGAACTGAAAATCCATTTTCTTCAAAAAAGCCTTTAGCACAACTAATATTTAAGTCTGTCAGTACTTTTTATGCACTTCTTCTAGGGTCAAAACACTATTCACTTAATGAGCGTCGTAGATTATACCCCTAATTAGATCTGCGTCTTACTCTTAAAAAACTCGCGAAGTACCAGCATCTTCTTTTACTTTCCTCTTGACTATCCCATTTGCAACATTTTCTCTTACTTACTTCGGAACTTTAACCACGTCACTTGTTTTTACTGCTGTTCCTACTTCCCCTTCTGAATTTCTTATAAAATTGTAAACATTCAAAACAATTTCTTTAGCATCCGAAGACAAATAGATTCGTTTTTTATTTGCTGAGGTAGTTCGTCTTCTAAATGGTCATTAGGTTCGATCACCATCTCCACTTCGTCTTCAAATTCTGCGTTGTTTTCCATGTTTTCTTTTAACAGGGGAACATCTGCTTCATTCCACCGTCTCCACATTTTAAAGTGTTAAAAAACAGGAAACTTCAAAAAATGCTTAATTGTAAGATTCTAATAAATATTTATCTGTATTCTTATGACGTACCTTTATCTACCGCGAACATAATCTATTGTCTTAAAAAGGGCTGTTGTTGTTTACAAATCGAAGAACTATGTAGAAGACACAAAAATACAAGAAGAATGTTGTTAATCGACAGACACACTAGACAAAAATGATTATTTTCAAACTTACCTGTAAGGTAAACATAGTACAGGTACTCACCCTTACCCTTTGAATTATAAAGTGAAAACAGCCTCGCAGGGTCAAAGCTCGAGAATCAGGTACATAAATACGATACTGGAATGATCACACTCAAATACCTCCGGAATATATACGAACATATTGCAATTTAGATTAAACTCTTAACAACGATACATATAACCTGATGTTAAAATAAACGCTTCTACTTATTCGAAAATACCTCGCAGCATCAAAGCTTAATCAAATTTAAAACGGTCCATTTATGTTTGAAATAAACACTCCAAGTTTCTACAAATATTCGTTACGGTCCATCTCAGGGAAGACCTACGAGGTTAGCGCCAAAATTTCCCGGCCTGAAATATATATTTGAAGTCTTGCTTCAAATAGTTATTTATTGACAGCATTTTAAATAAGATATGTCCGAAAAAATGTCACAAATAACGCAAATTGAGTCATAAAGAGCAGTCATAAAGTTTTTGACAAAAGAAGGGTTAGCACCTAAAATTATTAAAGAAAGGCTGGATGGTGTGTACGGCCAAAGTTCTCCTTCGTATTCTGTAGTGAAAGAATTGAGCAAAACGTTTTCGAACGGGGCAGGAGTCCCTTGAAGATGATCCAAGAACTGGTCCGCCAGTGGAGGTCATAACGGAAGATATTGTTGCGATTGTGGAAGAGGTGGTATTGAGGGATCGACGTTTAAAGCTCAAGGAAATCTCAGAAATTAATAAGCTTTCTGATACAAGTGTTCGTCGAATCCTGCATGATCATTTAGGGATGCATAAGGTTAGTGCAAGATGGGTTGCTAAAAACCTTTCGCCTATTCAAAAACAACGCCGTGTCGAGTGTGCGCGGTTTTTTTGGTGGGTCGGAACCGCAGCCTGTGATAGAAACTATTGTGACGGGAGATGAAACTATGAAACTCGAAAAAAAAAATCAATGGAGTGGCGTCGTAAGGGTGAAACACCTCTGCCTCTGCCAGTCAACAAAAAAGGTGATGGCCACGATCTTTTCGGATTGTGAAGGAATTCTTTTGATAGACTTTAAAGTAATTAATACCACTGTTAACGGTAAATATTACGCAACATTATTACATAAATTGCGAGACTGCATACGTGTCTTTTGCACGATAATGCGCCTGTCCATACTGTTGCTGTGCACAAGCTGCTATTTTAGAGCGTGGGTTCCAACAGATAGATCATCCTCCCTATAGTCCAGATATGGCCCCCAGCGACTATTATTTGTTTGGATATTAGAAAAAGGACTTACGTGGACGGCAGTTTAACGACGAAGTTGAGTTAAAAGAGGCCGTTTTAGCTCATTTTGCAGACAAAGCAAAAGATTTTTTTTAAGGGATTGAGTTGTTAATAAGGGGATGTAATAAGTGTGTTGAAGTTAAAGGGGATTATATCGAAAAATAATAAAAAATTGTTACTCTACTTTGTTTCTTTCATATTCAGGCCGGGAAACTTTGGCGCTGCCCTCGTACTTAATGCAGAATAAAATAAAATACTTAAAACGTGAAAGCAATAAATGCACTATATTTTTCGACATTTTTACATTAAAACATATCAATAATTAGTAAAACTGGACAGTCTCTAATAATTAGTGACCGAATTGATATTAACCGTCATTTTGATTTGCAAGAGAAGCAGCGAGGCACAATTTTTATCGCACCCTGTAGGCATGCCACAGATGCAAATTAAGAGAAACATATATCGAGTGATATAAAACGGTTTTCTTTCTTACAAATTGAACATCTTGTATTTTCCTTATAAAACAGCACTTTGGGAAGTTTATTTTGTAACTAGAAAAACTCCTAAAATACTTGCAGTTTAAAAAGGATTTTAGTTTTAGAAAGACGCTACCATCCAATTTGTTTATTTAATGAGGATAATTAGAATCGATCGTGTTTCCTTTTCGTCGATTCAATTTAAACTTTGAATTTTTATAGAAGCAAAGTCGGAATAATACGGCGGCTACTATACGTCAGCGTGGAATTTGTTTAACTAGATTCGATAAAAACTTGGGGCAAACCTTGAATGAACCATAATCGCAGAAATCGCGTAAAAGCAACATTGTATACATAATTTGGCGTGAAATTATATTTCCCTGGGCCGCGAATGTACACATACGGCACGGTGAATGTTGAAAAGTGGAAAGAAAATATTTAGGTTTTGCTGGTTTTATTATGTTTCTAAATTTCCATCGCATTAATTGAAAATTCGTCGGTCGACCATGGCGTTTTTACTAGAACTTCGACTCGGCAGGACTGTATTTATGTTGATGGGATAACAACGTTTTCTCGATTATGTTGTTGAATATTGATCGGCAGACGCACTTTGGGTGCTTTTCGCAAACGAGGAGAATCTCACTGGAGTCTATTTTTGCAGCGCGTCTCGCGATTCAAACACAGAGTGTTGAGAATCTCGAAACGTAAATAAACTGAAAAATCGTTAACGATTTTTGCATCCGTTGCCACCTTAAGCGTTGAAGTAAAGGTATGGAAATTTAATCACGCGCCGTTACCGTGAAAATATATTTATTGATCAGTCTTTGAAAATATGGTTTACATTCTAGGAACATGTGAAAATAAATCTTACAATATTCTTTATTAAAAATAAACAATAAATTTTTCGGTAAGATCGACGAAATTTATTCGAATTTTTGAAAATTTAGGTACTCGATGTGTGTAAAGCACGTGCTCACAGATTTTTTATATTTTAAGCGTGTTATAAAACACTAAAATAATAAACACGAAAATAAGAAGTAAATATGAAACTAACCAAAACTAAAAATATCTAAAACTAATAGTCATTTTTCATGACATGAATTTTTGCCTACCGGACAATAAATTGGGCTCTCTAGGTACAATATACCGCGGCCAAGAGAAAATACTGGAATTAAAGAACTTCGTTCTCAAAAAGAAATTTAATAAAATATTTTTACTCATGTTTACTACTTTGTTACAATACCCTCGAAGGGGTCAAATTACCATAGCTGACATTTTTACGTTTTGACATACTTTAGCTGTTTTCAGATATTTATTATCACCACTTATTTTTCCATTATAAAGTACGTTGAATTACTGCCTTGGTCACTGATCAATTGTTTAAGATTAAACAATTTTATTAACTATAGACTTATTTAAGTAGTTGAAAGGAGAAGAAAATTTGAAGAATGAATTACGAATCTTTTTTGACAGAAAAACAGATTTTGTTTTTATGTGATCAAACCCATAAAATAAAATTTTATTTTGATTATTTTAAATGTCATTTGACATCCGAAATAATAGATGAGCTTTTTATTTGCAAAATTTGGGATAATTAGACATTAATAATGACCCGTAAAATAGAAAATTTTCTAAAACTCGAACTTTTTATTGAGCATTAAGTTCTTATATTTATATTTTGGGATGCGGTTTTTATTGGGGTGTTGGACCTGTACTTGACATAATGACATAAAAAGATCATATTGTTACTTTCATATTTTGATGATGACGTCACAAAACTCCACCTGTTGGTACTCTAGGAAATGCCCTTTTGAACGACTCCAAGTTCATTAAAATATGTTAAGTTTTTTGGAGGTGTGGGCCAAATTTTTTCCGTTTTTTATATAAAATTCCACTCCATCGCGAACCTATCAATTTATATGAAAAGTTGGTTAGAGGTGTCCATACCCATAACAGGCTAACTCGTAGTCGTGAACTCCTTACGGTTGGTTAAGCATAGTACAACCTTATTTCAATGTTCTTTTACGTACCAGGAATCAAAATGTTTTAATAAATTACCTTCCAGTGTCAGATGTGCCCCCACGATCTCAATTTTCAATGAAAGGTTATTTACTTTCTACCGTCCTATTAAACATGAGTAATCTTAAACTACAGTAATCTGTGACAATCGTACATTACTCTCGTTATAATGATATACTTTGGTTATCTTGTTATTCTCTTAGTCTGTGTTTTGGATATTTTATATGTTATTTGGTTAATCTGGTGGTTGTATGAGCAACTCTGTTGAATACCGCCACCTACTTTATAAGTTTTTGTAAATATTCTGTCAACATGAATAAAGACATATTATTATTATTATTATTTATTTAAGAATATGTTCGAAACCTCCTCACCACTTTACTTGTGGAGATAAAGCAAACAGCATTAAACCAAAAATATTTAGATTGTTCGCAGCTATAAGATAGTTCTCACTGTGAATATAGTTGATATATTTTTTTTATAGAACCCGACTTTTAAAATTTATGATAACGATTACTGCCTTGGTGACATTTCAGAAAATCGAAAATAATTTCCATCATTTTCTCTTGTCGGATAATTTTTTTTTTCAAATTTTCATATCCGTCCGTCAACGGTACCCTTATATTACGCAGTCGGTGTATTTTGTTCCATCTTCGATATCTTCAACAGCAAATTGATTCTTAGTTTACTAACCGCAATGGCGATATTGTTCTCTCATATCCCTTTTGCATTGAAAAGCTTTTTTTCTGTTTAACTTAAATTATCTATTAACTGTAATAAATTAGAAGTAATTGAAATTTTGAACGGTGGGCTATATGTTAAGGAGAAGTTTGTTCTACCAGCTTGTTTATTTTCGTTAAAAAAGTAACAGAAATTACAATTTTTCTAATGGAGTGCAGTAAAAACTTTTGAAATGATGGAATTATCAAAGGAAGAAATACCTTGTCCTTACTTTGTGTCGGATATGCCGTCTAACCTATCGAATAAGTTCTAATGAAAATTTCGTGTTGATTTATAGGCGTGGCAGAAACTACTTCGCTACCAGAATTGTTACACTTATTTACGAATGGGATATCGACTTCTTCTTTCCGCTTAAACTTGTTCACTTCTTCTTCTGACGCGTATGTATAATTGTCGTGAGACTCTTCCGAGAACGAAGTACTTTTCCTATTGTTCATGTTTAGCAAGACGTCAGTGACGTGCTTCTCCAGATGTTTCTCGCCTTCCTGCAATCATACGAGATAGCAGCCAAAAGATTTTGCAAACATCTATAGCGGCCTTTTTATAAAAGTATGCGCCCATTATTAACATCAGATATGCCTTTTAAAAGCGCTTATAAATTAGGTTTGTTTTAACTACTTACAGAGAAATCTGATACTATCTTTCTACTCTTCATTTCTGGAAAGTTGAGCTTCTTATATTTTCGGTTTATGTCTTTAAATATATGTCTCCTTTGAAAAGGATAATATAAGGCTGTTCGAAAAGTCATTTCGTTTTTTCCCGTCAGAGGACTTAATTACGTTTTTTCGAAACCAACTTCACACTTAAGCCGCATAACCATTGAGAGCTGATATTGCAAGGCTTGTGTGTGAAAAAGTTCTATTAATTCTACGCAGTAGTTTTTGGTTGGTGCCCTTTTAAATATGGAGAGCAATAAGCAGCATTTTCGTCATATTTTACTTTTTTACTTCAGAAAAGGTAAAAATGCTGTCCAAGCGAGAAAAAAATTGACGGATGTGTATGGAGAAGGCGTGTTAACAGTACGCCAGTGCCAGAACTGGTTTTCAAAATTTCGATCCGGCAATTTTGATGTCGAAGATGCACCACGGTCTGGAAGGCCGGTCGAAGCTGACAAAGATGCGATAAAGGCATTAGTTGATGCAAATCGGCGAATAACCACACGAGAGATCGGTGAGAGATTAAATTTGTCGAATTTGACTGTTTATGGCCATTTGAAAGGCATGGGCTTAACCTCGAAGCTCGATGTGTGGGTGCCCCATGTCCTTACGGAGCGAAATTTGTGTCGTCGCGTTGACGTGTGCGATTCGCTCCTCAAACGTCAAGAAAATGATCCATTTTTGAAGCGGATTATTACTGGGGACGAAAAATGGGTTGTATACAACAATGTTAAACGCAAGAGGTCATGGAGCAGAAAAGATGAACCGGCTCAAAGCGTGTCAAAAGCCAACATTCACCAAAAAAAGGTGATGCTCTCCGTTTGGTGGGATGTCAAAGGAATCGTTTTTTTGAGCTTTTGCCGGACAATACAACGATTAATTCAGAAGTCTATTGTCATCAACTGGACAAATTGAATGATTCACTTAAAGAGAAGAGACCCGAATTAATCAACAGGAAGGGTGTAGTGTTCCACCAGGATAATGCGAGACCTCAAACAAGTTTGGTCACTCGCCAAAAACTTTTACAGCTTGAATGGGACGTACTGCAACATCCACCATATTCTCCAGATCTGGCGCCTTCCGACTACTATTTGTTCCGGTCCCTGCAAAATTTTTTGGATGGCAAAACCTTTACCTCAAATGAAGATGTCAAAAACCACCTGAACCAGTTTTTTGCCAGCAAGGACCAAAACTTTTATGAGAGGGGAATTATGTTACTGCCAGAAAGATGGCAAAAGGTGTTGGACCAGAATGGAAAATATATAATTTAATAAAATATTTATTCATTATACGAAAACTGTCTTTCATGTTCCCCAAAAAAAACGAAATGACTTTCCGAACAACCCAATAGAAATATATAAATAACATGAACGAGTAGATGATGAGGTGATATGCCAGACGTTACAGTTGAATATTCTGGAAACTTTTTGTCCATACATAAAAACCTACTGGGCACTCAACTTCTGACGATGAGCATGACATTGATGTGTCAATTATTGACTTAAAATGCAAAATATAGAATAAATAAATTACGATTGAGCTATCAACAATCTAAAATTGAGCAAGGGCAATGACCAAAGTATTCCACCGCAAAGAATAATATAGATGAGGCTGTTTTACAACTACCCAAAATATTTATGATTCTAATAGACATATGAGCGCAAACGATGGCCACTTTTGCTTGATTTCATTTGATCTTGACCTAGTGGAGCAAAATACTTGGAATCTACATAAAGAAGGCGTCGCCAAATTAAATTAAAATTAAAACTATTTTAGTTTTAATCTTCTCCTGAAGATGCCAACTTGGTCGGCGAAACGCGCGTCGAGTGCGTAAAATTGAGTTTCGGTTTGTGGTAAAACGCGTTATTGTGTGTTAGTACAGTGCCGAAGGTTCCAGTCAAGAGTTTGATAGGATCTCATTTAATAATATTGCACAGAAGAAGAAATTTGTAAACTTGTAAAGGGCGTTACCTACATGTATTTTTTCACTTTAAAAGGCTCACGATTTTCTATACGACCCTGTATTATATTTTTGCTAAAAAAATGAAATCTTCCGTCCTTTTTGTGTGAAAAAAATCCAAGTCGCTGGTAGCAACCTTTCGATCGAAGCCAAAGTTTTTAAAAATGGTGGTCAAGGTGGCTAAAAACTTAATACAGGGACATAAAAAAATCATAAGCCTTTTGAAACTGAGAAAAGAAATGTAGGTTAGGAGTAAAAGTTAAAATAAGAACAAATTCATGTGCAACAACAAAATAAAAACCGACAAATATGCAAAACCGACTTATTTTTAACTAATAATCATGCGCTCAAAATATTTGTACTGAATTTTGAAATATCCTGTATAGATAAAAATATATAATTTAGGCAATATTTAAATGGTTAGTTACCCTCTTAATAGGGAACCGATCTTAAACTTTCAACTACTATTTGCATAAAAGTGTTTTTTTTTTTCATTAATGAAGTTCGTCCACGAACAAAGGAAATCTCGGCGCAACGCAGATTGCTACAAAATTCGGTCGAAGTTTGTGGCTTATTATCGTAATTGCATCAGCTACAAGGATTTTAAAACAAAGGTAAACTTCTGGAAACTCCGGGGCGAAACAAATTACGAAGTTTCCACTAGTCGAGAACCGTTTAAACGAAGTCAAAAACTTTCGATAAACCGATGCAAACTTCTCATCTACAGATACTTGCGCCTCGTGAATTAATAAAAAAAAAATCAGAACAAACCTTTTGGAGTCTTTTTCTTCTTTGAGCCGCGTACAGCAGCCAGAGAAGATAAAGGAACATGGTGAGCGCCGCGCCCAGTAGCGCTGACATCTTCGTAGACCCATACGAGATGGCGTGATACAAGCCTATAATTACCAGGAATAAGACTACGCCGACCGCTAGGTAGCGCCCTGTCTTTTTCCGCTCTTCCTGTAATATAATCCCCTGAATTAAAATCCATTTTCCCCTGTAAATATTCGATATTTCAGCGCTATCTTGATGCACCATGGCAAAATACCCAAAAGAACAAATTCAATAGTACCTATATTTAATGTTAATTAGAGTATATTATCATTTAATTATCTCGCATAAAAGGGTAAAGCTTAGCTCGTAGCTAGTAACTGCCAGTGATCGTAGCAGAGTTGACCTTAAGAAGAAAAGAAGAAGAAAAAGATAACAATTAAACAGTGCATTTGAATTTAATAGGACCGGTAGTACAGCTAATACTGATTTTATGAGTCAAATTTTGTTTTTTATGTTTGACATTTTTATTTTATATTATTTTTTTCGTCGTACGAGTTAATACTGCCGATTTAACTGCTAAAAAGCTTAACTGCTTGTTTGAAAAGCGCTCTGGACATTCTAATGAATAAAGCGACATCATTTCCAATTCCAATTTCCAGTTTTCGACCAAACTAAGCTAGCTAAACTGAAGCTATTGATATCTGATGTAATCTAAGCTTCTGCTTCCGCGGTTAGTGATAGTGGTGCAGATAATTATATTAAGAGATTATTTTATATTATTTCTCAAATTTCTAACTGCTTTGGTTTTTTAGTGTTCAATCATTTATTAATAAATCGCTTATCCTTCTTTAAATTGAGTGATTTTGATATATTTTGACTATATTGGACGGAAACTATTTTGCATATACCTAGTTATAATTTAAAGCTTAAATAGTGTTAATTAATAAATTAATACTTTCTAAAATGTATTTATTTTAGTTTTAGTTAGTAATAACTCGGCTATTTATTACATACAAGTTTATTATATACAAGTTTTTTGTTCGTATCAATAAAAAAATAGTATTTTGATGTTCTTTATCTATTGATTTAGTTCTCAAAAAAATTAAAGTAAAAAAAAATGTTTTTTTTTTCATGTTTCCAAGAATTACATATATTGGTTAACGGTACATATTTAGGTAAATAAATGTTTTTTTTTTGAAGAAATACTCTTAAAAAAATACATACCTGTTCTTGACTAGTAAATTTAAAATTATTATACATTTCTTTTTTTATAAATAATTGAAGATAGTATTTTTTGCTCATCAAATATTAATATGTAAATGATGTCAGTGCGAATCATATTTCTAATTAAAGTAATTAAACGCGAAATTCCTCCATTTATTTAAAGCGCAAGACAAGGACAACAATCCTCATTACTATAGCCATCCTGGTATACTGAAAAAAATTTGATAAACTTTTCTCCCACGTCGGGCGTATTCCGGTTTAGATCGACTTCACTGCAATTAAATCCCACTTAAATCTGTCAATTTCTTTCATCAATTATGACATTTATTTATGTTTTCGCACACCTACGAATTGTTTTGATTTACGCCGTTACATTATATCCGGCATTGGTTTGAATAGCGTCGTGAGTACATTTTACAACTAAAACTAAAATCTCCCAATAAATCAAGTAAAAAATTAAATTTGTTTAGATATGTTTGACCCACACAGTTGATGCTCAAAATAGGCTGCTGATTTATATTCTGTTGACCTTTTATTGTGTGCTCTATTTTTCATCATACAACAAATCCGCCAGGAATTTTTAATTTTTGAAAATTTAAACGCGTATTTTGACATGACAAACTCCGTGCAATTTATATTTTTTGAGAAATAATCGTCATCCGAAATATTTATTGCAGGTAAATAATTTTCGAAAGATGAGGAATGAACTCTCAATTCACAATCCATTTTTTGCTCAGCCCGTGACGATTGAGTTAAAAGTATGACTGGGAGTTAGAGTAATGAAACATTCAATTTTATGTTGCCTCGATTGACAATAAAAATTATTTGAGTGACGCATTTTGTAGGTCATAAATTGCTGCCGGTTGCGAAAGCTTGGAACAAATTTGGGGAATATTTATAGCTTCCTAGCCGTATGGTAAATTAAACGCTTTAAGCCAAAGTTCCAATCGGAATATTGCGTTTTAACATTTCGTGTAGAAAAATAAAAAAGGAAGGTAGTTCATATACATAAAAATCATGATTTCCGCATCCATCATTCTACCTTTTGTCTGTTTAAGACCTTAGCCGCCATTTGCTAAAATATAATATATTAGAGGAAAGAAAATAAGTAACTTAAAAAAAATAAGTGAGGTTATATTTGTTTATATTTTTATGTTTACACTTATTTTTATTTTATGTTTATGTTTATATTGTTTGTATAAAAAATATTATTCTTTACAAATATTTCGCGTAGATATAATTATATATTAGTTAATGTTTTGGATGCGCAACATTTGTTTAAAAAACTCACCATGAAAATCGTGTTTACTTAAAACTTTTGGAATGGAAATGATATATAATCCCAGAAATCCTAGAAAAATACTCTCCTCTAAAATTTGCAAGGTAGCCAGTTAATTTTGGCTGGCGCTAATTACCGAATCATAATTAACTGATCCGAGTTAAAAAAATTTAGTTATGTCAGAAAATTGATGTTAATAGTTAATAGTTGTTAATTTTTAACGTTAATTTAAGACGCAAATAATATTTTTGTTATCAAAATTAATCTATTTCGTTGATTGTAATTCGAATAAAGGAATAAAAATTATGATGTTTCATATCGTCTGAGTGTTTTCGAACTTACATTAATATTGACAATACATTAAATCAATTCTATTGTATATGTTTGACCGACACAGTTCTCTCATAAGTTCGATTCGGTCCTATTTGCATATTGTTGATTTTATCTATTTGTCTACTATATTAAAAAATAAGGTCATCATTTACGAGATTTTGAAAAAGGAAACACCTCATTTCATCACCTTGTATTATTAAAACTTCTTTTGCAGTTCTCAAGTAATTAAATAATAATTATTATGCAAAACAATAATAACCACTAAATCAAAATTAAAAATATCTGTATAGGTTACCTATTTTTCTAATTCCAAACTTTATAAACTTGTCTTGGGCGATTTTGTGGCAATTTCCCTTTGTAATTCTTGTTATTTAGTATTTTTTTATTGGTCATTATTTTCATTGCCTAAGTATTATTTAAAACTTGCCCAATTTACGGGTGTGCTTAATTGTTAGTAAATTTTATTATACTTAAGAAATACTTAGGTGCAAACAAAATGCAATAATAAGCCAATATTTGGTAAAATATTCGCAACAACAATTAATAACTAAAGAAAAATTGGTTACAAAATTATTCCATACTGTATTTTAAAATTACGTAGCAACCTTTCGATTGCCGCGTGTTTTTGCAATGGTCCAAATGGTATGGTTGAGAAAGATGACTACCGTTAACGTCAATTGAAAGTTATCGTAAAACACTATAAATTGCAACTTTCGCTAGCGATGTTAAAAAGTTGAAAAATTCGTATAACTTACCCGAAGTGTCGAATCGGGTTCCTCGAACGGCACGTCTAGAATAAAATTTTCCGTCGACTTATCCAAGACGACCATTTTTAAACTAGGATTTCGGAAATTCCGTCGGTAAGAAGTTGAGTTGTAGGGACGCCGATAACTAATCTGAAATGTACACTAATCTGGAAGGCACGACGATTGATCCGGCCAAAATGAAAAATCGGGCGCCTCCAGAGAGGTAAATTAAAAACTGCACGAACAGGTTGTTTTGCCGCGTCTTCCGAAAATATCTGAACCAAAATGTGAATAAATCGCAGCCCAATGCTTGGTGGGTCGCTATTATTATCCGAAAATTACAGGGCTTCTCTAAAAAGTCTTAAATTCATATTTGAACTATACAATGCACAAATGTCTGAATGGCTGGACTGGATCTAAACTGGAGTAGGTCAGACTTGATAGAAAAGTGAGGCAAATTTTAAATAGAAAAAGGCAGGTAGTAATGAGGGTTGTTGTTTTTGTCTCTCTAATTTGTGTGAATGAGACGATGGGGTGTTCTCGTTATTTGAGTATTTTATTACTGACATAATTCTTACTATTTCTTAAAAAAGCGTATACAAATTGATATACGTAAAAATTTAAAATATCGAAGTCTTTTTAACATTCTTAAAAAATTCTATGATCGAAAAATAGCAGGAGTATTATTTCAAAAAATAAACCTATACATGTATTTACCTAAATAGGTACAAGGTGGGCTGAATTGGACACTTTTTCTAATTCATGTAATGTCAGTTATTTGGGGCTCAATCTTCATATAAAAGATAATTTTGAAAACCGCACATGGATAACTGTTACCGTTTCAGAGTTATAGTGTTTTGAAAAATGTATATTTTTTAAAATCGCTTATCTATTTTGCTATAGAAAATTTTGTATTTATATAAAAACAGAGGCATTACAATTGATTATAATTATAGAGATGGCCGCATAATCGAGCTGATTATTTATCCTAAGATCAAGTAAATAAAAATGTATAAAGAAATAAGAATAACATGAAAATATTACTCCTATTTACATTTATTTATAAGACATTTGTAAATTTTAGTCATCATGTTCTGAATGGCGAGATGAAATATAGTTTTCTAGCATGTTATCAGCTTCCCATATTCTTTTTTCTATTTCAAGGTACCTTTCTATCCAAAGTAGGTTTTCCAAAGTGTTCTTCTGATTGCAGCCCTTTCATTCTCATTTATTACAGTTTTGTCTTTGGTACTTGCTGAGGGGGTGTTTATCCCCATGCAACTTTTCGGTAACCACACTAATTTCTCATTTTTAGAAAGCGCAGTTTTACTAATCCGTTTCTCAGCAACAAATGAACCAACATTAGCTATTTTCAAGAACGAACCTTGCCAACTACCGGAAAATGACTATAATTCTAACGTTAAATACTAAGGCACAGGTAGATCAACTACTTGCCACATTTGGGACTCTTGACAATGATCATACTACGACAATGGGATACGGCTAAAACCAAGTTTCACAGTTCAATAATAAGTTGTAACGCTCTAAGAAAAAGAGCATAATGGGAAGTATAAATGTATCTTTGAATCGTTGAATACAGCTTGGACCCCGATAATAATACAGAAAGAAAATATGGTATGGTATTTACAATGAAAGATGTAGAATTTTATAACAATTTAAATTGAGCATCGAGAACAAGGCTCACTAATATATTATAAAATAACATCAGCAAGAAAGAATTAACCAGGATTACAGGAAGTATTTGAAATGTGAAACGGTTTTTCTTATCCACAGACCGTACCATTTCTCAACATTTCTCGCAGAATCCATTGACTCAAGTGGTGTGAGAGGTGCAAGTCCTCGTGTAACCGCTATTTCCATGGACGTTGAGTCAGGTGACAACGCTTGGGACCTTAGACTGAATAAACAATGAACTTGAAGGTTGGGACCCAGGTTAAACACCCATTTGTGATCGAGCTTGCTAAAAAAATATGTTTATTATAATCAATAATTGTTGTCTTAAAACTTACCTGCCCAGATACTTAATCCAAATCTTCCTGGACTTCTCAGCTCCACTGATGAAGTATTCGAATTAAAACACCTGTACTCCTAATATAAGCTTCGTCTATCCAATGGGAAATCGCAGGAACCACTTGCAAAAATTTGAACGGCGCGGCATTGAAGATCTAAGGTCTAAGGTCTCTCTTATGCAAATGTTAAAAGCAAATTGACAATTTAACAATTTGCAATACTGCATGAAAAAATAAACTTAAATGGAACCGGTAGAAAAATTGATAAATAGTTGTTCAATCTCAGGTGAATTTAAGATTACCTGGCACCTTAGAAAAGTTTTAAAAACGCTGTAATAAACTTCATATAAAAATAAATATAAAAGCCTTAATTTGAATTATAAACAATATAAACATTTACATTTTGATAGAAGAAGAAGGATAGAGTGAAAAAAAAAGTTGCAACTTATATCAATCAAAAATGATTAGAGTCCTTGCTATAATCAAACACAAAGTAAGCCATTTGGCACACAGTTACCTAGAAATTTATTTAATTTTTTCATCCAGTAGCTTGTGACAAAGTTTAGTTTTAAAACTTTGCTTAAATTTTTTATTTACCTTGGAAAATTATTTAAACACGAAAGAATATTACATGAAAACAAGCGTTTAAAACTTCAGTTGCATGCATTGGCAGAGTCAGCGTTCCCTTAAATTGTATATTAAGATTATGTACGTCACAGAATTTATTAAAGAGGCATCGATGAGATTTTCTACATAGTGTTTTTGCAAAATGAAGAAATATTCTATTTTTCATATTTAGCCAATTAACTAATTATGTGCATCTTTCGAATCCCAAATTATATTCCAAATATAAGTATAAATAAGCCAAATATAGAAATAGAATCAATAATAATCCACAATAAAGCGACTTGATTGAAAAAAAAATCATAAACTAATATAGATCGTTATCATTCTAAAGAGAATGGGACATAATGTCGCATGTTTAGAGAAACACGGCACGAGCAGGCGAAAGAAACTAGATATGTGTTCAAAAGTAAATTGATGCGGAAAGATAAAATAAATGTTTTTGTTTATTAACTTTTAGTTTATATATTTGCTGGAAAATTTACCACAAGAATCGTCAACTCATTAAAACTGGCCACTTACAGATTTTCATTTTCCGATTTGGAATATATTTTGTAATCTGTGACGTGGGCAAAAAGTAAAACAATTTGTAAGAAATAATAACACGTAGGTGTTAATTCAATTATTTAAGTAGCCGAAAGTCTCGTGGCGCCATCAAAACCCAGCAACTTAAAGTAAAGTAGACAACTAAATATTATTCACGTAAATTATTATTCTCTTTTTTTTGCTCTTAAAGGTTGTTGTGTGCCGCGGTGATCATATCGGCAAATGCTTGATCTCTGATTCATCCGCATCGAAGTTCACATCCCTCGCTGCCTAAGTTCGATCAGCAAGTAATTATCTACGCAAAATTGGAAAACCGCAATCCATTTATTAACCTCGTTGTCGGTGGAAATTGGTTACAACGTTTACAACGTTACACATACACGTTTCCGATTACCTATCGCGTGTTGCGATCGATATTTCATACGTAATTGTTGTAAAGTTAAGGTGTCAGCTATAGAAACATATAGGAAATCAATAGTTTAGTTTCAAATTTTATTGGATATTTGTGTGTACATATAACACAAGGTCCATTACTACAACATCTATAAAAGTTACTTAATTAAATAAATTGAAACTAATAAATTTTAAACTACGTCCATCTTTCGAAGAAGTAACCATCCTATTAAAACAACGAAAACAAATCGAATCGTTCGGTCCAGAAGGTACAGCCTGAAATGAAAAATATACTTTAATTCGACTGTTCTCATTATGATGCTGGTATATATATATATTTCAAGGACAAAGCTTACAAAATGCCTATACAGGGTGTTAAAAAGTACAGTTAAGATAAAATAGTGGTAGCAAGTCATGTAACAATAAATTCGAAATCGTAATATTTTCCGAGTTGTCAAAATTCATATGTTTAAATTTCATTTTTAACTCAGTGAGCATAATTCTCAACGGAATGAGCTGGTATTTTACACACAGCGCTGATTTAGTAAAGTCATCGTTACAAAATAAACGTGTTTCAGAAACCTGTCGCTAGAGGGCACTTTACCTAGAACATCTTTTTTATTTTGCCTGTATTTTATTTATTTAGACTGATATTGCAAAATAAGACAGGTTGCCTTAAGCAGAATCACAAATCCTGAAAAATTGTTACTCTTGTTTTGAGTTGATAAGTGTTATTCTTTAGTCACAAATGGACTTCTTATTCGAATACCCCGCACTTGTAATTTACAGAAAGGCGATACTGGGTATCGCGATATGCGTTTTTGTTACGGAAAAACAAGTGGAAATGCAGGCTAGCATTATTATCCTCCATGCGACGTGCACTAAATTTTTCAAAACAGTAGGCTACAAATTAAAAAAGTAAAAAAATGGCATAAGTACCATAAATCCATTTAATATTTTGGAAAAAAAAATATTAATAATAATCGGGAATTAAACAGTATATAACACTAATTATAATTCATTTTCTTATACATTTAAAAAAATGAACGACAAATTAAAAAGACATGAAAATGTAATGTATAGCGAAGTTAAAGACAAAAAATCATTTTATCTACGCGATCTACGAACATTTTCGGAAATAAATTTCAATAACGTCAAAAAGGTCTAATGCATTTTAATAAACTTAAAGTTTTTGAAAAGGTCAACTATCGATCGTGGTATCGGCGAAGCGCTTTCGATCTGAAAAAAAAATCCAACAACGAAAAAGCTGATTTTTGAGAAACATGTCCATTTTGCTGGTTGTTCCTAATTTACCAAGTAAAATGAGAATTTAATATTTAAGATGCAAAAATTATTTTTAAAACCCGGAAAAAAATCGTAGCGATTCCGTCATACCTTTTCGTGAAAACACGGGTCTGTGGTTTTATTTCCTTGCTCTCCTTTAATAAGTACCACCTACTATAGTCGCAACACGCTCGATAGTAGTCGTAGATTTCTTCTAAATTCGGGAAACGTACGTAGGCAAACGATTCTTCGTCCGTTTTCGATAGCCGGGAGTTTAGTTCGAGAAACCGTGTGTTTTGGAATTCCCACTCGCCCAGCATGAACGGCCCTAACGCCATGTTGGAAATGTAAATTTTTCGCTGCATTTTTGACAATCTAAATATATCATTAATATTTTAAAAATTCAAAATGTTTATTTTCTTCTCCCATGCATACCGCGGCTTGCGATGAAGCAGTCTCAAAATTAAGTCCACAAACGCAGCCGGCATCATGTGCAAGATCAGGACGCTGACGTAATAGTCGTACCAACACTTGGTGATCCTGTTGCCAGGGAACCAGAGTTTATTTTCAAAGGGAATGTCCCAGTACAACCGTTTGCCCATTTCAGCGAAATGGTTCAGTCTGATGGAGTGAAGTTTGTCCTTGCTTCCATTGATTATCATCAATTCGCGCTTGTTGTCGCTGAAAGAACACTAGCATATTAATAAATTAAGATTCTATTTATTCACTTACGAACTCGTTCCTTTTGCCCACGAAGCGACAATTAGAGACTTAACGGTGACGTCGGCGGTGACGTAATCCGGGATTGAATCCCCGTTGCCGTATCCAACCCTAAGGATCCCTGACCCACCTGCCACTAGCAAACCCACTGGACCGTTGAAGTTTTCAACGTAGCCTTTGACCGGTTCATTTAGAGGAGGTATTACTGGACAGATAAAAAGCTAGTCAATTTGGTTGTAGACGATGTGTTAGACAGTCGCAGAATAACACACATAATAACACTTGACAATTTTTGGAAAAATCGGTGTTAGATATGCTACAGCTGTAGGCTCTAGAGTTGGTAAGTTATTCGTATAAATGAAGAAAAACATATCATGGACTTTTGACTTTAATATTATATATTTTTTATTTCTTTATCAGATCAATGAATGGCGAGATTTTAATTCGTTTCCACAAAACTTACCTATCGAAGGTCGATAAATTACTGTCGGAATTTTTCCCACGCACGTGTCATTAATGACGTGCTCTGCTAGAGATTTTGTAAAAGTATAGGTATTTGGAAAAGGACTGGTATACTTGGTTGTTAAAATCTCTAAAACATTCTCGTCGCATTCTTCGGCAAGACGTATGGCTTCTTTCCAGTCTGTGTGTGGTGGGTACAGTTTTTCTTCGATTATCTAAAACTCGCACAGTTTATGCTTCCTATATAACTTCATGATTTGATGAACAAATCTACAAGTTAAGGTCTTAAAATAAAAAAAAAGTTTTATGATATGATTAAAAATTTGATGGCACTAAGGGTCAATAAATTGTTTTCTGAATTTTCCAATAAATGCAAATTGTCCTCTAATTAAATATAATCAGTAATATTTGAAGAAGTACACTAAAACAGCTTTTGCTACGCTCTACGCAACAAATAGTATATTATGCAACAAGTGCGGTAAACGGCATTTGACTCACGAATTTATTTGACACGAGCGGAACGCAACGGAGCAAGTTTTTAATAAACGAGTGAGTTAAAAAGTTTACCGGACGTGTTGCATACTATACTTTTTTTACGACCGTTAGTTTTTGGGTACATTTTCGCAAAACAACACGAATACATTCACGGTAAAATCCCGGAAATGTTCGAAGTGGCTTGGATTCATGGGAAACGAAACTGACGTGGTGAAGTGACGCTTCCCGTACGCTAGATCGGTGGGTAATCAGGTATTTTACAGACGGGAGTAGAAAAAAATATTTTACATGGTTGTCCAAAGCTAAAAAGGGACCTGTCGTGAAATTTTTAATTATGAATGTTTACATTGTTTTTCTAAATTCCAATTTGTGTCTGTGTGATTTTAAGTTGACGTTTTTATGATGTTCCGTTATTCTGTAATTCCGATAATGCCCGTGTGTTCAAAACAGGGTTAACATGTTTTGAGACCCTTGATTTTTATGTTTGCTCATAAAATCCTTAATTTTGTGAAACCACTATAGGCAATTAGTTTCACTTCATAAATTTTTCTAAACGTAACTGAAGTTTCAGAAATTTCCCTCGCTAACTCGAATATAGTTGCAGGTTTAACATAAGAAATCCAATGTAAATTTTTAGGCGACGAAATATTGACTTAACTCATTTGCCGAGTTTGAATAAATTTTAATAAGTCAATATTCAGTTATTGAATTATTAAAAGCTGGACAATGACATCAAATAAAGTTTGGTTCACAATAAAGACAAGCACATTTGGTTTCACACATTCAAAATAAACTAAGTATGTAGGTATATCATTATGTTATTCTTAGGATCAAACTCATACTCGCCATACAAGCCCTTAAAGCGTTCTTGGAATGAATTTCATTTAAAGGACCGTTTAAGCAACAAGGAATCTTCAAGAAATGACTATAAATTTGACCCTCAAGTCTTTTATTAAAAATAATTGATAATTAAAATAAAAAGACTGCTACAAAACATTGTTAAAATAGATATTATTTAAAATAAACATTATAATTAAAGTAAATGTTCAAACAACCTTTCATTAACAGTTAAACAATATCCTAAGCGATTATAAAAACAATGCTTAGTTGCTCACCATACGGGAATTATGGGCGGGACAACCATCCATGTAGTACCAAATGTTCTGATCTACGCTAACACTTCTTCTAGTGCGGTTTCAATTTTATTTTGTAATAAGTCCAAATAATATGATGTCCGCAAATTCCCACCACAACAATTATTTTTTCAGGATATTGGATATTGGCTTCGAGTATGAACAAAACGGTGTTTATCGTCTTGGCCCCAATACCAACAGTTTTAAACATTTGGTTTGTTTTTGAGTCCGAATGTGCGTTCATCAATAAAGCAAATATTTTTAAAAAAATACCTATCATTATTTGCTTTCCCCCTCATTTCAAAACAAAATGCTACTCTCCTTTCTTCCTCGCCTTTCGAGAGCCCTTGGTACTTTTCGTATTTATATGAAAAATATCGGCGTTTTTTTAATGTGCGCAACTCGCAGTAAAATGTTCAAATCTCTATTGTCTCTTTCTTCTGCTCTATTATCGACATTTTCAACTGAACATTTGCAGTTATTGGTTACGGTACCTCTGGACTCGAATTGCGTAATAATAAGTTTAATTGTTGAAAACAAAGTTACAGTGTTAGCAGGAAAATAAACTGAAAACATTTCAGGCGCTGTTTGCTTTTTAATTAAAGCGTGTTTAATAACATATAACAGTCACAAATTCAAATATTGTTACTGTCACGAATTTTCGTGTTGTCATCGCCCATGCATGGTGTTTGATTTATTACCCAAACTATAAAAAAATTCTAATTTTGTCATCATATTTAACTTCAATAACTGAAGATTAGCTTATTAAAATTTATTCGGCACACGAGTGCATCATACCGGTCCATTCAATAAGTTATATTACAACGTTGCTATAAAATCTACAAATGAGACAATCTGTGTGCCGTTCGGAAAGGCATCACCGGGTATAATATAGTTAATATAGCAAGGAAGAGTGACCTTTTTATCGATTTGGCAAAACGTGGTGGAAACGTGTACCAACACCTTCAGTTGTTTCATTTCAAGGGCCAACGCTGCCACATCCCTCGTGCTTCTGACATTTACAAACATCGCATCCTTTAATCCGTCGTCAAACCTGACGGAGGCAGCCGCGTGGAAAAACACCGAAATTTTTTCCTTTAGCAATTCTCTATCCCTTTCGCTTAGCCCTAGAAAAAGTAAAATCTACATAGCGATGTTTTGAACAGTCTTGGTTAGTTGAGCTATTTCTGTTATGTAGCTACTAGGTAAATTTAATGTAGAAACCGTAAATACCGGCGGCTACGAGATGTTTGGGAATAATCCCATTTCTTTCCAATTTTCGAAACCATTACAAAAAAACATTTGATAACTTTTACCTGAGTAACGACGTCTTGAAGAACTTTTTTACTCTTTGTACCAAAGATTTTTAAAAAATCTTGCTATAGAAATAATCAGGAAAGTATGTCTTGAAATGAAAATGTACTGTGGCTGTGGTGCCATATTTTAATAAATATTTTCAGACTGCAACTCGTACTTACCCAGATTAGGTTTCGTTACATCGCCGCTTAACGGGATTATTTTCTTTGTTACCTTGGGATTGCGTTCAATTAACACTTGGAAAAGCTAAAAATAGTGGCGGAAAATTATCTAGTTTTCTCATGAGGATTTGCGCATTTTTTAATGTCTGTGCATAGCAGATGCACAACATAAAACATTTCGAACACCTCCGGCGCGTAATCAAATTAGGGGCGGTGTGCTTCTGCTTGTAATATGATATTGCAAAAATGATTTAGAATAATGAACAAGTGTTTTCGCAATGGAACGTTGAATTTTCTTGAAAAAAGAAATAACGTTTACAATTACAGAACTTCACCCCTATTGAAAATCTGTCATATTCACTCACTTAAGTGTCATTAAATAAATTTGGACCAATAAAATATAAAATGCAAATCTTTGTATTTTTTCTTAGATCTTTTTCACCTTCGAAGAACACAATCTTTGTTTTACGTCGAATATAGAGCCTTCGACGCTTCTTTGAAGATATTAATTTATTTTTGTAAATATTTATTTAATTAACCCAAATTTAAATTTGAAAATTTCATTGCATTTTCATAAAACGATCAAAAACGCGTCAGTTTTGGCGAATAAAACGGATAGAAATGTGCTGATCGGTTCAAAATCGCGCACTCACTGGTCGTTGCCAAGTAGGCCATGAAAATATTGTTAATAAAGCCACAAAATCAAAATTTTCTTTATGAATATCTATGTGCGGGGTGGTGCGTTTGTTATTCGATGATATCTGAAAACTTGTGAAAAATACAAAAAAACTTAAACGATTAAAATATTTGCTTTTATTTTTGTGGATAAGTAATAACTTTCTTATTTTAAATAGAGCACCGTGTATAATAAGCCACTTCACTGTTTTTGAGATATTTTGATTGATTGATTGATTTTGAGGTTTGCAGATCCAAATACATCCATCGATTTCTTCCTACTGAGACTCTCTATTATAAAATTTTGTTGTTATTATAAAAGCCACAGGGTGGCCAAAAACTGTTATTAATAAGTTGAAATGGTTTTCAAATGGAAACACTATAGCTTTATAATTTTATTATATGTATTTCAAAAAATTCCAGATTTCGAAATTTTAGCAATAAAACCATTTTAATTAATTAAACAATCGAGCGCTTAAGAAATGGCAACTGCTATTTATTATCGTTTGACAATTTTTTATAATTCTGGCTGGCAATGACACACAAGTTTATGAATTTTTTTAATGTTTAAAAATGAAATAAATTTTATCAAAAATATTTTAGGCCTGTCATGAAGAGTTATTATATAATTAAAAATACATATTTTTTTAAATAAAAAATAAGAACCAACTGTCTTTTCAATTTGTTTTATTTACTATTGGCATTTTCGTCATCACTTAGTTTTTCTTTGTTATAAAGTTGGGTAGCATAAACCTATCAAACAGTGACTTCCAAACCCGCAGAAAACCAAAATATTGACGCTCCTGTAGTCTTCCACGGTCTTTTCTTCATTTTTACACTGGAAAAACTTTTTATTTCAAATTTTTTGAAACCTACAACTTACTCTTCTTTTACTGAAAACATGACAAACTTATTATAATGTGCTATTTTCATTTGACAAAATGATGTTTTATTATTATCTATTTAATGATTTTCTAATGATAAAATTAACCCCAAATAGTAACAAGTACCGCTTAAATATCTCTGCCAAATAATAAAATTCAATATTTAAGGGGTTTAGAACAGGCAAAATTCTAAAATACTCACAGCAATTTACCACATTTACTTTTCACGTCATAATTTTGTTATTATAAACGGAATACCCTATTTATTTTTATTGCAATGAATTGCGCATGTCGTATTTAGTAAGGCCTCATAATTTCAAAATTTTGTTTCTATGAATTACCGAGCTACAGCAACACCGTTTTTTCAGTAAAAAGTACCGTAAGTAAATATCTCGAAAACTGACAAAGCTGGAAGGATAAACTTTAATATCTTGAGGTTTTTGTACATGCAGAATTTCAAAATGTTAACTGCAATGTTGTCAGATTTCGCCATGATATTTATAACTCTGGTAACTTTTCACTGATACACTTCTGAAGGTTTTTATGTTCAAAAACTAACAGTGGTAAATATGACAACACTGCTGTTGAATTCTGCATGTTCAAAACCTCTCGGGTATGGAATTTTATTGTGCCAGCTTGGGGAGTTTTAGAGATATTCGGTAAGCTTTCCGGTAAATTTTACTAACCCTGTATAAGAAGGGTTTGCAGTCGGAGAAGTCGATTAATATATCAGACTCGCAAACTTCACTTTTGACATGAAATTCATATTATTGTATATCAAATATGGATAGAATTATTTAATATAATTGGAAAGTTGTTACTTATCCACACCCTTTCTTTTAAAAATATAAATGAATCCAAACAATTTTTGTTTTTTGTTATTTTTGCAGATTCTAAGAGATGGTATATATAATAAATAATGAATAATGAACGGGCCACCCTGTACCTATTCAATGCCATTTCGGTTTTATTCCCACAACAGAACTTAATTGTTAAAATAGCCAATTTGAATATCAATGTTATTGATTTTTATACAAGCGCGCGGTTTTGAAAGTGCCTTAATTGATTCTAATCATGTGGTTGATTTCCTAATGGCCTTGATTGAGGCGCAATGTTAGCGTTTTCTTGGAGTTACAAATAAAAATTGTGAGAGACGATTTCCCGGGCATCGTCAATTAAGAAAAATTTCAAAAATATTTTAAGCTATTTCCTAACTTTGACATTTCACTATATTTTTATAAAAGAAAAATTTTATTGTTGCATTTAATTTATTAGATAACTTTGCAATTTTCTGTTATTATATCAAAAAGCGCATGAGTATATCGTCACATTTTATGCTTGTACCACTTTAATTTAATTTTAATAGATACCTCAAAAAGTGTTAAATAAAAATTACTCGAATAAAGCTTTAAAAAGGATATAAGTTTTGGTACGTTTACTAGGTGGATTTCAAAGAAAAATCACATTAAAAATATTAGATATATTTTTTTATATATGTACTCACTGGGGAACTTATCAATTCTTCAACTCGTTCAAGTAACGGTTTTCCTTTCTTGGACCTTAACAAAAGGTATAGATTTCCTACGTCGGGGCAGGACCTGAGCAATTTTTCGATCAAACACTTCCCCACAAATCCACTTCCACCCGTGATAAACACGTCCTTATTAGCGTAAAACTCGGGTATCGTTGAAACCGCCATTCCGCTATACCGGCCGCAAAAGTTTTAAAAGTTCGAAGGTGATTTCTAGATTGCAACGTTTCTGGTCATTGTGATTGTACAATTTTCTCCAGTTAGGGTCATTGAAAGTGGTCTGCAGCTATTAATTACCGCCGACAAGTCGTAGGCGCAACGAAGTCTGACGTTATATTCTAATATCTCAGAATCGTATTAATGTAAAAATGAACGAACCCAATGATTTTTCACCTTATTATTAGGAAAATTTAGTTTATATTAATTATTAGACATAATCACGCCGCTAGTACCTTAGTTTGGGTTTATTTGTAATGTAAAAACTCCACTTTAAATGTCTTAGAGCGTCGTGGACAGAACTGTCTTTAAATTTGTTTAAATTAGACACCCTGGATGTTGATTCACACTGCTCACAATGAAAAAAATGGGAGAAGTTGCGTACTACGAGTACAGCGAAAACTAACTGTCCATTCGCACGGCATGGCATATTGATTTGGCAGCTGCATACCAAAATGATGATGATCTGGATAGTGGTTCGGAGAAAACTATATCATGTTTTGCAGCGCTCCTTTCGGGAAATACGACATGGTTTCTCAAACTCCTTTTAGAGGTATATGGCGAATGGAAAAAATATGCATTTAAAAATTTGGTTGACACCATACGAGGCTATGATATCTGTTGTTAAAATATTTGGCATATTTTGCCGTGTTGCCACTTCTACTCGAGCCGAGCATCAAGTTCATTTCTAACAAATTCTTTCATTCTCTGTAACATAGGTTGCAGCTATGTTGTTAGGGTTATTATGAAAATAAACATTATTTTTTGGAAGATTTAGGAAAGAATGTCATTAAAATATCAATCGTTATATTCAATTGCAAGCTCTATTTAATTTTGCCCCACATTACATTTACATTACATTACATTTATATATTTTTTGCAAAATGTAAGCACCCTATATGCGGATATGAAACAGCAACCGTAAACAGAATTTCATGTTTTTACCTTAAACGGTTGAAATATTTTTAATTATCTCTATGGTCGATGCTTTTCGCAAAATTTCGAATTCTATTCGAGGTGGGTAGCATCATCAAATACATTTCATATCTCCGTATCAAACATACTGAACTTTATTATTTTTAATGTATTTTGGTTATTCCTGTCATGAGAGTTTGTTTTTATTTACCCAAATATTTGTCAAACAGAGATCATATGTTCCGTAAAAAGTCAATATTAAAAGGATTATTTACCATCCTCCATATATTTCTAATAGAACATTCAGTTTGGGGAACCCATTGCATTTAACGTATCTCTTTACTTATTTGATTAGTTAATATTGCAGAGGAATTAACATTTTAATAAAACTTTATGTATCCGGTCATCATATTAAGGCGTCCAGTGATTAAGTGATAATACCTTCTCATTAAGAATATGGCTTATGCAGAGCCCCACATGAATTCGATGTTCGGTATTAACTGATCGCAATGAAGGAATGAAATAATTAATTAATTGGGTTAATTATTAGATTAATTAATTAATCGACTTAATGATCGGAACAAAATTAATTACCAAAAACGTTAGGACAATATATGTTTTCCTTTATTTTTAATAGCGATTCCAATATTCCTTGGTTAGTTGCGTTGCAACAGATAAAACATTTATTTTATAGAACAGAAGCCAGATGCAAAAAAATATGAACAAATAGTGGAAAGTCCGGTCCAAAATATACATCCTGAAAAAGGAGAAGTAGTATTTAGTATTTAAGTACACACACAAATATACCTCTTGGTTTTGATATAGGTTGCGGGTTTAATGACGCGACTTTCTCTTAGCAAATACCATCTCGCGTTATTACAGCAATCTTTGTAGTATTCGTAAAGTTCTTCCTCGTTTTCAGGGAAGTCCGAGAAAGAGAAACTGTCAAAGTCGCTCGCTAAAACCCGTTTTTCCATTTGAACGAAGTTTTCGTTATCGAATTCCCAACCGTTTAATAGGAAAGGGCTCACGGCCATGACTGCTATATATACCTTTCGTTGCGTCTTAAATAAACTAGAATTCGAAAAAATAATTAATAATACAATGTATTATTGTGTTAAAATATATACCGTGAGGTCTGTTCCAATACGAACTTAATCTCGAATAAGTCGGGTTTTTGTTTTTTGTCAAAAATTACCACTGTGAAAAAGTACAATATCGCATATATTTATCAAAATTTAAAAAAAATTAAAAATGAACATTGCTTAAGATCAAAAACTATGCATACCACTTAATGAAAATTTTTGGTTTTACAACATCTAGTTTTATAGTCTGCTGTGAAAGATGAGCTAATATAATTTGATCTAAATATTTTCAAATATCCAACAAACACAAAAATTAACAAAATACTCACATTGGTTTTCTACCCACCATCAAGAGTAATAAATCGATAATGGTTGCCGGTAGCATATGGAAAAGCAGTACACCAAAATAGTATTCATACCAGCATTTAGTAATTTTGTTTCCAGGAAACCAGAGCTTGGTTTCGAAAGGAACGTCCCAGTAAAGTCTTTTACCCAATTTCCACAAGGTTCCGGCTTTGACCGATCTGGATTTCTGCTTGCTGCCATTGAGGATAAGCAGATCATTTCTCCATTCCCTTAAAATTATTTTTTGAGCTTGTCATGTACCTTGTTTGTATTCGAATACTAACTGTCTGACTGCTTTGTCCCAAGCGGAAACTATTATGGCTTTAACAATCGAGTCAGCACAAACGTAGTCTGCTTCTACTTCAGTATCGCCGTATACAATTCTCAAAATTCCAGCACCGCCCGCTACTAAAAGCCCCACGGGTCCATTGAAATTGTCTACGTATCCTCTATAAGGTTCTTTCAATGGCGGTAATACTAAAAATTTGAAAGAATTAATTTTTGGGCAAATATCAAAACTGATGCGGTCTCGGCCACTAAATATCGATTGAAACTCAAAAGTTATTATAATTGTTTTTTTAAAAAAAGTTGTTCATACGTTTTATATGTGGATGAACGCGTTTGAACATATTAAGCTCTAATTCTGAATCACGTTAAAAAGAAGTCGGGAGACAGTGAATATATACCAACCACCATTGCAACAGTCGTAATGCTTCGTGCAACAAATGTACAGGGTGTTTCGCAGTGTTACTTTCGATGACACAAACAAATTTTTTATAGCCCCCTTGCGGAACAAGGCAAAATTAAAAAAATAACATTTTGCCTTTCAACTTCTTAAAAAGGGGGAGGCACTTTCTTTTCGTTCCACTTTTTTCAAATCAAACTGCTGATCAAAGAGGCGTGCTGGTCTAAATGGTACTTTAATAGTTAACCTACCTATTGAAGGGCGAAAAATAACAGTCGGCACTTTTCCTACGCAGAGATCGTTGATGACGTGTTCAGCTAGTAATTTAGTAAAGGTGTAAGTATTCGGAAATTGATTGGTATATTTGGGGGACAAAATCTCCAATAGTCTTTCGTCGCACTCTTCTGCCAATGTAATCGCTTCTCTCCAGTTTCCGTGAGACGGGTAAAGCTTTTCGTAACTTGTCTGAAATTTCCGTGTTAGTATTAGTTGATATATAAGTGCCCACTCCAACAAAACACTTTGTTTGAGGATTAAATTAAACTTTTTTTCCAGATTAGTGTATCTATGTGAATTTACTGCCAATTTAGCTGCGTAAGTTCGCCAACTTGATTTAGGTTACAAAGTTCAAGTTAACATAAAAATTTAGAATTAGAGAACTGTTGGAATTTTATATGAATGTATGGTTTTTTTAGAACCGCAAATAAAGTAATTAAATTTATAAATAGTTATTTTCAACAATTAAATTCATTAATTCAAATTTAAATTATTTCAAATTTTCTTTTGAAGCTTCAGCAACAACCGCTGAGAGTTTACGAATTTCCAAGGTTACAGAATTATTTGGTCAAAATGTCCACAGATCATAGTAAATTTTCTAGCAAAAACGAGCTAAATGTGAGTAGGTTGCTATTTAGAAAGAAAATAGAGTCGGTTATGAAAAGTGTGGTGTTTGAATTTGGGGGAGCGATAAAAAGCCGTTACCTGCCTGAGAGATATCGATTTTATGATATTTACGTGCTCTATATCATTAAACAGGTATATGGAAGAAACTGAGCCTCAGCAATACCTCAACAACAAGTGACTAATCCATTTGTTTAATTCTATATTAAACTAACTGGACTAGGTATTCATTCTAAGCTTGTTATTGATGTGGCTGCGGTATATTAAATAGTATTTAAAGTCTAATTTGCGAAATGATATGTCTGTCTAACTTTCTTACTAGCCAGGATATAAAGCTAAACCCATCTATCGGGTAACCCAGACTGTGTTGACCATGTTTATTGGCCATGGTTAATTGCTATTTGTGTACTCCGTAATAGGTTTACCAAATTATTACCGACTCACGATTTAAATAAGTCTAATATACCTTTTTGTCAACGTTACAATATGTTGTCGACACATGAACCAAAGCTTCCAAGTTCGTTATTTCAAGAGAGAGTTGGGCGATTTCTCTCGCGCTTCTCACGTTTACTAAAATCGCGTCCCTTAAATCATCGTCGAATCTTACGGAAGCTGCAGCATGAAATATTACCGACACGCGTCCCTTGAGCATGTTCCAATCCTCCGTACTTAAACCTACAACCCCACGTGAACAAAACACCGACTTTCAATTCGACAAAGCAATTAATCTCACCCAATCGTATGCATTTCACATCTCCAGCAACGGGTATTAGTTTTTTAAAAATATCTGGATTTTGTTCTTTTAGTACTTCGAATAACTAAAACGTACAAAGAGACAGCTTGAGTTTCAAGTAGTTGACAGCGGCAATATTTGTTTATACAATATGATGCAGAGGTTTGAAATAATAACTTAAAAAATTGTTTCAATTACATCCAAATGAAGTCATAACAGTGCACCTTTTAATGACTCGCCCTACGTCGTGTTCCCTGTTGTGCATCGCAATTATTAATTTGCACTTTTGACTAACGGAAATTTTCAGTTCCTGTATGGTGGGGGTTTTATTTTTATAACTTCTTGGATAGCTGTGGAAGCATCGATGGAATGCGCTCCTCAACATGTATTTTCCCGTCTTGGTCATGTTTTTTGACATACACGTTCCCTAGACTTGTCTTTATCTCTCATTTTTATAGGGCAACTTTAAGTGTAAGGTATACGCTAACAAACGCAGTATCATACAGGAACTGAAAGTTGGCATGACACATGACAGATAGATTTTCTTGCAATGCGGTACTACTCGTCTAGCCAATAGTAAGATTGTCATTTTTTAATGTTTTCTTTGTGGAATTTGAATATCAGTTCAGTGTCGCTATTATTTATGGTAGCACATTGCTACCTGAATTATTGAAAGTCCTTCATCATTGTAAAAATCATTTGGTTACTATTAACAAATGGCAAGTTTTAGGTTGCGTATAGTGCGGTATGTATTGCACAACGTACCCTATCTCTGGTAGCGCTCACGCTCCACAGATTTATCTGCAAGCGATATTTTTTTTGATTGACTACCTTAAGTGCAAAGTGTACAGTACAGTACATACCGCACAATACAGGAATTGGAAGTTGGTATTCGTCAAGAAATCGCGAGAGTATCGGACAAAATTATTGAAGAGTGATGTACCACTTTTAAAAGTTGTCGAAAATTTTGCGATCACAGCCATTGTTTTCCGATATTAAAAAGGGCGCTAAAACTAAATTATCTTCAAAATAAGAAGAATAGTGCTTCCTTTTCAGTGACTTATTTCAGGAATTAAATTGCTTTCGTCGTAAACAATAAAGCGAATTGAATTGCTAATAGTAGTGAGCTTCTTGAGGACTTACCGGGGAACTAAGTAAATTATCTAATCTCTTCTTCAAGGACATTCCCTTTTTGGACCTTATTAGAACGTAAATGTGTCCAATGTTGGGGCAAGATCTCAACAGTTTCTCTATGAGACATTTGCCTATAAACCCTGTACCACCGGTTAAAAACACGTCCCTGTTTTCGTAATATTCTGGGATTGTCGGTAAAGTAGACATAGCTTTGGGATCTTCAAAAAACCAATGCCTCGTGCATACTGAGCGGTTGTATTTTGCATTTCGATAATTTATGGTAATTGGCCTCCATTGTGTCTGGCCATTTTCATTGTCGAAAACGTCATTTGCCAGAATACAATAATCCAAGTCTGAGCACCCCATTGTCTTTTTGAATGGTTTTAATAATGATTAGCATTAGCCGGCATTCTCTGAGTCATTGCAGCAAATATACTTGCTTCTATATCACGCAGAGAAGAGAAGAGCAGAGCATAAAAAAAATATTTAATAAAAATGGATGTCTATTCTCCGTGGCCTTTTGTGATAGTGAAAGTCATTTTACTTGTAAGCTATATTAAAACATTACGATTCCGATCCGGATTAATTTTTTCGTTTCTTTTTTTTTTTAAGTTATGAAAAATACAATTCATAATTGGCTAGAAACTAATTAAATAGATATTTTTTTCTATTTTCAGCAAAATGTAACATGTGTTGAAAATATGCTTCACATAATAGTTGCATTACATTGACTAGTGGGTAATCCCAGTGTGTACAAAAACGCCTGTCGCAGGCAGCTTACCAAAATTTTTAGTTTAACAGTATATAAGAGTTTAAAAACGCTGTTAGCTTTACTGACAAAGAGGTACTCTCGAAATGTTTTCATTGAAAACCACAAATTTCGATTGCAAAAAGTTATAGCCATTTTTAAAATTTTTAAAATTTGGAAATGATGAAAAGTAACATTTCAAAAAATAAACTTTATATTATAGTTACATTAGACTGATTGATTGATAAGTGACCAAATAAGCGTGAATCCAATTTATTTATTTATTTTTTTGTTGAAAATTCTTTCTTTTAGAAATGGGTGTCCAATTTGATTCTTTCTATATATGATAAAAGAAAGATAATATATGAAAGAAGAACATTATGTAAAAAAAAATGAAAAATTTAATGAATCTTTGTCGCCCATAATTTCCTCACTATTAATCATACAATATATAAGGAATCGAGTTGGCCAGTCGCGACCGTGGTGCATCCGCCAGGTCGATTACTTCAATTCGCAATGGAATCAAAACGTTTGAGCATTATTACTATTAGTGGTTGTCGGAAATTGAAGGAATTTTGTGTGTTAGTTTTGAAATCCGCATCTAAAAATGGTAATATAATATATATATATATATATATATATATATATATATATATATATATATATATATATATATATATATATATATATATATATATATATATCCCGTGTGGGGTTAACTAGTTCCCCCATCGGGCGCCTCCCCAGGTGGCGGATCGGGGAATGCCTCCCAGATATGGGTGGTACCGGGGAAATGAAATACCCGGTTCGGACCAAAAACTAGTGAAGCGTCTGTTCTTCAGGTAAGAAGCGGCTTCAAACGACGTCTGACTCTATGTTAGGGGCGGTCGAGAACCAGAAGGAAAACTACAAACCCTTCAGAAGGCAACGGGAAACCACTGAAGTATTTTCCCAAGAAAACTACATGGAAGAAGTTGAAAGTGAACGGCCCTCAGTCTCCGGCAAAAAGAGGGTGCTAAGAATCCCCGGAGTCAAAAATAAATTTAACATAGGATCATGGAATGTGCAAAGCCTGTTCGAGGCTGGAAAACTCGCAAAAACCATCAAAGAAATGCGAAGACTAAACCTAGCACTGTTAGGAATATGCGAAACAAGGTGGCCTTCCTCTGGACGTTGCATTACTGACGACGCAGTATTTTACCATTCTGGCAACGAGGATCAATATCACAGACACGGAGTTGGCATTATCGTGGATAAACACCTAAGCAAGGGTGTAACAGATTTTATACCATACAACGATAGAACAATGCTACTAAAAATTGAAGCAAAACCAATAAATATCGATATAATTCAAGTATATGCCCCCACCCTAGACAAATCCGAAGAAGAAATTGAATCCTTCTATGAGGACATCAAACAGCTCCTAAAGTACACGAAGCCGCATGATCTGAACATTATCCAAGGAGATTTTAATGCCAAAGTGGGCAAAGGAGAAGTGATCGGGGGAGTGGTTGGTCCTTGGGGTCTGGGAGAAATTAACATTAGAGGAGACAGACTAATACAATTCTGTCAAGAAGAACATTTTAAAATCATGAATACTTGGTTCTCCCTACCTCCGAGAAGATTGTATACCTGGAGGGCACCGCAGGATAGACCTGGAAATATTGTACGGAATCAAATCGATTTTGTCCTCGTTAACAAGAGGTTCAGCACAACCGTCTCAAGAGCGCAGACATACCCGGGCGCCGACGTGCCATCCGATCATTGTCTTCTAACGATAAGCATAAAGCTAAAACTAGCTTTGTGCAAGGTTAACAAAGGTCATATAAGAGAATTAGACACCTCGAAATTACAGCAGGAGGAGATAAAGTCTGATCTTAGGAACAAACTAAACCAAAAATTGAAACAAATAAAAGACCAAACAGATCAACAACCACTGGAAGTATGGGAAACAGTTGAAACTACCATAAAGAACGTCACAATTGAATGTCTGGGATATGAAAAAAAGACGCAGCAAAAAGAAATGGATGACTGACGAGATCCTACAACTAATGGACAAACGCAGACAGCACAAGAACACTAATCATGATGAATACAAGAGACTAAACTCACTAATAAGATCCGATATTAGAAAGGCTAAAAGGAAATGGCTGGAGGGGGAGTGTAAGGAAATTGAATACTTGCAACAAATACACAATACGCGAGAAGAACACAAAAAGATGAAAGAAGCATCTGGAATGTATAAAAAACGACCTCCAGGAATATATACCGATGACACAAACAAATTTGCCGATGATTCTCGTGAAGGCCTAAAAGACAACCAGTTAAGCGAATCATTATCAGGGCCACCTATATTGAGGGAAGAAATAAAGAAAGTGGTTATGGAAGTAAAAGATCATAAGGCTACAGGACCAGATGGTATACCAGGGGAGGTTTTGAAACTGATAGATGACGACAATATCGACGTCTTGCTCAAAATATTCAATTATATCTACAATACAGGACACTTTCCCCGAAGCTGGTTAAGATCAACTTTAATACCCCTACCCAAGAAAAGCAACGCCCGAAAGTGCAAAGATCATAGACTCATAAGTCTGATGAACCACTCCTTAAAAATTTTCCTCAAAATAATACACAGGAGAATACAGCACAGATGCGAGAAAATTATCGGCCCTAGCCAGTTTGGATTCAAATCAATTATGGGAACACGTGAGGCGCTTTTCGGACTCCAAGTCTTAATACAAAACTGTCTAGATGTTAATAAGGACATATTTCTATGTTTCGTCGACTATGAAAAAGCTTTCGATCGTGTACAGCATTCAAAACTCATGCAGATTTTGAGAAAAACCGACGTCGACGACAAGGACATAAGGTGTATCGAGAGATTGTACTGGGGTCAAACAGCTAATATTACCATACAAAACATTATTACTGAAGATATTGATATCCGGAGAGGAGTTAGACAGGGATGCGTCCTGTCTCCATTGCTTTTTAATTTATACTCCGAAGCGATATTCAACGAAGCTTTTGAAGAACAAGAGTTGGGAGTGAAAGTAAACGGAATACCAATTTCGAATATCCGATATGCGGATGACACTGTCCTCATTGCCAATGATGTTGAGGAACTACAGAGAATGTGTACTAGGTTATGTGGCAGCAGCAACGAATACGGGATAAACATTAACGCCGACAAAACCAAATTTATGATAATCAGTAGGAAAAAACCAATGTATACAGATGCCACAATTCAGATAGAAAACCGAAATATAGAACGAGTAACACAGTTCAAATACTTAGGATGTTGGCTGCATGCAGGATGGAACTCGGAAAAAGAGATTAGGTGCAGAACAGAGATGGCACGTGCGGCATTCATGAGATATGAAAAAATCCTTAGAAATCGAGACCTGCACCTGTCTCTTCGAGTCCGATATGCAGAATGCTATGTTTGGTCGGTACTTTTGTACGGAGTGGAGGCATGGACTGTGAATGCAAAAATGATCAACAGAGTGGAAGCCTTCGAAATGTGGACCTACCGACGTCTTCTGAGAGTCCCGTGGACGGACAGAGTAACTAACGACGAAGTACTAAGAAGAGTTCATAAGAACAGAGAACTACTTACAGCCGTAAAACGCAGGAAAACGGCCTACCTCGGACACATTTTTAGACATGATAGGTATCAGCTGTTACAACTCATATTAGAGGGTAAAATAGATGGCAAGAGAGGAATAGGAAGGAAACAGATGTCAAGGGCAAGGAACATTAGACAATGGACAGGTCTAAAAACAATTGGGGAACTTGTCAACGCGGCAAGAGATAGAGACCAATTTCAGCGTGTGGTCGCCAACATCCATTAAGTGGATAGGCAGCGTGATGATGATGATATATATATATATATATATATATATATATATATATATATATATATATATATATATATATATATATATATATATATATATATAGGGAAACAAAATCTGATTTGAAATTTAGAATAAAAATATAATTATATATAGATATTTATTCCTAGCTATGAATTAATTGTATATATTTAATGTCATTATTTTTTTCTTATTATAATTTAATATGATTATAACCACCTAAATAAACAAAAAAAAACCAAAACTTTTGGGAGTCCACCCCTAATGTTCTGTCCTTGAATACCTACTGGAGATTTATTGCCTTCGGCAGGTAACTTCCATAATTGCGAGCAAAAGCCAGCACGATGAAGATTGATACAGACTATAATTGCACAACTGCTCTAACTGGGGTAAACTAACTCCGCACTAAAATAAAACAAATACGCAGGCTTTGATGTCAGTAATTTATCCTTAGAAGCAACATATTATGACAATCTACAACTTAGTCCAGTACGAAACTATGGCGCCTCGAGCTAATCCCAGCATGTTTTTTTCCAAAATCCACCACACTAGAAGCATTAACAGTCCTATGCGTACGAGGACATCCAAGACATACATTCTGAGAAGAAATAAATATCAAAATTACATAATGTTCTGGTTCTTCTGAAATAGCTATTTTGATAAATGAATTGGCTTAGATTAATTTGCTAGATAATGTCCAAACAATTTTTCAAACTTACAGTTTTACCAGGATTTTGAACTTATACAAATGCAGCAAAATTAAATATATGATAAGTGCAATCGCCTAAGCATTTTTAGTGAAGATAAAGTAATAAAACAAAGAAATGTACGGGTTTGAAATAATCACAAAATCGTGTGCTTCTACCATTATTTACCTCTTTGTGTTGATGTACGTTTTCGGTTTGATATCTCGACTTTCTTTCAGTAAATACCATCTACAGAAATCGCAAGATTTTTTATAATAATCATAAACTTCCTCGGCACCCTTGGGAAGGCAAATAGTAAAGGCTTCTTCGTCGACGTCTAGAATTTTTTTATTAAGCGCCATCGAATTCGTGTTGACGAATTCCCATTCGTTCAGCATGAAATGCGAAACGGCCATGTTTGCGATGTAAATCTTACGTTGGATCTTGAATAATCTAAATAAAACATTTTGCAACTTAAATGGGTTCAATTTGCTAATCCCACTTACATAGGTTTATGTCCTATTATCTTTAACAATGTATCTATTAACATGGCCGGAAGCAAATGAAACAGCAGAACATTAAAATAATACTCGTACCAGCATTTCGTCATTTTGTTTCTGGGAAACCAAAGTTTGGTCTCGAACGGAACATCCCAATATAATTGTTTGCCCATGTCCACTATTTCACCCAGCTCTACCGGCATCAAATTATATTTGCTTCCGTTGTAGATAGAGACTGTTAGGGTGTTTTTTTTTCTAAAATGCATTTGCTAAATTAGCATTAACATTAACAGTCAAATAGCTTTGACGGCGAAACCTACTGTAGAACATGTTTTTCCCACGTGGCAGCTACCATCAACTTCACGGTGTTGTCGACGGAAACATAATCCGTATTAACCGATCTGTCGCCGTATACAATTCTCAATATGCCCTTACCCCCAGCAACCAAAAGACCACACGGTCCGTTAAACGAATCTATCCAACCTCGGACAGGTTCGGATACAGCAGATATCACTGGGGGGAAGTAAACAAAAAGCATGTGATAATAAGAAGTTAAAATCAGTTCAGAAAATTATTCCCTAATAATAGATTTATTTACGTCAAGAATAATTAGCATGCATAAGTGAAAATTATTAAGATATTCTAAAAAGAATAACATAATAATAATTATATAGGTATTTCTTATTGACGAGTGTCGAAAATAAACTTTTACGTGCTATCTATTCTATGAATATCAGCAGTGTTTAAAGGCGGACTATACACCACATAGTTAAAACAAGTTAGAACCAAGAATTCTGCCAGTCTTATTTTTAGGCGAATAGAAAGTGGGTGGCAAAGTGGCAATTCGTATTTACTTGTCTGATGTACATCCTTGTTTACGTGCCGTTTAAATCTTATATATATTTTTTCTTCTCCCTTCTGTAAAATACCTAATTATACACCGAACTAGCGTGCGGGAAGCGTCATTTTACCACGTGAGTTTTTTATCCCACAGATCCGAGCCACTTCAAACATTTCCGGGTTATAATCGCACGAGTTTGGGAGCAATCGGATGTTTTTGGAGATTTTACCGTTCATGTCAGTGAAAGAATTCGTGTTGTTTTGCAAAAATGCACTAAAAAGCTACCAGTCTTAGAAAAAGTATAGTATGCAACACGTTTCGCAAACTTATTAAGTCACACGTTTATTAAGCATTCACTCCGCTCGTGCCAAATAAAATCGTGACTCAAATGACGTTTACCGCACTTGTTGCTTAATATACTATACTGACATGAACGTCAGAATTGACAAACGTCAAAATTCAAGTCGTACTGTAATCCCGGAAATGTCCGAAATGAGAAACAAAACTGACGTGGTTAAATGACACTTTCCGAAGCTGGATCGGTGTATAATTAGGTATTTAACAGAAGGTAGTAGAAAAACACTTTTATGTACTAAAATTGTGGATATTTTTAATATCTGTATTTTATTCCGTAGTGGCCTAGAAATAATTTTATTTTCACCTTAAATGATTTTCATTGTCGGTACTGCCCTTGTCAAACAAAGGTCTTTTTGATATACATTGACCCTAAGCAGTGTTTAGGACAAATTGTGAGAGTACATTTATATTAAAAAACAGAGGGCCTAAATTTGATCTCTGAGGAACACTGTGGAGCCCACTTTGGACTTAGTCTTAGTTAGTATAAATTCAACAGCTGTTTCAGAAAACCCGAAAAGGTAAAGAAAAGTTAACAACAATTTATCGAAAATGTTAGAGCACTAAACAGCACTCAAAAAGTAATGTGGAACAAAATAGTTGTGCAGCTAGAATACGACTGAAATGTCATTAACATCTAATGTAATCTCTAGATTCATAATTTTTTCAAACTACTTCAAATACTAATCGACCTGTAGTAAGCGAATTTTTTCTTAGCAGAGGAGTCACTTCGTAAATCTTGTATGCATCTTGAAGTTTATTTTGCAATATAAAAGAGTTAACAACATTTGTTTTAAAAAGTCTTTCCCTATTCAACAATTTTTTTTTTAACTTTAGCTGATTTAATGTTGCAGCGAAAGTGCTGTTACTTTATAGAATTGATACTTTCCACTACCATGACCAAAATTTTAATAATTTTGAATGGGTGATTAGTTACGAAAAGTCTACGTGTAACTCACCTACTGATGGTCTAAATATTACCGTCGGTACTTTCTCCGCGAGGACATCGTTAATAACATGCTCAGCCAATAGTTTGGCAAAGGTGTATGTGTTCGGAAAGGGATCTATATATTTTGGCGTTAATGTTTCTAACGTTTTTTCGTCGCATTTTTCGACCAGCGTTAGCAGTTCCTTCCAGTGACCACACGAAGGGTATAAGACTTCTTCCACAACCTAAAATGCATTAGCAAAAGTTAATAACCATGTCATTTTTCGTTTTAAATCCGAAATAAAATGTATCGGAACGAACCCAAATATTTACTTCTTTGGAACATACCTTTTTATCTATGTTGCAGTACGTGGTCGAGACGTGTTGGAACACTACGAGATTTTTGACTTCCAGAGCAATCTTAGAGATCTCGAGGGCGCTTTTTACGTTGATCAAGGTGGCCTCTTTCAAGGAGTCGTCGAATCGTACTGAGGCGGCAGCGTGAAAAATCAGCGAGACCTGATCTATGATCAGTTGTTTATCTGTTTCAGAGAGCCCTAGAAAGGAATGCGAGAATAAGGTAATTAAAAATGAAGTCTAAAGTTATTCTTTGGGATTCTTTGGAATTGTCAGATTTTACTTATTGCCACCAAATATATCATTTTTCTTTTTTTCTGACCGTCTTTAATAAACGCGGAATATAAACAATCCAAAACTTGTGCTGATACCTAATCGGCAATTACTAGCAATGGCTGAACATGTTCAATAGGAGAGTGTTGGCATTTATTAATATTTATTTATAAAATAATTAAAACTAAAACGTCCCGGTCCCTTTATAAAAAACTCAGTTTTCCTACTGAAATCCGTCAAGTACATTAACGTTTAACCGATTTGCTTAAAATTCCAGTGTATAATTGGATTCTTACATTTAGGAATTAAAATTAAAGCACAGAAGCTCCCTTTACCTTAATATCTTTCAGTCGTGATGATTATAATATTATGTGTTATCATGAACTGGTCCTTATGCTTGGTAGAAATAAAAAGAAGTCTTACCTAAATCCAATTGTCTAGCGTCACCATTTAGAGGCACCAGTTTCTTAATGGCATCTGGATTTTGTTGCTTTATTATATCGAATAGCTGGAAAATGCAACTAACTTATATCGGTGCTAAATTAAAGCAGTTAATCGTAAACGGTGGAAAACAAATATCGTTATTGAAATTTCTGAAAAACTGTTTATATTTATAAACTGTTGTCGATCCATCTTCAAAATTGTTTTGTTTTGCTTTACAACATTATTTTAAATTACCTAATCAATGCTACAATCTCATTTTAAATAAATTCAATTTAATTACTGAAAAGAAAATTGCATGTACTATTGTTGGTATTTATAGCAAAAGATGCATTTTTTGGCGTATGAAACAAAAATTTGGCAAAAATGTAGCGTTTATTCCTTTGACGGACGTTATTGAAATTGGGGGTGGGAGGTCAGGTTTGTCATACGATTTTTTTCATATGGAGATAAAAGCTGCATCGAAAGCTAAAACTGTATTTAAGGTGCTATGGCAGAAAATGCAGTGACCGAAATATGCAGATTCACAGCCGCATGTAACCTGCGGTTCCATCCATCAACTGTATAAAAAAAATTTTTAATATTCTTTTGAGTTATTGCTTGGTTAAGAAAAGAATCATAACGATCAGAAACTCAAAAGGTTGCGGCTTATAACTTTAACACAACAGTTTTTTTTCGTTTATGTACAAGATGTGGGACACGCTTAGACTTACAGGGGTGTTCGTGATCTGACTCACGCGTTCGTGCAGGGTCTTCCCCTTTTTAGGTCTGACGAGGATATAGATGTTGCCAATCTCCGGGCAAGACCTCAGCAACTTCTCTATAAGCACTTTCCCTAAGAATCCACTCGCTCCAGTGACGAAAACGTGTCGGTTTTTGTAGAACTCAGGAATGGTGCAAACTGCCATTTTTATCCCTAACGAGTGGATACGCTAAGCGTGAAACAAACAGTTTATTGTTTCTGAGGTTTTTAATGGTAAGTATAACTTCTCTGACCTTTGCCGTCGACCAAGTATTTTGAAATGGAAATTTTCATATTTTTGATTTGCGTTTGTTATGCGTTAATTTGCTTTTTATCGGGTCGAGTTGGTGCGTTATAATTTTCCGAGGCGTACTAGGAAATAATAAATAAAAAGGTTATGTAAAAGGTGTCGGGTTCAAAAGTGCGTTCCTCCGGAATTCTCCTGGTTTGTGGGATTTTGATCTTCTACTATTTCGCAAAAATAAATAATACGAACCTATTAGGCACGAATATTTTTGCTCTCTGGTTTTATATTTTACGAATTCTAAAATAGATAAAAAAAAATAAAGCTATTACTAAAAACGTGTACCAAATATCACTGTAATATCGTTAGCAAATGAATTAACTATTTAATAATATCAAGAAAATCCATCAAATTTCATTTTAACCTAACTAAACAAAAAGTATTATATCACATTTTTGCCACAAAATTATTTTCTATTTTGATTTTTAAAACTCGTTTTCTGCAAAATTCATATCGACTGTAGTTTAAGTGAGTAGTATTTTAAAGCTAAGCAAAAATGAAATATCTTCGTTCAATGTTCTTTGCTTTGTCCTTGAAAGAATGTAGGATTTGAATTTAAATTGAGTAATAAATGTCGATAACTGATAAACTGAACTTAGAATCTTCGAAAAGGACTGTGCTCTGAAGGATGCTGGTTACCTTGCTGCCAGATTACGATTTCTGATATTCGCAAAAAGAGCTTGAAAGTAAAAACATAGTTTTGATGGTATCTCCGGTTGAATTTTTTATTTAAAAATTAGATAGCATTACACACATACAGAAGACTAGATGGGTAAATACGAAAAATAGAATATTTACTTAATTTGTAGTTTCATAGTAAGTAGAAAATCTCCTGCATACCTTTTTAATTGGAGTAATTCCGGGATAGGTGCCCATAGTTTTGAAAATAATTAAAAACGTTTTTGTGAAATCTGTTTACATTTATATTGTGATTAAATGGAAGCATAATAACACTGGTAGTCCAAAGTATAGTTAATTTTAAAGGAAATATCGTATTATAAACTAAAAAACATATTCTAGAAAATGTGTGCAATGACTGTGTTATCCGCGAGTGCTGGCCATAGAATGACGAGACAAAAAACTCATAAAATAATTAATCATTCATGATTTCTGTCTTTTTTACCACATTTTTGGCAGAAATCACCAAAAGTTGTACAATTTTCGTGGAGCCATAGGTTACAACTGACGCACTTGATCCAGTAGACACTCAATTTCAGATTCATGTCTATATCTTATTCGCTACTTGATGATTCAATCTTGCTTTTTTTTTCTTCGAGATTTTCTTATCTTCAATTTTCGAAACGAATTAATTTTGACACTTTTGTTGTTTTCGTTAGGCTTTACTCTCTTTTTCTTTGAGGACTGACAAATCGTCCGGTGAAGTCAAAATAGCTGGGACTGGTGACAGGTCAGAAAATATTTTGGAGGGGGTATCATCTTTTCTATTAGAAGGTGGTTGTGCTGGTAAACTATCACTTCTCCCTTCTTCTGAACTGAAGACTGTAATGCAATTGTCGTGGAGGATTCGTCAATGGAAAATGCGTAATCTGGTATGACCTCTCGATTGAATGGCAGGATTCCCGTTGCCTGAAATCGTAATGAGACTTACTTTAACTCAAACTCAACCTCAAACTTATCTCGAACAAACTGCATACTTGAAGAAACTTGCATCTAAGGGTTGCAGACAGTGAGTAGTGTAGCTGGGCAAACATAATATGGTGATATCATACGAATTCGCAAAGTTCAACATTTCGATAAAATTTACGTAGGATGTGCACCTATTGACAATCAAGAACACTTTTCCTAGTGACTTCCTGGGAAAAAAAGGGTCACACTTCTACTGAAGAAAAACTGTTGCGTTAATGTACGCTGATTTTTGCTTCATGAATAGGACAGATCCTGGTGGTAAAGCGTACTCCCACGCCTTCTGTTTATTTTTCCCTTTTATGATTATAGCAGGAACTAAAAAGTTACCTTCGCATTACAGAATACTACCAACGTAATAATTTCGCCTTTTTCCGTGGATGTTACTGTCAAAACAGCTTTCGAGCCCGATTCATCCATATTGAATAGGTTTGAAGGCTTATCAAATAAAGAGTTCTCCTCCATTACCTATTCAAGCAAATTAAAATAATCTCCCACCTCTTTTCGACTCATTGTAATTGATGTAGCTAGTGAAACTCCTTCCGACTTACTAACGTTGATTTTTGGATGTCGGCTCGAAAACAAACAAAGCCAGTCATATCCGGTTTTTAAGTCTCATGGTTCAACCTGCGTTTTATTTTCAATTGTTGAAGAATGGAAAACTTGAATTTTGCATCATCATTCTCTCTTCCAAATACAAAGCTTGGGTCGATGTTTTCTTTTTCGGGGTTTCCGGATTTTATCGGACCCTCTAAAGTTTTCCTTGGTATGTTAAGTTCACTGGAAGCTCGTCGAAAGGACATAGTACCAGCCAGCACATTTCTGATTGCATTGGTCAAATTTCCTTTTGTCGAGTTATCAAGTATGGACTTCCTTGTATATTTATTATCGGGAAAGATTTCCATTCTTAATTCTAGATATCGCCAACTTTTCCGATTGTCCGATAGAGATAGACATAGGCATAAAATGTTTTCCGCGTCCTGTTTACCACTTTGTGCTTGAGTTTTCACGAAATAACAACCACAGATGTTGACACATCGGATGTACATAGCGGACTGATTCCACTGGCTGGCTTGGAATTATAATAAATAACCCATCCTTGTCACGCACGCATTCTGCTCTATTGCATGCAACTGAAGTTCTTAAACGCTTCGCTCGGAAGACTATAAAGATTTTAACTTTTTTCATGTTTTAAAGGCTTACAACTAACATTGTGTTTCTTTCTTTTAATCTATCATATCGAAAAACTTAAAGTTGTGCCTAGCAAAGAAACGTCACATCTCTGTGACTACAGCTTCGGTTTCGGCAAATAAATCGTAAAGTTTGTAGACCGATTTGGGGCACGTCTGCCCGCCCTAACGTATATCGCGTGTAATAAATGTGCAAAGTTTAAATGTCACCGAAACGAGGCGAACGCCCAAAGGAATCGTTTTTCTGCCCTTTCACCTGTACACATCTCTCGATTTAAGGGGATGAAAATGATTTAGGCGCCGAGCAAACAAAACGCCCTCAAATGTTTTTACGACGGCAATAAATATCTGGAAAATCGTTTGCAAGCAGTCGAAATTTGAATACAGGATCGCGGCGACAGGACGACGCGTCAACAAACATTCGTATGAATATTTGAATACAAAGTAAGGTACAAACTGAATCACAATATGAAAAGGTACAAATCAGTTTTAATATGTTTCGGCCAAATAAAATATTTCTATTTCTTCTTCTAATGGCGCCGTCTGCCTTCGATGGTTTGCGATCCATATAGCCAATCGAACCTTTGACACTACTGTCCGGAATATATCTATCGAGGTGCAATTGAACCATCGACGCATATTTTTAAGCCATGAGTTCTGGCGTCAGTATAAGGCGAAAAAATTTCATATCTTTCTCCACGCAATACATGCCCAAGGTGTGACCTTCAAAACAGTAATACTGCCTTCTGTTTATTCATACGTCTCAGTACATTTGATACTTTTTTAGTCCAACATATACAGAGGATACAGCGATAAACATGCATTTCAAAAGCTTCAATTCTCTTCTCCATAGCGGGATCAAGGGTCCAGCATTCACATTCATAGAATAAAACCGAGAACATGTAGCAGCGAATCATTAGAAATTTTTCATTGCGACAAAACTTCCTCTAACATACTCTATTCGAGAATGTATTTCCATTTTCTAGATTGATTCTCAACATTTCCGGTTGCCACCACCATTAATTTGGTTTTACCAAGATTCATTTCCAGACCAAACTTTTCGCTGACATGGAAAACTCGGCCAATAATACGTTGGAGGTCCTGGATATTTTTTTGCCAGTATATCGGTATGTATCATCAGCGTATCTTATATTATTAATTGAAACTCCATTCACTCGTACTCTTCCCAAACATTCATCGAGTGCCTCATTTAAAATAGTCTAAGAGTAAAGATTGAATTAGTTGAATTTTCTTTCTTTGGTAAGGTGACGAATGTTGACTTTAGCCAGTCCTGACCTGATCGGTTGCTTTTCCATCTTTGTGTAGCTTGATAGCATCTAAGACTTCGTTCTTACCAATATCTGGTCCCTCTTCATCGGTTTTGTCTTTTTGTATCTCACTTGGTCTTTCATCGTTGCTGTTTAGTCCTACAAAATTCAACTCTAAAAGCATGGTATTCAGGTTTGAATGGGATTGTGTGGGAAAATATTAAATGACGTAATTTAGATGAATAATACACTGAATCTGGCAAAAATTAAAGGACCAACAAATAATTAAAAAAAAAGATTTTTTATTTTATTCTTTCCTTCTCAGCACAATCCAATCACAATCAACATTGAAAATATAAATAATATATGTATAAATATAAAAAAATCAATTAAAATTTTCTAAATTTTTAGTTTCATTGTTTCTTTCCCAGCACATTTCAATTTTATAAAATATTGAAGTTATACAAAAATTGTGAGGTTCAAAATACAATTGTATATATATATATATATATATATATATATATATATATATATATATATATATATATATATATATATATATATATTCTCACGTATTGATTCACGGATGGAAAAATCTGATGACACTATATTCCGGGATATCATCCGTTCGCTTGTTGAACTCCGACTGGAATCCTGCATCCGACTGGAATCCTGCAGACGTTTCGCCAAAATCTCACTTGGCATCTTCAATGCTCGCGCTCCGAAAACGCTTCGAACACTTCCAGTGCGTGGCGAAACGTCTGCAGGATTCCAGTCGGATGCAGGATTCCAGTCGGAGTTCAA